CTCAGTTTTAGCCATTTCCGAAATCCATTTAGTTTATGGCGCAGTGTTCTCCCAAGTGTCAACCCATGTATTGGCAGCACTGAAACTTTTGGCGCTAATCTAAAATATCCATCTTGTAATCTTCAATCTCCCATGGTAACTGATGTGCCCTTCATGCAAAAAGTCTTCAAATAGCGTCAACGGCTAGTAATCATATCTTTAAATACACCAGCACACTTTTCATTTCTTTTTGTCCCCTTTTACAAAGCATAAAATAAAACTGCGCCAATTAACAGAATTAAGGCCAATTAAGGCGCCTTCCCGGAAGGAAGTGTAGTAGACCGTCTCAAAGTCATATTCTGTTTTCGACACGAGAAATGCACCTAGTAATCTAATGTATAAAGTTAATAAATAACTCGACGTGTCGCTTTACATTGTCAATGTTCAATCTAATGGTACCCTCCTCCGCAAGCCAGAGTTAACATAAACATCTATTCTAACATAAACAAACGACCCAGTTGAATAAACGGTAAACTGCCGGTGTACTTTGTAGTTCGTACACGACGGTTTGTACACTTTGTTACTATCCTCCGACCTTCATAACTTATTCTTTCCGCCGAGATGTAATATACACCGTGTAATCCTTCGCGAGTGCGGATTTTGTACAATTAGAGCAGAATAAGGTCATTTAGATTTTCTTGTTGATAAAGAAGGCCTTCTTTCGTTTTCTCTGATTAATTGAATGTGTATGTGTGTTAACACATTTTGACTGCTGAATAAAGACCGAACGCCTTCTTTCAATTTCCTGGAAAGAGGAATCGGATGCCAACGTTTCTCCGTCTTCCTTATCTATCTTTTCCTCGACTCGTACCTTTGAAAAGGGTGATAACGTATTCAACATGCGCCCCGTGTAAGACACGGTGTCATTCAATCACGTAACACAATTGGCTTCACTTGTAAAAGGACGGTCCCGCTTGGTTTATTACTATTCTCATTCTGTCCCAGGAAGGTGAGTTGAAACAGTAATGCACCGACCGCTTGTAAGACCAGGATATCAACAAGTTGTCCTGTGCTTCATCGCCGAGGAAGTACTGTTCTTTGTACTACATTTCCGTCTTATTTGAAGCAGAGCCAAGTGTGAGAACACTGTTTTTATATTCCCTGAGAACCTTCACTATCAATGCAAATCTGAACATTAACCCTTATTAAGTCTGATATTTGATACTTACTTGAACCTCCAGCCTAAACAGAAACCTTTGGAAACAAGTGTCCTGGTCTTGGGAATTCAAGAAATTGAAGATTGGACAAATCCAAGACGATTGGACTTAATAAAACCATATCCCAGGACTTTTGCCCTACGCTATGTACCCTGTCTATTCCTCTCGTCGCAACCAATGTCTGCTATTTCATACTTACTTGGAACCCCCAGACCCAGTAGAATCCTCCAAAACCATCTGTCCGGTTTCAAAGTACAAGAATCGGAAGATTTTCTTTTCTTTAAAAGTTTTAATGTGATTGTTAAAGTATCACTTACATATTTCAATATAGGACTCGCTTCTCCATGGGAACGTTAGGTTGAAAGTACGTGTTTTAATTGTCTTAGCCAAAGAAATCCTCATTTTGAATTCGTTTTGGTAGCGCGCATTTGATGTACGTTCGAAAAAATTTTTTATCTTGATTATGATGACTTGTTTTCAACTGTTCTTCTTCTATAATGACTAGACCTAATGACTGAAGTTTACTTGAAAAGTTAAACCTTTCTATTTTTTATGTCATCGTTATTTCCACTTGTTACTCGCATTGTTCGCCCCATATAAATATGCTACCGACGAAATTTCTTCGCACATCCGTGGGTCCTTGGAAAGTGCGTCAACCTTTGGGGATTTTTAATAGCCGAGACATTGGATAACCGCATTCCTCCTTTTGTGCCCCTCATTAAAAGTTTCATTACGATAGGAGATTAGCGTTCGCTCTGTTTCAAGGGACACCGTTTTAATTTTCTACCCTGGTCCCCAATTCGTCAAAGGTCGATATCATCTCTTTAGATGACGAGCTTTTTTTATATGGATGTAATGTAGAACCGCTTTTCCTTTTATGTTCCAACTTTCCTGTCTGTCTCAAATCCAGCAGAGACTTTCTTAAATCAAGTCTGTATGATTAATGTGAAAGCGTGTTTTGAAGTGGTTCGAAACGTTCCTCGTGTCCTGCGTTTTGAGGTGATTTTCTCGTTTACGACCCATCCTTGTACAGCTCGAGTTGAACAACACCTTGTAAAGAGGTTATTATGAAAAAAAGTACTACTTGTGACATATTATGTATATTATAACATATTATATTATGGAAAAAAAGTACTACTTGTAACATGGAAATTTCCTAAAAGTTTCAAGACTGAAGTACTTTGAGGCTTTAACAAAAAGGTTAAAACGATGTTTACATTCATTATTTTAATTTATTTTTTCCTTCATTGTTTATAGTCTGGGAATGAAAGAGAATCTTCATAATAATTCTGTAGCTACTCAGTGGCCAGATTAGTTTTGGCTTAATCAACCTGACAGTTCCGAATATTGCGATATGCTGAAACTGGGGAATTTACTCACTGCGTCCATAAAAGAAGTCTAACAATAAGAGTGAAGAAAAGTAATGTTTAAAGCCCCACGTGGCCTACAAAATAATCTTATGGGGTTTCCACACGTCAAATCGGTGATTGGTATCGAATCGCTTACAATGGTAGACTTACCTTGGGATCACCGATGGAACCCTTTTTTTGGCGATGCTAGGTCGAAAAATAATAGAGCCGTGTCCGAGCGTTGTTGCCAATAAGCTGTATGAGCCGAAAATTTATTAAAACGTAATTTAAATACTTTTTATTTGATTTTCTGCCTTTGTTGCAAGTTTTTCATATCATTATTATGTCATTCCGTTTTTTAACCTACGATAAGAAAATAATATGCAGGATCGTATTAAACGATGAATTACGGATTAGATTAATAAAAAGTTTGGGTAGGGCTAGATTCATTTAAGGGTTAGGGGTGGTTAAAGACGGAATAGCATTAGGGGCGGGTTAAAACAGTGTAAGTAAGATTTGGGGGGTTTTGGGGTATTGTTATTGTCACGTAGGTTTAGGGTAGTGTTATAGACGGATTTAGGTTGGGTTAGGTAGGACTTGTATAAGGTTAGGGTTTGTTTAAAAGGCTAGGTTTGGGACAAGTTAGGCTAAGATTAGTTTTAATAGAGATAGGGTTTGATTACGTGTTACGGACGGGTTAGGTTAGGTAGATCGATGTACATACAACAATCTACGGGGTAAAATATCCTGATAAATAGCCTTTTATCTTTTATTTTGCCAAAGGTTGAAAATTGTTTTTCCCCGTCATTAGCAGGACAAATTGTTCTAGGACTCCTAATGTCTTAAATGTACGAACATACGTAACGATTTTCATTAGTTCTGATCTTGTTTTTTCTTCTAGTTTGTGTGATTAGTGATGGCAGTCAATCTGATCCGGGTGTCAAATTCTTTCTTCCAAGGTCAGCATTTAAGTGCAAAAGTGGTTTCCTCAGTGAGCTAATAATTGTTTAGACATGAAAGAAATGCATTTCGGATTTTTTTTAAATCTCGAACTTAAAGCTAAAATTGTTCTGCTCGAATTTCATCGAAGGGCGATAAAAGGTTTCTCGTCTTGTTACAGGATCGAAGCCCTTCAAATTCTAAGGGGGCCTTAATCGAGTGGGAAAGATTTATAAATCAAGCGTTTAACAGATTTCCTTTACATATAAAAACCCCCATGACAAAAACTTACCACGTTTAACTCATAAATTAAGTAGTTTTAACACTTTCAATCCTACTACTTGACAAATTGATTTAAGAAGTTTTGCCTTTGTAAGATTTTTCCCTGTGGTCTGCGTGGTGATGAACCTATAATTTGGTCGTTACCGATCATTTTTTGTCCGTCTACCCTTGCTGTGTCGGTCTGGAAGACGCGTTTCGGTATTTCCCGTCTTCAGCGTTGGGTCTCCAGCTATATTTTTCTCTGCCCAATTTCTGAGATTAAATTAAATCTTGCCAATTCTAAAAGGAAATCTAAGTGGCCGTGACCATGGCACACGGGCCACGAAAACACCGTTAGTTCTGCCCAAAACAAAAAAATTGGATTCTGATGATTTATAAAGAATATTTAGATTATGATCTATCGTTTGCTTGCATAAAAATAAGCAATTGTAAAATAAACTTATTCCCTGGTCGTGAAGATTCCAAGATGGGGAGTTTAGTTTGGCGCCAAAAAATGCAGTGTTGCCAATAACAAAAGAGTACTGGAAATCATAAAGGCTTAAATGACTAATCAACGTCTCTACTAATTTCATTCCAGCGATGAAATAATTAATTCTAAACTGCATGCCCTTGAAATTTATTTGATGACCCTTTTTGAAAACATGTAATAAAAAAACTGTCCTCTTTTTGAACTATTTGTAGGTCTGCGGGATGACAGGTGATGACATCATGCTTAACCTGCAGTTTGGTCATTGCACATCTTCACTGGTATTGTCTAACAAGAGGCAACCAAAATGATCAATAATGACCTAACTACAGAAGTTTTGTAAAATTTTGTAATTATTAATTTAAGACTGGGTGTTCCATACGATGCTGAAATAAGCACCATCCGGTAGGATTATGCGCGAAACATACCGGTATAACATCGCTGCTTCTACCATGGAGCTTTTTACGTCTGTCATCATGCTTAATATTTAAAAAGAAAAACGTCTTTCATTGTTAAACCAAATTTGAAAGAAAGTAAAAATTTACAAATCGAGAGGCTCGACAGCAATTAACTGTGAGAAACGCGATGCTTGCAAGGTTGTTGGTATGTAGGCTCAAAACCTGTTCTGACCCACGGCCGATTCCGTTGTTTCGCCGTGGATTTGAAATGCTCCGAACGTCGAAAATTCTTCAATTTCATCCTGCTATTTCGGCCCATAATAAAATCCATCTAATTAATAATTTAATTGATTTTCTTTCTGTTTTTTAGGTCTGGACGGATGAAACGACTTCTGTTTAATGAGGAGGACGCAGTGATACCGTACTAATGGCTATGGTAAGCGTGATTAATTTAATCTTATATAATCCCACTTCATCTCTCACGCCCGTTAAACATTTTTCAGACTCCTCAGAAGAAGATTGGAGGTCGCAAAAGCCATACGCTCATTCAGTCTCCTATAGTTAAACGCGTCCTGTCCACTCCGGTCACCCTGCAAGGATGGCTTCAAAAACGTGGCAGTGATGGTCTTATGCTCTGGAAAAAGAGGTGGTTCGTCCTTTCCGACTATTGCCTCTTTTATTACAAAGGTAATTATCATTATATGTGGATACCACTTCAAATAGTGGTCACCAAACGTGATAGTGTATTTATGACTGTATAAACCTTGCATCTGTTGACAATGTACGATTTTTCGCCATCGTTTTGCTCCACCAATTTGCTATTTGGTTTAACCCTATCTAGTCAAATACCTTAACTTACCCATTTACTGAGATGCTGAATAAGATACAAATGAGAAAATGAACAAATACTTGAAAGAAATTCGAGGGGTTACCTATAGGCCAATAGAACACCTTGTATCAAGCCCACATTAGAACGAAATTTGTGTTATATCAAACTCAACAATTATAAAAGGAACGACTTCCTGATGGTGAAGATTTGAAGATTTCAAACTAAAATCTTCCCGCTAAAAAATTCAATGTTGCCAAAATGGGCGGGAAGTTTGCAGAAGCAACACTGCGCCCAAACCTTACATGATTTATCGCTAGCCTTTAACAAATTTGTTAAATTTGTCTATCTTAGGCAACATATTGGGCCCTAAAGGGTTAAAAAAGTTTTAAACAACGTTGATACTATTTGAAGACGTTTTACATGACGGGGGAAGGCACATTTCGTGGTGAGGTTGTGGTAGGTGAAGAGCCATGTTGACTTGGAAATTTTGGTCTGACACCAAAAAAACAGTGTTGCCAATACATGGGCGGAAAGACTGCCAGAGCAACTCTGCGCCAAAATCTCACAGGATTTCCTGCTGACCTTTTACCAAATTGCTAGTTGGTGTTGCTTTGAGACAAACTAGTAACAGAAAAGGTAAATCACGTGTTTTAGTTAACATTGACTCTGTTTGAAGACTTTTTGCCTGACGGGGAATGTCACCTTACCGGGGGAGGTTGTAATAGGTGAAGAGTAGGAGATTGAAGTTCCGAGAAGATTTTATTTTGACGGCAAAAAGTATAGCGTTGCCACAGGCGGAAACCTGCAGGGGCACAACTGCGTCCTAATCTCACAGGATTCTCCGCCACTAACCTTGAAGGCTACATTTGTCTACCATAGACAACATATATTTAACCCTAATGGGATAAAAGTTTTTTAAGCATCGTTGACGCTATTTGAAGACGATTGACATGACGGGGGACGGCTCATTTCGTGGTGAGTTTGCAGTAGGTGAAGAGCCATGTTGGACATGGAGATGTTAGTCTGGCGCCAAAAAATACAGTGTTGCCAATACATGGGCGAAACATTGTGCCCGACTTCAACTCATGTTTCCCTCCAACTTTGTCAAAATTGCCCAAGTTGGTGTGTAAAATCCAAGCCGCCAAAACCCCATCTAATCCTAACAGGATTGAGAGACAGCTGGATTTATAAAGATGCTTATCATAAATGAAATACACATTAGCTGGTTCAAATCACTTTGCATCAGTTACAAAATGCCATTCTTAATTTCTTACATATGTTTTTATTTATTTTACTGCTAAATATTCCTTTAAAACGTTTATGTCCCATCCTAAAATCACATAGAATCAAAAACGTTGATACCACATTCTCCAGCGTAGAGAACTAAACGTGTTCCTTGATGTGACACAGGCTTTTAATAGCCCATTCAAGCGTCTTAAGTAAACTTCGCTTCCTCCCCTTTATTACCGTATGCTGGAATTTATCTGGTCTCTACTTCAGAGTACAGTGCACCAACTCAAATATCAGATGGATACCGGAGTATTACAAAGGAGCATTCTTGGTCTCATCTTGTATTCACACTGCAGAAATTCTAACAAGACAGAACAGCACAGTGTACATTGAAAAAACAGTCTTGCCCTTCACTGTACATCAACATAGAGCTATCAACTACTACTCAAATCAGATACTTAAGACTTCTATATTACTATACATAGATTGACATTGAATCCTCACACGAGAGACAACTAACAGAAGAATTGGACGATGTGAAAACTCGACATTAGGACATTACTGCGACTACTTTGGACATAAGGAACTGTGGGGCTCCACCAAGCCATCCAATTCCAGCACATCCTTTCGATCAAAAGTCCCCAGACTTTACTATATCACCCACCTCTCTATCCACAATGACTTCAACATTCCTTTTGTCTGAGGTGATCGATCTGCTGACAAAAGTTCCACACCAAGATAACAATCCATCCTGACCCTACTTCCCAAGCCTTGTGTACACTTTCCATTCTGATAACCCACCACATCACCCTAAAAAACTATGACCTTGAGACCTCCTCGCCATTTAATCCCTCATCTTGAGTGTCAGCGTTTACTGGTTTCTCTTAACATGTGTCCTCCGGACGCTGGCCACAGTGGTACTGTTGTGACCAGGAGAAAAAAACAGCGAAAATTATGTGGTTTTTTTAATGTACAGGCTGCAAATAAATTAAACCTGTTTTGGGTCATTTCTGATTATCCTGGTGTCTTTGGCTTGTATGTTTACATATAAAATCAACCACCAGGTTAGGCAGAACAGGATGATTCGAAGAGATTAGACTATGTCTTTTCACTTCTTTTCTTAATTTATGTTCATTACTTTCATATTTTGTTTTAGACACTGACGAAGAAAAGGTGTTGGGCTCATTTATACTTCCTTCGTATAAAATATCACCCTGTTCAAATGAGGACAAGGTTTACAAAAAGTATAGTTTCAAGGCTGAGCATAACAACATGCGGACGTATTATTTTGCTGCTGACAATGATGTATTGATGGCTCAATGGGTCAAAGCTTTGACGTTAGCTTCACTTCTCCAAGAAACACCTGGGTAATTTTATTGATTGCTTTTTGTTTGTTTGTAACTGTAACTTATGTATTTTTTTAATGATGTTTAGACCTATGGCGAAGGCGATTAATAATCAAACAGCTGCAGCGAACAGAATAAATTCCGATTCGTACGGTTATGGAGATTATCAGTATGGCACTTCTGATGTTGGAATAGGTACAAATTCAAATAGTTCAGACAATCAACCTTTATACGCTAACGCCCCACCCAAACCTAAACGGATGAACGAAGCCCCTTCACCAAATTGCTCACCGGAACTTCAGACATTAGAAGAGCGAGATGCAAGAACTGCATATCCTCAAGAATGGACACATTCGTATTATAAGACACCACATATGCCTCCCATATCGGCAATTAATGTTCAAAATTTTGAGAAAAGCATTCCGGAATCTTACAGTCGTAACCTTTACCACCAAGGCAATTTGCAGCTCAACAATGAAACACATTTAAGAAATAACATACAACAGTCAAATGCAATCAACCACTATCAGCATCTGCAGTACTTTACCTCAAATCCAAAAGTTCTCAACAACCATCCTCCTCGACCACACAGTGTTGACTTTTTAGACTATGAGGCTAAGCAACCGCAACAACCGTCAGCCCAAAAAGAATCTAAACTCATCACATTACCCAGAAGACCGAAATCTAGTTTAAGCATTTTAGGTCCTAAAGAAGAAGCATTTGATTCTGTTCATTGGTCAGAAGAAAGTTACGCGAAGAAAATGAGGCAGTCGTCTATGTACGTGAGGCCTCAAGTTGACAGTACGCCTCCCGGTATGATGAGGATGCCACCGTCGAATAAACAAAGGGTTAATACAAACACTTCAAACCTCGACCGGCCTGGCAGTGACATCCACCATGGATTAAACCCTCAAGAAGGAACAAGGTAGTACAAAAATAATTCTTACAAATAATTTTTTTATTTTTAACATAACAAAAAATTCAGAGGACATGAAGATAGTGAGATCGACCCATTATTTAAACGTTCAGCAAGTGCACGACTTCCTGAACCCGATCAACAATATCAAGCGAACATCAAAAATATATCGAACGATGGCGACAATAATGAAAATTTTGACAGAAAGAAAACTCACCAGGTGACGACTTTGTCAATAAAATTGATAAATTAATCTTTTTTACATCGGCTTATTGAATTTTTAGAAAGAGGAATCAATGAAGAGGCTGTTAGAATGGAAACAAAGGATGTTACAATCGCCTCTGACACAGAAAGTGCCTCCAAAACAGACTGAATATACAACTTATAATAAAGAGGTCTCTGTCAACCCAGAGATTTTAACTAAAGGGACAATGTACAACAGCGATTCACAAAATCCAAACATTTTCTACCAAAAGGGCATCGAAATAATGAAAAAACAAGATGAAGGATTGGAAAAGACCAATACAAGACAGGATTTTACTATTGACAAGGGTATGTAAATGCATAAATGTTTTGTATATTAAATATCAAGAATTTTATTTTTATGGACTATAAAAATTTACGCTTTTTTTCATCCTCTGGTCACCGGCGATGATAGTCTTCTTGTCTTAGGTGTTAGCAAAGTTACTAACTTCCGCCTCAGAACAATTGCTTATGTGAATAGCTATGACAAACTTATGCTTCCGCATAGTTACCTACTTGATTAGCAATATTAACAACGTAACCTCACCATAGTTGCCTACCTTAGATGGTAGCAATGTTACCACTTACACCTCAACATACTTGCCTACTGTGGTGGTAGCAATGTTACCAACTTAAACCTCAGCACAATTGCCTACCTGAGGTGGTAGTTATTGCTAAACGAATAGCAGTGTTTTCAACTTATATCCCAACAACCTGAATAGTAATGTTACCAACTTACATCACACCATGGTTGCCTACCTGAGGTGGTAGTAATGTTACCAACTTATAAGTCAACGTAATAACTTACCTGAATAGCAATGTAGGGTGGGCGACCAAGACCCAAGGGGTTAAATGCCTGGGTAGAAAATAAGGGTTACCTTGTTCTTAAACCTGGAAGAGATCCTATTGATAATATCTACAATTTCCTCCACTAGTCTTGAGGTTGACAAATCTTTTTGTAATGACCTAAAACTAGCCTGACTGTCAGAAAAAATTCTAATATCCTTCCCTTAATTTTATTTTCCATAAGTGTTCTACAACACACATTAATGGGCCAGATTTCCGCCTGAAAAACAGAGGAGTTATTGCCAAGAGGGGAGGAGATGCTGATTCCTAATTTAGGTATGTAGATTCCTGCACCACTCCCTTTACCTTTGATAAGTGAACCATCTGTATAGTAGTCTATGTCGATGGTCATCATCCACACTATAATTATATTCACAAGAGGTGACTACCTGAAAGTACTTTTTTCCTGAAGGGGTTTTAATCTTTTTATCACGAACGCTTAATAATTGGCCATTAACCTTACTCAATAATTGTAAGATTTTCGAGTGACCTATGTTATTGCACTTATGATTCCAGCTGCCTTCGCTAATTAATTTGTAGCAGCTGATGAGTGCTCTGACCTTAGCCACAATGTGTAGAGGTGTGGTATTGGTTATGATTTCAAATGCTAGGGTGGGTGTAGTTGAAAATGCTCCTGTCATCATCAAACAGCCTAGTCTTTGAAATGACCTTAATTTGTTACTATTCCCTTTATTTTCTAGACCTTTCCACCATACTAAAGGTGTGAACATTAATCTAGGTAGAATAATTGCAGTATATAGCCATTTGGCTACCCATGGTTTGAGGCGCCATGTTTGACCGACAATTCTCCTACATTGTACCATTGATATTGTGCCTTTTCTGTAAATGTTATTAATATTATATCAAGTTTCCTGTCAAGCATCACACCAAGGAATTTGATTGAATCCACTAACTTTAATCCTATGCCCTGAAAATTAGGGTAAAATTACCTAATGTTCTTCTCCTACTAAACATTACAACAACTCTCTTACCAAGCATTCCAGTTTAGCTGGATTAATTTAAAAACCTTTATCACAACACCACTCATAAAGCAATCCCATGGAATTTTCTATCAGTAGTGAAAGAGTCAGGGGATCCCTACCTGTGAGCATTATGGTACCATCATTTGAGAATAATTGACTGTAGAAACCTGAATTATTCAGTTCTATTAAACTGCTTACTGTAATTAACCATAAAAGAGGTGACAAGCAGCCTCCCTGTGGACAGCCTCCTTTGACATTAATTCTAAAAGTACTACCACCTACGCACATATTGATCATCCTTCCCTCCAAGTAGGTCTTCACCCATCTAGTAAGGGGATGATCAACATTGTAATTATCTAGTGCTGATATAATGCAAGAAGTATCAGCATTATCAAACACCCCTTGGATATCGAAGAAGTATGTTCATTATCAAATAATGAGTTCTCAATCCTGCCTATCACTGAATGCAAAGCAGTTTCCACTGATTTTCCTGGTAAATAGGCATGCTGATTGGGATGTATCATTGTATTAATTCCACAATCATGTCTAATATATCTATCTAAAATTTTCTCTAATATTTTTATGAAAATAGAAGATATACTTATAGGTCTATAAGATCTAGGTAATTGATATGAGGCCTTACCTGGTTTGGATAAGAAAATTACCCTTATTTCCTTCCAGCATTTTGGTATATGTCCCAATGCCAGACTACTCCTTAGGAGATCCCACACTGTACTAGATAGACTAGGTGTATCCTGTTGAAGGAGGGAAGAGAATATTCCATCCACTCCGGCTGCCTTGTATTTCTTGAAGGAATGTACCGCCCATTTATAGGGGGGGGGGATTTATCTTGCTGGTGTTATATATTTTAATTTAAAAAAATATATTTGTACTTGAAAGGTGATATAATGTATTCTATAATAATGACAAGATTCTTAAATTTAAAAAAAAATTTTTTTTGCTTTTTTTTTTATTTATTTATTTTTTAAATGAATCTTATTATCTATTACGGAAGATTACAAATTAAAGTCGATGGTTGATAACTGTATTGTATAATTGTATGTAAGTTGATAATTCTTGCCTCGCTATGCTGATCCTGTAGAGAAGAAAATTTGTTTCGACCTCGAGGAAATGCTATTCTTGAATATTGGTCTCCAATGTTGAAAAGAGTCCTCTTGTATGATCCTAGGCCAAGGATGTCTGATTTAGTGCAGATAATCAGCTCCCAAAAAAAAAGTCCTGTCTTCTTGCCTCGCTACGCTGATCCTGTAGAGAGAAGAAAATTTGTTTCGACCTTGAGGAAATGCTATTCTTGAATATTGGTCTCCAATGTTGAAAAGAATCCTCTTGTATGATCCTAGGCCAAGGATGTCTGATTTAGTGCAGATAATCAGCTCCCCCAAAAAAATTCCTGTCTTCACCCGGTACCAATCATAACTACACCGTAGTCCATCCCCTCTCTCTTGTTGCAACCTCTTTGTCCCTCTCTCTTCGGGCCAGCGCCGCACTGTATTTGTTATATCGTTTCTGTTTCCAAACAATAGTCCCTCCAGGCTTTACGCTTAGTTTTCCTTAACTCTTTTTTATATTCTTTTTTTTTCATGAAGAAATACTCTCTCCAGTACAGTTTATAGTTCCACTGCAGGGCTTTTTTGTGTGATACTCTGACCCTTTTCCTTAGCCAGATCTTTATTCCACCAGTGATGTCGATTCTGATGTATTTTTTCAGGACACGCTTCTACTTACGCAGAGTTTATGACCTGTATAATGTTGTTAGCAACCTGCTCCAGCTCTGTTAGGTTAGTAGGAGCAGGTATGCATCCTGTAATATTATTAATAATATTAATATAGGTTTCCCAGTTCGTTAGTTTGGGATTCCTAAATCTTATTTTGTTAACTTCTCCTGAAAATCAATTATACAATGATCTGAGGGGGGGGATCTTACCTGGTGTCACCTTCCACTCCGTTACCCAATTAGCAATTGGCAGGCAGAGAGGCTACTGATACATCCAATACTTCCCTTCTATTTTTTGTTATAAAAGTGGGAGTGTTGCATACATTCAGGATGGATAAATTTTTGCTTAATATATATTCCAAGAATGTACCTCTTGCATTGTTATCTGTGCTACCCCATGCTAGGTTGTGTGCGTTGACATCACAGCCCAGAATAAGACCTATATTATTATCGTCACAATATAAGTTCCTTTACTGCCTTGGTTGGGCTCATCGTGGGGTAAGTTTGCACTTGCCAGATATAAAGTTTTGTGGCTCCCCCTTCTCCTGAAATCAATTGATATTGTAATGATATCCCTAGAACAAAACCTGGTTATAGGAATTGGTCTTAATTCCTTATGAGCCACAATACATGCTCTCGGCCTGTCATACCTTAGATCCTGAAACAGTTCAAAATTTTTATTTTTTAAACCAATTGCTAGGCCCCTATAGGTATAGGGTTCCTGTATTAAATCAATGTTTGCAGACCAAGTCATGTCCCTACCAATTTCAGCCGTGGCAATCTTACTGTGCTGCATATTAATTTGTGACACCCTGACAGGTCTCATGAATAATCCATGGTACACTCGGGGTGAGTCACTTAAATGAGAAGAGGAAGGTTTAACCCTGATTCAGAAGGGAATCATCAGATTCGCTAGAAAGCTCATCGACAATCACCCCTTCCACACCAGGACCACCCGCTCCTACATCACCCTTACCTCTATCCGTGTGAGCTGGATTGGAGTCTCTTCCATCGTCCTTTGTCAGTGGAGATAGGTCCTTATCAATCTCCATTATCTCTGGTAGAAAGGGTATGGAGGTATGGAGACTTCCACCCTGATGCGGTTCAACTCCAGTGTCATCATTGGATTTTGTTGGAGTTTTTTAGCATCCGCTTCTGGTACTTCCCAACAGAGGTAAGTCCCGTGGCCTGTGTGGGGTTCTCTGTTGTATTCAACGAGTTCCCAATCCTTTATATTCAAACCTGCTTTCCTGTTGGAGATTCTCAGCAGTTTGTTTATTGACTCTTTCCTTGTCTCGAGTCCCACTGCATATGTGGACACTTTGGCCTTCTTTGGGAGGTCGTTAATGTCACAGACCACATATTTCCTCTCATCCCACAGCTTCTTTAGCGTGTCCCTGACAAACTTGACGGTGAGTTCATCCCCGCAGCTTATTATGAACATGGATCCTCCTTCAACAAGACCTGAATTTATGAAATCCACGCCTTGGTCCTCATCTTCTTCCTCAATCAGTTCGAGGGCACTGTTGCAGATCAGTGATCTCAACTCTAGTGCCTCATCGTTTGTGAAGAAATCCTTGTTGGCTTTCCTAAAAAGAACTTTAAACAATGGTTTATGAGTCATTACCTGCTCTTCCTTTGCCTTTCCTTGCCGTGGTTTTTTGGCAGGCCCTTTTGCAGAAGGTGGAGTGAAAGAATACTCCATCCTACTTCTTTTAGTACTGGTCCCCAGTCTGTTCTGTGCGGGGGTAGTACTTACCTGAGGGTCACGTCTTTGTTTGAACCTGTCCCTGAAGGCAGGTTGAAACGCAGGTGTGGACCCAACCTTTCGAGAATTGGAGCGATCCTTATTGTGCTCGAGCCTGGATCGCCCTCCTCTGATACCCATTTTGCTTTTAACCAGGGTGAATCCCTCGTCTTTATCACCCTGTACCTTAGGAAGAGTAACCTTGTCTCCTTCACAGCGCTCCAAATTGGTGCTGCCGGTGGAGGAAGGAATGCTCTCCATCTCCGTCTTCTTCTTGATTACTGTTTCTGTTTCTTTTCCACTCATTCGAGTGGAAAATATACTTGTTAATAAGTGGAACAAATAACGCCGTTGTCACGTGGCTTTACGGGCGTGCAACCTCCCGCGTGGTTCACGGCCAAGTCCTTGCAATTTACAGGCCTACACCTCAACATACTAACCTACCTGAATAGGCTACCAACTTAACATAGTTGCCTACATAAGGTGGCTGTCTTAAAAAATATTTGTGTACCTTTTGGTCCTTTTTTTGTTTGTATTTCTTGTGCACAGAGTTTTAGTGTCTTGACAAAAATTGACGGAATGTAGGGCCTTGATGATTCGCTAGGTTAAAATTTTGTCCTTTAACCCTCATCCTGACTCTGCATTTCACTTTGGATTTATCTACGTACCACTGTTACTTTTCTATTGTGACTTATTTTTAGAATTGATTTTGTGTCTTCTTTTCCAAGGTTTTTGGATTTCTACTGCATGTTTACCACAAAACCTTTAGCCATAGAAGATAAGACTACAAAATAATAATCTAAGTTATAGTCATTAAACACTAAACTGGTCATAATTTTTCCCCTATTTTACAGGTATTATCAAACGGAATTATGGAACTTTATATAAAGATCAGAGCAATAACCAAATAAACGTTGGAAAAGTAGAAATGAAAGCAAACTATCGTGATTGTGAACTACGTGGCGAAGGGCAGATGTCGACAGCCAAAGTTGAAAGTGAGACATTAAACAAGCCTCCAATTTTCCCGCACATAACAAGGTGCTACTCGAATGATAAAAGAAGCAGCTCAAGTGCGAATTCATCGTTTGATAGCAATAAGCCGATATATTCTAATACAATAATTGACAATAAACAAAGCCCTTCGACGTTTGATTTTCCCAGAGATAGGAAAGCTGTAAAACCACAACCGTATAATTCTAATACAGAAGAAAAAAGGGGAGTAGTCGATGAGGAATGGGGCTTAAAACTGGACGAATCGCGAGTTATTAAGGAGTTTTCCTACCATTACATTAAAGGCGACAATCACGAAGGGATTCCTTGCAACAGAGGGATTGAAATGATGCAGCCAAATTACAAAACCAGACATTTACAGACTCATTCGTCCAAACAGGAAGAATCCGTTAAAAAACAGGTCGACATATTAAAATCGCCTATTTTGAATTTTGAACAAAAACCTAATATTAGGTGTGGGGAAGAAGCTAAGCCGAGAGCACCGACAGGCATTCTAAAAACATCAAAGCAGAAGAAAGTTCAGAGTAAATTGGACGAGTCTCATAAAATTCAGAACAGAACAGACTGGACGCAAGAAAACTCAGATGATTATATGAAAAAACAAGTCCTCAGTGATACTGAAACTCTTTTGTACGATACTTCCAGTGACGTAGATGAAAAACGTCCCGTGTGTGTTACACTTAAACAGACCAGTTCGAGCGATGACGATAGAGACGAAGAAGTGGCTTCGGTCCTTGCTAAAGAGCACAAGCTGACTGGCCTTTGCCAAACTCCGACTGAATCCGAATCGACAATGAAGCACATGACAGTGAATTCAAAAGACGGTGAGAAACGTATCACATTTAGTAGACCGTTAAGTTTGCCCGATTCGAATTCCACACTTCCGGAGGAAAACTATATGCCCATGACGCCTAGGAGAAGACCGATGTCCACCACGCCGACCAAAGAGTCAGATCAATCCAATCCTCTGACTTCCCCCCACAGAATAAGCCTCGAGCACGTATTAGACGCAGTCGAAGAATGTCCGTACGTAGAAATGAACCAGAACGGTAAAGACAAGTCGAAATCCACAAAAGTGTCTCAGACACCAAAAGACGCTGACTTCGATCTTGAAAGTTCGACCTACATCGATTTAGACACGAGTAAAAATTTGAACTACGAGTTACACGTCTACAACGAAATGCAATCCCAAGAGCCTCTTTACATGGAAGTCAAAGATAAAAATATGTCTGAATCTAATTTTATATCTCGTGAAATTTCAAGCGTGAGCTTTATAGAGTTGGAAAACAAGGATGAAGAATCTTGCGAAGGGCGGGATGTTTCGGCAAGAACTTCGTTGCCGGATATTCTCACGACTGCGCCTTCGTTCAACCACGGTTCTGGCAGATCGGATAGTTCTGATGCTGACGATGAAGCTTCTAAAGATTTAGACTCGATCGACGCCCCGAGACACCCGAGATTTAGCCTTTCTGACACATTTAGACCGGCTTCTTACTATTTAGGAAATAGCCTAAGCGAAAGGACAATAATCGCGATGAATTCCGATAATCCGGATTCGTCCGACAGCGATCTCGTCTCTCCGCCTCCAATACCGACAAGTTCTCCTCCTTTGGATGATTTGGACACGTCCATAGACTCGACGATAAACAACAAGATATCGCCTGCAGGATCCAAAGAAAAATTCGAAACAAATTTTTGCAGAGAGGCCAAATGCAATTATTCTTGTAAGAAAAGCGACACACCACTCGATTTGGGAAGTTCAGAAGAGGAATCTATTAAATCAGACAGGACCGATTTGTTCCTGAAGAGGCGTCCTTTATCTGCGGACATTTTAAGTAGCTTTCACGAATTCAGCGTTTTAGATACACCTTCTCCTAGAGAAGCCAAATCCTCTAGCGATGTTGAATCTATCGAAAATGGAAAAACTAAGTCAATATATCAACAGGATAATGAATTTTATGACCAACAAGATCTTAAAATTAGTAAATTGATCGATAACCAACCGTACTACTGTTCTCAGAAGGATGAACTTTTCGAAAGAAGTGATGTTACGAATAGAATGTTCAATGAAGTAAAACGAGAATGTTTAGAAGCCTCCAACATGAAAACTTCCGATTACACGTTAAAATTAAACGGATGTAAACCCATCAACAGTTCCCATTTATACAGATCTTCAAATAACCAATTTAATGCAAATGTTTCTAATGATCAGTCTACTTCAACTGATGGTTACCAGCAAAAGAATAACCATCAAAATTCTGATGACATCAACGAGTATATTATACATTCCGTTCCGATAGGTTTTTCTCAAGATCAACAAAACTCGGCTCCCTACTATTATTCCGATCTATTGAAAGACCAGAGGAACAATGCGCACATGAAAAACTTAAGAACGTCAAAGGAAAAATTACAAGGTGAAACATTTTACCCTTCAGAGTTGTACGTGCACGACAGCAATGGAAATCCTATTTCGAGGGATGGAACATTCATGAACAATGCAGATGTTACAATGCCTTTGCAGCAATCGGAGAGGATGAAAATAAACGCGGCGAGGTCTTCAAGCACAACTTATAAAAGAAACGAGACGAATTCTGAAAATAGAAAAATAATAGAAAACAAAAAACCGACTCAGGAAGAGAAGTCATTAGAGCTTCATAACAGATCAAGATCACTCGAAGGACTGATGGACAGTAAAACGCCCAATTATCACAGTCAAATAGTTCAAAGTCAACAAATTTTAGTAGGACCTCAAATTCCAATGGCGCAAGTCAGTAAATCAGGGACTTTGAGGAGCATAAACAATCAAACGCAAAGGACTGCTGATTTGTGGGATGAAGACGCCCTGTGGAGGGAAAATTTGAGAAAGACGAGCGTGAGGCATACGAGGTCGCTTGAAGATCTTGACAAAAAAGTCGAAGTTCCAACCTCCCCTGGGCACAATCAAACCCGGCCAGAAGCGGTTTATGTCAACAGTGATTTTTCTCGAGGTCAGAATAATGAAATCGCCCATAGGGGTTCCATCGATAAAGGTAAGCAAATCGTCTATTTTTAAATGAAAAATATATTTTTTTACTTTATTTTCAGACAGGGAAAAAATAAGACAGTGGGATTTATTATCAAGCGCTCCAGCTACACTCAGCACAAGCCACATAGTCAATCCTACTGTATCCGAATCTAAACCGTTTCTCACGACAAAAACAGCCCACGGTATCTCTACGTGTTTTATTTAAATTGAGGTTTTTATTTCATGCATTTTTTTCCACCCTCTCAAAGGAACGGCGAGCGAGCCGAATTATAATCAAACCCCACCCAAAGGTGAACAACGAGCCGTTGCATCTCCTCAAGCTACAAATAACCGGCAGCCAGAAAACAAACAGGTATTTTCAAAAGCAGTTGTTTGACTTAGTTTGTACAATAATTTAAAACTTAAACATATCATGAATAGCAATACTACAATTCCCTACCTGAGGTGGTAGCCATTGCTACAAAACTAGCAATATTACCAACTAACACCTCACCCTAATTCCATACCTGAGGTAGTAGCTATTGCTACAAAACTAGCAATATTACCAACTAAGACCTCACCCTAATTCCATACCTGAGGTGGTAGCTATTGCTACAAGACTAGCAATATTACCAACTAACACCTACCCTAATTCCCTCCCTGAAATGGTAGCTATTGCTACAAGAACAGCAATATTACCAACTAACAATTCATCCTAATTCCCGGCCTGAGGTGGTAGCTATTGCTAAAAAACTAGCAATATTACTAACTAACACCTCAGAATAATTGCGCACAAGAATAGCTAATGTTACCAACTTACGCCTTATCCTAATTCCATACCTGAGGTGGAAGCAATGTTATAAATGTACACCCCAGCATAATTGCCTACCTGAGGTGGTAGCTATGTTACAAACCTACACCTAGTTTTTTTTATCTGAACAGCAGTGTTACCAACTTACACCTCAGCATAGTTGTCTACCTGAATAATAATGTTACAAAACTTGTAATTTAGCATAGTTGCCAACCCGAGGTGGTAGCAATGTTAGGAACTTACACCTCAGACATGTTGCAGTTGCCCAAGGCTTATACGAATTATATTCGTTACTAGGTCTTGTAGCCATCTCTAACCAGATAGTCGACATTAACTGGGAGCCTGTAGTGTCCAGATAGTAATATCGGGTATTTTGAGTTGATATTTCTTGCCAATTCAGGAATCTCAGAACCACGGCTTTTCCTCTTTCTCTCAAGAGTAGGGATCTCAAACTTCCAAAAGGGGAAATGTTTCCCTGTTTCCTTCTTCTTTCTGGCAATGTATGCACAGATTTGTTTCTGTCTCCAGAGTCTGCTGTCTTTCTATCATTCTTGTCATAAACCGCACTAGGTTTAGTAGTTCTGTTGGTAGATTTTTTGATGGTGCCTCTGTCCTAAAATACGATAAGTTGACCTAGAAGGTCTATGAAATTATAGGAAGTTCTGATGTAAGGCGTTCTGTCAATATGTGGTTTATGTTTTTGAGGTTTTGGTTATGACGGGATATTTCATGGGCATTCCTAATCAGTTTGGCAAGTCGACCGTTGTTTACGGAAGGTTTCTCATTCAATTAACCGGTGGTTGTATGTTAAGTTTGACATTTTATTTTATTTTTATTTTTTTAAATATCCAAGAAATAATAAAACTAGAGAAACAAAGGTAAAGCCGAGTTTGTCGCTAGATTGGACCATTGAGTCTCGCCTTGTAGCGTTTTCTCAACTTTTTTTCTGTTTTGCTGGCAGCTTAATGTTGCGTTGCGTACTCGCCATTAAAACCGTTTTTTCACACTTTTTGTCATTTTTTTCCTCTTTCCCCTGGACACTTATCTTTCTCAATTTTGATAATAAATTTACGCCCTCTTTTTATACGATGGTTTGTTTGTTTTTGTCCTATTAGAATCTTTTTCACTCGACACTCCATAGAATTTTGGTATGTTTTATTGTAGCAGAGCAGTTTTCTATTAAATTTAGCTCTTTTGCTTCACACGATTTTTTTTTAAACTGTAATGCACTTAAACATTTAAAGTGAATCGACATTGTGGACACTTGGTATGGTATGATATGATGATGATGAGGGATATAAGGCAGCGGGGTTTGTGCTCCCCAGGCACTGCAGCCTTCTGGCTTATTGTACCTTCCTAGTTCCCTAGTTCATTGCAATAGACTCTATCCTAGGAGGATCAGGTCATTGACTGTTGCTGCTACAATTGCATTCCCTAGATTTTTATCATATGTTAGATTAAATCTCGATTGAGCTGTTGCTTTGCATTCAAAGATGATATGGGTGGTTGTTTCCTCCTCCTCATCGCACAATCTGCAGATGAGATCATCGTATGTGCCCATGTTGTGTTGATATTTTCTCAGATACCAGTGACCAGTTAATAGACCTATCACTCCTTTAAGTCTAGGTCAAAACTACAGCAGGAAGTTTGCCAGATTGGTGAGGGTTGTTTCATCAAAAGTTTACTGTGTCTAGCACCGCTAGAGTTTATCCACTTCTCCTTTTGTTTTGTTTGGATCCATTCTGCGATGGAGGATTCTATATTTGTTTTTGTTATCCCAAGTGTAGGTTTGGGGCCTATGCATGATCTTGCAGATGTTCTTCTGGCCAGCCTGTCTGCTTTTTTGTTACCTAAAAATTTGTTCCCTGGCGCCCAATATGTCATCAGGTCATTGTGTTTCCCCAGATTTTGAATGCATTCACTGACTAATTTTGATGTGTGGTCGCTTGAAAAAAATCTCTTCTCTGGGGTCAAACAAATCATTAAACATTTACTGAACTTGCTCATTTAAAAGTTTTCTCAACTGACCATAGAATATGTTTCTTAAATAGAACATCAAAATCAGACACAATCCGAAGAACGTTTTAACATAATGTCCATAATTCAATATAAGAACAAAAAAATACATTTTTTTTAGAAAGATGGTAAAAAATACTTAAATATATCAAAAAATCCTTTCAATAAAATGAATAGTTGATAGGGATGTGTAGATTTGTCATTCGGGGTGGATATACTGCGCCCTTTAAGAGCTATTGTATCCCCCGTTCTATGCTTAAAGAACACCGGTAAGTCCTAATTCATCGAGGTACTTAATTACTAGGCCCGGTTTCAGTTGTTTGCTTTCTTGTTACTTCCTTGTAGTTGTTAGTAGGTTGGTGTTTCTGCTTTCTTCAAAATCTGCATATGCCATGTTGTGTTATATCTCCTTCAGATTAGTTCAGTCTGCAGTTTCTTGTTAAGAATCCTATCAGGATTCAGTTTTTTTTTTTTTTTGCTTCTTTGTTTGTTTTTTCCTTCCAAAATTTGTTAGAAGGTAGTTGGATTATGTCCAATGAGTGAATTCTATTGTTTCCTAATTTCCATTTTATCCTTTTGTCCAAGCTACTCATTGAGAGTGTGAAGGGCTTGGGACCTATCAGCGGTGCAGTAGCCCCTTTCCTTGCAAGGGCGTCTGCTTTCTCGTTGCCCTCTACTCCCACCTTGGACCCAGTAGAGGGTGATTTTATTTTGCATCTGTTTAGATTAGTTTTGCAATTCAGCACCATCTTTGAGCTAATAATGTTTGAACTTGGCGTTTTGATGGCTGCTTGGCTATCTGACATGATAGCTATATTCTTGTTTTTGTACCCTTAATTCAGATTGAATTGGTACATCTTTCAATTGCCTGTACCTCAGTCTGGAAAATATTGGTGCATTTTCCCATGAGTTCTGATTATTTTATTCCAGGACTACTCCTGCCCCCCCCCGTCCCTTCCTGTGTTCTAGATCCGTGTACTAGCAGAGTACCATTCTTAACAGATGGGTTTCTCCCTTTTTCCCCATTCTTTTTTGACACTTAAATTTGGAAAGGTTTTTGAGAGTTTAAATTATATTATTTTATTTATGGATTTTTCTATCAAGATCCCATCTCAAATCTTGGGCATTACTGCTTCTTGGATTTCAATTTTGCTTTTTTCAATTTTATATAGAGATAAGTTGGAAGAAGCTAGATTAATACTCTAGGAATCACTGGGAAAGTTTTTGGTTTGTATATTTGGACGTATACATGGAAAACATAAGACGCACACTTTCATCTGCTCCAAGGAACTCAAGCTTAGCCGGATTATTTTTTTATTAATGTTTAAACATTCGATTGACTTAACATTGTCGACACTAATGCATACATCTCAATTGTATATCAACAAAGGTCATTTTTCCTATTAGTGTGTGCATTTAATAAGTAGTGATAAACTTGAGTGTATTTTTTGTGTTTTGTTTTCTTGTGGTAGAATAAAGTGTTAGCAACTTGTTAGATTTGAATGTAGAATTTTATCCATATTTGCTTAGTAGGCTTATATGAATTTTTGTCCTTGGTTTATTTTCGTTCGTTTTCCTTACCAATGCTCGGTTTCTGAGCCTTCTGTATACCAGATATGGTCCACTTTCGACATCCCTTTTTCCCAGTCTGCTCTAGCAGGTATTTTAACTTTAAAATTTTGGTCAAATCTGAATTTAGGGATCAGCCCAACTACCATATCTGCCTGCTCCCCCCCCCAGAAGCTTTAATCGCTCTTGTATTTGATTCCCCTCATATTGCATATCTATAGAAACCGGTTCTTAATATCGAACATAAAAATTAAAATTGAGCATTCTTGGTTTTTTAATTTTTATACTTTTGGGTTCAGATGTAGCCTGAGATATTTCACATATTCCACTGGATCTCGTTTTTGCGTAATCTTAAGTCTAAATAGAATTTGAAGCCTCCATGAGAGCTGTTGAAATAAAATATAAAGAGAATGGATGAGGGTGAAAATCAATTGGACTTGATGAAAGTAGTAGTGATGAACTATAAAAATCCATCCATTGTCCGATCTCTGCTGGGTTTGTTTTTTCCTCTCTTTAATAAAGTACAAAATTCTTCTCAGGGATATTTTACCCTTGCGGGTTAGTTATTTTTTTTAATACTTTACCATGTTAAATTATAATTTGATTAAATGTTTCAGCGGGGTAACTGGCACTTAAAACTATCAGCCGGAGAGCTCCTAGGGCGTACTCATGAGGAACTCGTCCTTCTGTTGATCCAATTGAGAAGACAACGGGCGGGAGTTTGCAAATCTATGGAGAGGTGTCACAGAGAAATAGAAGCTCAGGTATATTTAAATATATATGCACAAATTTTGTAGTTTAACTTAACACCAGTCGATGTTTTAGGCTTGTTTGACTGATTACGACGCTGCAAATAGGTTAGAGCATTTGCAAAGACTGGAAGAATTGAAATCAAGACTGCTCGAACTTGAAAAACAGGTAAAACAAAATTGTATTTTATTTTAAAGTGTTTAACTTTAAATTTAAGCTTAACTTAAAGTTAACCTAAATTTTGTATATACTACAAATATTATTTGTTACATGAGTATTAGTTATTCTTTAAAGAAAGGATAAATAAATTTTTTTTAAATGAATTTTATTAGCCTTTATGTAGATTAAGAAGAAGGGATCAGTTATGGAATTGGTCTGCTACTTATTACCCTTGAATAGCTAAAGGTGGTTGTATTGGATTATTGGGTCATCATACCCCATGATTTTCTACAAAAACGTTTTATGAATACACTAAAAAGGATGGAAATTAGTTATTAAAATCAGAAAGGACGATATTTTATTATATGGACTGTTATGGCCCACTCTCATCTGACGGGTGTCGCGCTACTACAGTATTAAGTCTCAATGGCTGTTTTTATTGAAAAATGTTGAATTTTAAGATTCTCCCCCTCCTGTTTCAGTACGAGAAGGGTAAACCGCTAGTGAATTTAGTCGATAACATGGTCAAGTTGGGTTCGTTGTACCAATCTGGATCTCAGACCGTCCCCACTCAAAGGCTGGAATTCAACCACAAGGTCCAGGAACAAAGAATCCTAGCTGACGAAAGAAGGGACTGGGAGAGGATTCGACCAGACCATCATGATCTTCAGGTCGGATTTGCCCCCCCCCCCATTATAATAGCATTTTAATCTTTAAATTAATTTTATAATAGGTGAAAGTAGAACAGTTGTACAGGCTGGATAAATTGCTTCAAGAAGAATCCGGGACTTTACATAGTCTACAAGAAGATAAAGTAAGTATGAAGCATGAGTTTTAATTATGTTAAATTTTGTTTTTATATGGCACCAAAATGTTTTGCCTTTTTTTTTTGCAATAATTTCATTTTTAATGAGAAAACTTTCATATTGCTTTTGTGCTTGTTCTGGTGGTTCAAGTTTGTAAAAAAAGCTATTTCCTGCAGTTTTAAAAATTTCTTAATTATTATCTTATTTTTGCCCGCTTTTTCTTCTCTTTTGCCAATTTATAGGGAATTCTTGAAAGAGCTCTCGGAGGTTTAAGAAATAAACTTCAGGGCGTTCATGGCAATAGTGCGGAAACGGAGTGGTACAGAAGACAGCAGAGATTGCTCGAACGAGAGTTGAGTAGAGTCCGGTCAATTTTGGCTCTCAACTCAAAGGTTAGAGATAAACAATCCATTATTAATATTACTGAGAGCAATAAACAATCAGAATAGCTTACAGAAAGAATTCTCTATAAAATAATGTGATGTGTGTAATAAACAAAAACTTATTTTTTTTAATTTGCTTCTCATAATTTACAATAAAGTCTCTCTTGGCTTCTACTGGTTTTATATCATTATAATTTTTGTTTTATTTTTTTTAATAAGCTCATGATTAGTACTTAATTTTTTATAAAAATAAATATATTATTGTCTACTTAACATTTTGAGCCTCGTTAAACCATGTTAGTTTTATATTTTTTCTTCAACGCTCTCATAAAAATCAAAAACAGTTTGATTACACCTAATTATTTAGGGTGGATCATTAATTGGTGTGTAAATTTCAGAAACTTGAAGAGACTGTTGCTGAGAACGCTCGTCTAGAACAGGAGTTGGTTGTCATCAGGCAGAAACTGCAAATATCCCGTCGGACTACTGAACCGGGAGGGGCTACGACGGCCGCTTTGGAATCGGAGCTATGTCGCGTACAACTCCTCGTTGGCAATCTGCTGAGGCAGAGGCAAGAGCTTTCTTTACAAGTGCACCAGTTGACAGAAAAATCCCACTCTCTTAGTCAGCAGATCTGGCCTTCTCCTAATTCAGGTATTGTATATTGTAATCACCATTGTTTTATACACTCCTCGTCAGAAGAGAAAAAATTGCATCACTCTTGAGATGAGAGTGGCCCTTCGCAGTCTATAAGAACTTTAAGTTAAAAATGAACCTGAACATTTGAACTTAAAAGGGTAAATATGATGGAAAAAAATAATAAAAAATATTGGTTCTTCCAATAAAAAAAAGCCCATTAAAATTTCTTTATTAAAAAAAAGATTACCAAGAAATAGGGAAATTGCTAGGCTTATTATTCTATATTAATATTTTTTGCAGGGCCGAGCAATAATTCCAGAAAGAAACAAAGCACTTCCGGCTGGGTGGAAACGGATTTGGATGTCGAAGCGACGCCCAATGGAGAATCGAATCCCCAACCAACACGAGATATAAATTACATATCTCCGTTGTACGTGAACACGGATAACGTCGATAAAAGATTGCGTATGTTAAAAATCTAATCGAATATTTGTATAATTTTTTAAAAAATTATTCGTCGATTTAGAGCACATTCCTGAAGTGAGCAACTACCATGAAGAGTGCTTGGAAGATATGTCGTCTTTGACTGCAAGAAGCCCGGAGCTTTATAGGCAGTATGAAGCAGATGAAGATGGAACCAAAAGGCCCTATGGTAATATAACAAATACAATTTTTAAAACAAATATACTAAAATATTAATTTTACATAGGTTTAATGTGGAAAGAAAAACCACAGGAAATAAAAACTGTTCGGATTGTTAAAAGGGAATCGGAAAGAAGACAACGGGATAGAGATCGTAGTGGGAATTTAGGAATACCATTAACCAGTATTAATACTAAACGAGTAATACCTGAAGAAGACCTATGTAATAATTCAGTTGAGGTATTTATTTATTATTATTATTATATCATTAAACAAGTAAAAGACAAAAAAATCCCCTGGAAAGGACAATATCACTCCAACAATGATAAAGCGCCTGCCAGGAGGAGTAACACTTATCTTAAGCATCTTAAATGGATGCATAAGGTCAGGTTACTTCCCAAAGGAATAGAAACAAGCACAAATAATCATGAGTCCTAAACCAGGAAAGGACAAAGCCAACTTAGAAAACTATAGGACAATTAGTCTGCTACCTATATTAGGCAAACTATATGAAAAATGTATAAAAAAGCAACTGGTCTCATATGCAGAGGATTTAATACCTAACTCACAGTTTGGGTTTAAGACCAGACACTCAACAACAACACAAGGATTTTTTTAAAGTACACAATTGTAGCCTTCCTGGATTTAAAAAAGGCATTTGATCATGTGTGGCACACTGGTTTATAATAATAATACAGGAAAGCATTGCATATTTTACGCATAGTTATAATAACATGATACACTTAAGCTTGGGCATTTAGTCCATCAGCTGAAAGTAGGCAACAATTAAAATATAAATTTCCTTTATAAATATGTTCAAAAATTATGTAATAAATATAAAAAATTCATTTCTTGCCTCACACTAAACAATACATATTTATATTTAAATATTTGAACTTTTTTCTTATATAAGTTAAACAGCCCGAAATTCAATTGATAAAACAATTCAACTCAAATATGTTTTTTTCTTATTCCATAAACTAATTTCTAATAATCAAATAATCACAAACCAAATTAATTGATAATCTATTTACATATAATTAAATTACTACAATGTTATTATATTATGTGCATATCAGTAATTAAATTCTCTGATGTTATTTAAGAGCTCTGCATGTATACTACAATATTTCCCAGTTTTTACCATTTATATATTTCACAAACTCCTCTTTTTCAATTGTCATTTTACCAAACCAATCCTGCCAAAGATTACTTAAAACTGGACACGTACTAATAAAATGAAAAGTATCCTCACCTTCTACTGTATTTCATAAAGAACAAATTCTTCTTTCCTCTACTCTATTTATGTCATAATTCAATCTTAGCAGCAGCCCTCCTCGAACCATTAATATAGTCTAATAAAATTTAAACTATAGTTTTCAAAATATTTGTTTTTTAAATTAAATTCGGCCTGTTTATAAAATAGGTAAAATTGTGACTCTTCCTTTTTTCACCTAAGTCAGTTTCTGAAATCAGCTTTTATCAAAGTAAGTAAAATATTGCGAGGATTTTTGTCTCGGTATATGCGCTCAATATTGGCACACCAGTTTATGGTACAAACTAAAAGATGCAGGAATCCCATTATCTTTGTACGAAACAATCTGCTCATTCATGAAAGACAGAACATTTAAAATCAAACTAAATGGACATTTCTCATAACTTAAAAACCCCACAAGGATCGGTGTTTTATGCTCACAACATATTTATAAGTGATATCCCATCTAGCCTTAAATATTGCCACATATGAGGATGACACATATGTTTATATGACACATTGGAATGCAGTCATGCTTGAAATAAAGTACAAAATGAAATAAACCAGATAGCAGACTGCTGTGGGAAATGGAAAATTAAAATCAAGTCGAGCAAATGTGAAGCAAAGATTATCACCTCTCTTCACCAGCACAACTGCATGTTGATGAGTTTCCCATTCCATGGAACCCGGGCTGTAAGGTATTTTGGAATACACCTGGGCTGGCGACTCAATTGTAAGAGCATAAACACCAAGCTGAAAGAACGATATAAGCGACTTGGTATGCTATACCCACTCATCAATAAAAAGTCCGTACTGAAAATAGAAGTTGGCACACTGTTGTCTATGGCAATCATAAGGCCAGCACTTCTGTACTGCTGTGAAATATGGGGTGCATCATCAAGTAGGAAAATAAAAAAAGATTCAAGCATTTCAAAACAAAATAATGAGAATTATCACTAATGCTGTCTGGTTCGTCCGTAACACCCAACTTCACAAAGAACTCCAAATGGACACAATCAGTAAGGCAATACATTGGATATTTAAGAACTCCCATTGAAAACTCCCAGGTTTGTTAGTGCAATCTACTACAATCTAGGGAGAGACTGAAACCTAGAATGCTACAGGACATTGTGCTGTGATTAAGAAAAAAACTTGTGCTGTATTAGATATTATATTCTATTAAAGAACTAAGCATATATATGTAATATTATGAATATTACTTGAGCCAATCATTTGTTATAAAAAACTGACATTATTTATTTGATATATTAGTACTGCGAAACAAAGGAATGACATTCAGTAACAAATATAAACCAAAATGTTAATGTTTAAATGTAAAAATATTGCAAATTATTTTAACATTAATTTTAAAAAATTATAACAATTATATTGTGTATTTTTAAACATTAAAATGTTTCAGAAGCTATCATCGGAAAGACCTTTGGATGAAACGATTTGCTATAATGAGACTAACGATGGTACTCCGCCGACGCCAGGCCCTAGGTCAGATTCTGTCAATGCCGTATGGAATATTGTGAGAAAGAATAAATTAAAGGTATAAACCAAGTGGAAAAATGTATCATTACACCTTTTTATTTTTAAAAATTATTATTATTTTATATTTTTTTATTAGGGAAATATGGTCAGTGGGGTGAATTCGTTGGACAAAGAAGAATTCAATTTAAGCTCAGATTCTCCACAACTTTCTCCTGTTTACTTGAGCGAAGCTGCAAGAAAGATTGTGGAAGAAGTGGCCTGGCAGGGCAAGGGCGAAAAACGGCTCGTACCCAAAGAGAAACGAAGACACCACACCGTATCAGGACCATCTATTATGACACCAAAGAGTGTTTATTCACAGGTTAATTTTTTTCTTATCCACCTAGAGGAGACCCCCCTTAAGGTTAACTTAAAAAAAAAATTATATTATAAAAGGAGATCTTGTTTTTAAAGCATTCACTAGGACCTTGCCTACATAAAAAATCACTCGACTTTTTCTTATGAAGCCTTTAGAAGTTTTCTTGTCATAAAGAGGACAAGCATCTTCTATTGTACAGCCACTCTTTTATGCTGATGTAGGTAGGAATTTAAAATGTTCTGTCATTGGAGAGATTTGGTACCTCTTGTTATTGGGAAAAAAAAACACATGGGTTAGCCTTTTGTCTTTTTATCCCATCTATGCTGCCATGAGCTTGTTGATGTTCTGGTTCCTTGACTGTGTTCCATACTTCAATCAAAAAAACGCATTTTCCTTGAAGGAAAGCATGAAAAGGAGTCGCTTGCTCTGGCCTAGAAACAACCTGCTGTCATAAACAGACAAGGCTTTTTCTCCAGGTAGAAAAGCTCTCCAGACCTGGCCCCATCTGAACTTCACTATTTTGTTTACAATTGACAACAGCAACCAAGAGTTTGATAATTGCCAACAGCTGGAAAATGAGCTGAATTTATTTTTCAAGTCTCAGGACCCAAATAACTATAAGAATGGCATAACTGGGTCGTTGGGAGAAGATGCAGTTGGAAATTATGGCCCAAAATAAAATATTCTTAAACTATGATGATTGCCCTTTGAACTCATACGGACTTTTCTTGGTTATCTGATAGGTTAGAAGAGATCTTGTCATTTCTCTTTTTATTGTGTGGTTTGTGGGACTTAACCTCTCCTGCAAAAACAATGCCTAGATATTTTACCTTTCCACTTGTTCAGATTATTTTTTTTTGTTTGTATCTGATGGGATTCGAAACCAGACCGCTAGCATGGCAAATATTAGTTGGACACCTTAACCACTCAGCCAGTGTGGTTCCAGTCCTAACCCCCTTGTTAATGTACTTTTCCTTCAAAACTGGGGAAGTATCCCCACCCCTGGAAACATTGAGAAGGGTTAGGGACAGGTTAGGTTAAAATTAGTTAGGATCAGGAACAGGTTAGGTTTAGGCAGGGTAGGGGTAGGAACAGGTTAAATTAGGGTTAGGAACAGGATAGGTGAGAGTTAGGTAGGGTTAGGAGCATGTAAAGTTAGAAAAAGGTTAGGGTTAAGTAAGGTTAGGTTAGGTTTAGGCAGGGTAGGGTTAGGAACAGGTTAGGTGAGAGTTAGGAAGGGATAGGAGCATGTAAAGTTAGAAAAAGGTTAGGGTTAAGTAAGGTTAGGTTAGGTTTAGGCAGGGTAGGGGTAGGAACAGGTTAAATTAGGGTTAGGAACAGGTTAGGTGAGAGTTAGGTAGGGTTAGGAGCATGTAAAATTAGAAAAAGGTTAGGGTTAAGTAAGGCTAGGTTAGGTTTAGGCAGGGTAGGGGTAGGAACAGGTTAAATTAGGGTTAGGAACAGGTTAGGTGAGAGTTAGGTAGGGTTAGGAGCATGTAAAGTTAGAAAAAGGTTAGGGTTAAGTAAGGTTAGGTTAGGTTTAGGTAGGGGTAGGAACAGATTATTTATTATTGATTTATTTATTTTCTATTTAACACTTGTTTTTTTTTATTTATACAGAGAGGGTCAAGGGATGATTTGGATATGGAACGCGTTCTAAGACCAAGATTGACGACGCCCGATGTTGTAAGGTCGACTTTGAACAGGACAGACCCGAATTTTACCAAGGAGACAATAGACAATATTTTAGGAGCACCTGGTAAAATAGTTATACCCGAACGTTACATACCAGAAACACAGCCTCAATTGACAAAAGAAGAAATACAGAAGAGGTCGAAAAAAGCAGACGCAATAAGGAAAATGCTGTGCGAAACGGCAACTGTATCTCCGAAAGGTAAGAAAAACCAGTTGATATTTTTATTACATAAGCAGTAAATTTTTAATAAAATTCATCGATACGATTGCAGATGCCGAGGTCAAAGAAAAGACGTCTACTCTGAAGCATAAAGTTGAAGAGGAAAAGAGAAACAGAGAACATTTATTGCAATTAAGTCAAATATTAGCTCAAGAAGTAATGGAAAAAAGTAAAATAGTTGCAGGTAAAATTCTTGCGCTTGAAGGCACAATTTTTGCACGATTGCGATGTTCATTTATGAGAATGGCCAATTATTACAGCCATTTTTTTTTTTTTTTTTTTGTAAATAATGTCAAGAAACTTAATTTTTACGCTTTGTTTTGTGTAATTAAAAAAACTGTGCTGTTTCCAAGTAATTTTTTTAAAATTATTATTATTATAATGCAGGGTATCAAATTTTGTGTACATGGTTTTCTCAAAAACCTAAAAACAAATTCCATTTGATTTAACAGAAAATGACAAAAACATTTTAATTAAATTGATCCAAACATTGGATATCATACAAATAAAAGAAATTAACTATCACATAACTCAATCATTCAGTAACATTGGGATTCCGTAGGATGGGATAAAAAGACAAAAGGCTAACCCATGAGTTTTTTTTCCCCAATAATAAGGACAGAACAAGAGTGACCTCTCCAATGACAGAACATTGTAAAAATTTAAAAGGTTAATTTTAAATTTAGAACAAGTTTAGTGAAACTAAAAAAAGGTTAATTTGATGAAACGACAAAAAGGTTGTTTTGATGTTAAAGAAAGGTTAATATAAGGTTCAAAAATGTTTAATTTCAAATTAAAATATGTTAATTGAAATGTAAAAAAGCTTAATTTAAAATTAAAAACCCATATATTTAAAGTTAAAAAAAGGGATTGATTTGAAATACAAAAAGGTTAATTTGAAGTTTAAAACAGAACATTCATTTGAAATCAAAAGTGGTTAATTTAGAGTAAACAATGGTCATTTTTAAATTAAAAAAGTTAATATGGTTTGAAAAAATGTTAATTTCAAATTAAAAAGGGATAAATTGACAGAAAAGCTATTTGTAAAAGAAATATAAGTGTAAAATGTTGAGAAAATGGTGGAGGGGAGTGACACTGGTAATTTGATACCCTGTACAAATTACATTTATTTAACTCATTTATATATTATTTGCTATCGTTCATAACGTTTTTTTTTATTTACATTTAATAATTATGTTGTCATTACAGTTGCAGGACTGTAGAACACTGAGTACTAGAAGCACGCTTGTTTTGTTCTATTATTTTTGCATGTTTTTTTTAGTCTTGTTTTTCTTTTTTTAATTTGTAGGTGTCAATGCCACAATACCACCAGATTAACCCCTTAGTTTGTGCCGAATGACTTGTCCTTTATGAAGGTTTGTTTCATCCGCTTTATTTTACATTTTTTTTAAATTTATTTTTATATTGTAATTTATGCTGTCTGAATGTAGTCAATTTATTAAATATTTTAATTCATATATATTTATTTATTTTGTTTGACAGTTACTAATAGCTATTGAAACTATAAAATGTAAATAAATAATTTTAAAAAATTATTTATCGGGGTGTTTGAATTAAAATTGGCCCTTTTTTTAATATTTGATTTTTTCAGTACGGGCTCTTGCTTCTTTACCATTGGAACCCAATCCAATAGAGGAAGAGTCAGACTATGATGACCTTTCGCCAACCAGCATGTTGCCCCTTTACCAGCAGAGGGAGAATTTTTACTCGTAGGACAAAAACTGCTGAAACATTTCCAACTGGACTGCGATACGTAGCTACATAATTCTAAAATTAGCCAAGCGATTAAACAAATTGCAAAGCCTTCGAATGCCTTTTTATAAATTATAAAGTTAAAAAAAAAAAAATAGGAATATTTATTGACAGTACAATTTGCCCTTTTGTGATACATTCGTTAATCAGATAAAGGTGGTTTATTTATTATTATTTTTTATACATATATTATGAAGTGCCATAAGGCAAATGCAATTAAATGTCAGTTTTTTTGTTAACCTACAGACTAAAGGTACAATTAATTAGCAAGGAAATTGAAAATTAGAAAGTTATTTAAAATTTTAGTCTTCTAAATGCCTTTCCATAAAAATAAAAAAATCTATTTATTAACAGTACAAGTATTTGCTCTTTTTGTGATATACCTTAGGTAATATGGAAATAAATAAAAAACAATTTATTTATTTTAAAAAAAGTGCCATAAGGCCAGTAATACAAATAAATTAGTACATTTATGTGGGTTTTTCTGATAGGCAATTTTGTTTTTTTAACAAAGAAACCAAAATTTTGCAAGCATATGTATAATATTATTATGTTTCTTATTTGTGTAAATGATTTTGATTATAAATTGCTCTTACGAGTGCTTAATTACCTGTAATAATAGTAAAAAAATAAAAATAAGACATTTTATATGAATACGACTTATTATTTATTAAATATAATTAATGGTCGAATCCCATGGGACTTTACTCATCGTAATCCCAGGCTAGCGAAATTTTCAAATTTGTTAAACTGTAAAAATATAAAAAAAATTGTATGTAAACTTAAAAAAAAAAAAAAATAGAAAAGTTGCCAATTTAATTTTTTTGCCCAGGCTACTAAGAAAAAAAAAAGAAAAGATCTAAATTACAATTAAATTCAAAATTTCAGTGAAATTCAGATGAAATTATTGAAATTAATTCAAATATTTTTATTTGAATATTTTTATATATTAAGCTTGCCCAATACCAGCTTCCACATCATCCAGCATCTTCTTTCTGTGGCTTCCTAGATCCTCAACAATTGACTCTATTCGACTTATCACAATGGCTGGTCCCCATGTTGGCTGAGTCCTCAACTGACTGTCTGAGTTGAGCATGGCTGCTGTTGACTGAGTACTCTCACTGACTTCCAATCTCTGGTCAGTTGAGTGTTCCTGGCCAGGTCCGTCTTCCTGCCCATTGTTTCCGAGACACTCGACGGTTGACACTATTCGACTCATCTCAGTCCTAGACAGCCGACATCATGTCTCGGTCACTGCTTTCGGCTGTGAGCCGCCGAATGAGTCCTTGAGTTGACTGTCATCTTTCCAAATTTTATTTCAGTTTCCCAACCAGAGTTGAGGAGGAAAGGTAAAGGAAAATTTGTTTAGTCAGATAGAATCTGGGAGTTGTTCCATTAGACAGCTTCCTGGTCACATGTTGATGGACATCCGGCAAAGAGCGTGCAACGCCCATCTGGCTGACAGAATTCACCCAAACACTGATGATGGCAAAATGCAAAACAACTATGACTCAGAAAATATCACCGATGGTAGGCAAACGAAGATGGTAGCTAACAATCAACCAATAAATTAAATGTTAAGAACAGAGAAAATACATGCAGGAGTGTGCCATTCTACATCCAATGCTTTACTTGCTATATTTTCTAACTAAATTAAGCCATTAGTAGCAGAGTACAAGTAAATAAAAATCTGATTACACATAAAGAAATAGTGTAATAAATTAAAAATGTACAAGCTAAATAGACTCCAGGATCTTATTACTGGAAGAAATATATAATATTAAATAAGTAATAATAAAAAAGTAATTAAATAAAGTAAAATAGTAGGTAATTATTAACCAACTGGATATTTACATTTAAATAATAAACTGAAAAACGTGAAGTAAATTCAATAAAACATTTAGAAAAGTTGGCAATTTAATTTTTTTTCTTTCAAGGTTTAGAAAAAAAAAGATTATTTGATTATTATTATTATTATTATTATTAATATCACAATATTTTGCATACATTCAATTTTTATTAATAAATAAATTTATACTCTGAGCACTTACAAAAAGAAAAACTTAAAATGGAATAATAAAATATCATGGATCATACAAGAAGATAATATACTAACGATTTACTTTATACACTTCAAAAAAAAAAAAATAATAACAAAAATATATTATATACAAAAAAAAAAATGAAACATTATCAACAGCAACAGCTGGTTAACACAATTTACAAAACTTATAAATATTATTACATTAACAATTTTACCCCTTTTAAAATAATATCACAATTCTACATATTGACTGACCGACACCTGGTTAACACGGTGTACAGGGTGGAAAAAATATCAGCAACTTTGGAAAAGTAATAATAAAGCATTCTTTTTACCTATATAATTTAAAATCGCATGACAAAAAATTCCATGCTGATAAGACTGTCAGATACTCTTCACGAATAAAAAAAATTCTTTTATAACAAGAAGAAAAAATATTGGCCATAGGCAGATTGAAAATCTGTCTAAGTATTGGGAAACAACCACTTGGTGATAGTAGACATAATTTAATTAACGAAGTTTATTCATAATTATCAGATCCAATGTTGAAAAAAAATCCTAATTTTTTTTAATGTAAACTCATGGGATGAACATTATCAACACATTTCAGCATTTTTGTTAAAATTTTTATAATGTAAAAATCAAAGCACTTCAACACTACTATACACAAATTTTATTATCAGTCTATATAGTACTATTTTACTCTAATGGTTTAAATGTAATCCTTAATATTTCGTCTCAAGTAAATAGCATTTTTATCTATCTTATAATCAGTAATGACGACAGTAATAACTGCTTGTAAATTACTAATAAGGCACCGATTCTTTTAATTGAGCTGTCGTTTGTATCATTCTAACATTTGGACCATGTTTAAAAACGCAGAACTGGGCCCAGGATGAAACTATCATTTTTATCGCAAAAATATTTCTATGCCTTTGAATCATGAAATCCTTTAAATTTGTTTATAATAATAATAAAAATAATATTCAAAAAAGAATAGATCTTCGAATAGATCGAATTTCTTTGGGGCAGATTTGAACAGTTAATCGTAATTTTCCAGGCTGCAAAAACGCTTCTAGCAATTTGTTAATTTTCATATTTTTTTATGTAAAAGAAACCGTTTTAATTGTATGTACAATGAGACTCGCTTTCAGCACCGGAGGATGTCGCTGCATTCCAATGAATTTATCCCTCCATTCAGACTGCACACTTTCCCAAATCCCAATGTCACAAGGTACTGGCAAAACTAAAGAACAACAGAAACAAATTCATTTTTAGTTTTACATAATTCAATATTTACAAGCTGAAGTATTTATTTAATTTTTAAAATATAAGCTTGCTACTATGGATATATTTAAAAATATCAGGTCATAAAATAAGTCAATAGCATTCCAGCCCACCCAGAACTTCTCGTATTTCCTAGCAATGCAGTTTTCATCATTAAATTTAAAAAAATTCACATTAGTAGCATTCTGTTGAGCCCGAGTAAGTGAAAATCTGAAAGAGGCGATGACAGGTGGATACGCTGGGTAAGGTAGCACATCCCAGCCAAGTTCTGATAATTTCTGGCACATCTGCAAAGGCCCATGGGACAAGTATTATCCTGGTGAACTGATAAAGTAAAGTAATTCCTGTCATACACGGCTTAACATCCCAGGTTTACTAAATAGTGTTAAGAACAGGTTAGGTTAGATTAGGATTGCGAATAGGTTAGGTTTATGAATAGATAGGAATATGTTAGGTTAGGGTTAAGTAGGGATAGAAATAAGTTAGGTTAGGTAGGTTTAGGAACAGGTTAGATTAGTTAGGGTTAGGAACATAAAGCATTAAGAAAAGGCTAGGTGGAGATAAGAACAGGTTAAGAACAGGAACAGGTTAGGTTAAGTTTAAGAAGAGTTAAAACATGCTAGGTTAGGGTTAAGTAGGGATAGCAACAGGTTAGGTTATTTAGGATTAGGAACATGTTAGGATATAGTAAGGTTAGAAGTGGGTTAGGAACAGATTAGGTCGTTAGAACTAGAAATAGGTTGAGTTAAGAACAGGTTAGTTAGGGTTGATGGAAACATAAATGAGTGGTATTTTGCTAGAGTATTATTGCTTGACTAGTTTTTAATTCAGTGTAGAGAAGGCCGAGATAACAATTAGTGTCATGAGCAGGACTCGAACCCACAACCTTCGGATAAATACTTCAGCACATCTCCACTTGAGCCATCGGGACTTTGGTCCACGAGACAACTGAAGGATAAAATATTGATAAAGAAAAATGAATGAATTAATGAAAAATGATCAGGAAACTACTGTTTTATTTTCTGTTGATGAAGTTAAAGGGAATGTACTGAAATATGGATAATTTAGACGTCCACACAGACAGGATCACTGTCGAGAAAGGGCATCAGGTTTCATCAAAACTTGGGCGTATTTGCTCACGAGGCTTTGCTCCGTTGTTTCTGCTGACTTTAATAGCTTCAATTATGTGGAGTTTATACTAGAATTGAAGATATGGTTTGTCAGAAAGAGATGGTAATAAAGTGCTCTCTTTTAATCCCGCCAAACGCACTACCTTCTTAAGATGAAATGTAGCTTTTGGAGATGTTAACTGTAAGGATTTTCTACCTCCATCGATCTTTTTAAAAATGGGTCATCTGCATTGCATTTTAGGAGGGGATCACATAAGAAATCTATAAATCAGACAAACCAGCTTCTTAGATGCATTGAAACACTTGTAAGAAATAAGTCAAGTGTCTGTGATGTCTCGTGGCATTAACTTGTGGTTTCTTTGTGAGAAAATCTTGCAGTTGGTCAGCGACCAGAGTGCTTTGCATCTTCCAAATGCCTTTCTAATAAAGCACCTTCAATTATACACATGAGAAATTCTCCTACCTGAGCTGCGGTTTTCCCTTTGAGTTAATAAATGCTACTGATTTTACAACCCGTTACAATAAATACAACTGTGGTATTTATTTTTTAATAAATTAATTTAAATTTTTATTTAAAAAAAAATACCTCTGACGCTATGGCCATATTGTCATCACCCATGACGACTATGATTTTTCCTTTGTGAGACTGGAGCAGATTTAATTCTGATTTCGAGTTAATATTGAAATCGGTTTTCTTTCCGTTTTTATTGCCTATGTCCAACAAGGAAAACGGTATGTTTATACTTCCGACAACACTCCGCCTTTTATATCTGATCAAAAATTTAAGGAAATCACTTTGGTGCTGTTAGCATTTAATTTTTTTTATTAGTAACTTAAATATTTTTTTTAAATCAACAGGATTATAAAGGTTCTAGATTTTTAGGGGCATCGGTGGTCGCAATGGTTTAAATGTTGACAGGGAGCACATCACTGCAAGGTAAAGGACCCAGGTTCAAATCCAGTGGCCCTGCATTACATTACACGACATACTTACAAATGGGCTTTTTCTGAAAAACACTGGCACCATGAGGGTTCATATAAAATACTCCCCCACAAAAAATTACAAATAAAATAAAATAAAATAATATTTATAGTTGTCTCAAATAGAAATATCAGGCATTTGAAACTAGGAAGGTTTTTCTTTGATTGCCTCAAGAAGGATGAGCCTTTTATTGTAAATAAATGTTCTGATCCCTCATCTGAGACACCCAATGGAGCCAGAGCTTAATTTCCAGGAGCATCCATATCCCCCAGATCTATAGCTTCGTTGGTCAATACTACTGGGAACTGCCATTGCAACTGTTTTTCCTGCCATCACCCTGGAATTTTAACTATGCCTGGAAGTGCTTCAAAATCAACACTTATCTTTATCCAGTGAGAGGCCAGAAATGCACAATGAAGGTTTATGTTCCCCAAGCACAGCAGCCTTCTGGCTTATTGTACTTTCCTAGTTCTTTAGTTCAGTCTGTCAATTCGAACCTTCTTTTAAGGAGTACTAGGTCATTGACTGTCTTTGCTACAATTCCTTTCCCTGTGTTTTCTTTGTATCCCACATGAGATGCAAATTAGAGCAATACTGGTCGTAAAGAGGCTGAGTCCTCTAATCTGGAGCTTCACTGACAGGCCATACACCTGCGTCACTCCTCAAGCCAAAGAACCAACCTCTGTCCCTCTATCAAACATTATTATTATTATAAAGGATACAACGTATGATCTCTGATATCAACTATTAATATTTTCGATCGTAAAGCTGGTTTCAAAATTAATTTATTCAACTCCTTAGCACTTATCCTCGGGCTGAATTCATTTTGAAGATCTTTCAGTGAAATTGGTATGCCATCCTGGGAAAAAAAAATGGAGCATAGTAAAAGAATAACACTGGATTTTTTTAAAAAAGTTACCATTCCACTTGAATTATTGAGAGAGCAGTTTTGTAAATCATGCTGCCTAAACGTAACACTTCCCGGTGTCCCGCAGTAAAAAAATATTGAGTCTTTCACACAGCGTTCTATATCAATTTCTGAAACAAAAAAAGTCAATTTTTTTTTAAAACAAAATACTTCTTTTAAAAATACCTGGTAGATCAGAAAAAAGTAATATACACTCATTAAATCCAGACTCTAATAACACAGTTCTAAGTTGCTGCAATATAGATAAACCTATATAAAGAGGATAAGAAGCATCGCCTAATAAAAGAGAGTCCCACAAATGCAATATTTTATGAATAGGGAAAACATCTAAAACAAAAACAAAAAATAAATAAAGTGCAAAAAGTGCTAATGTCATATCACTTACGAGAAAACATAGTCAGGAACCAAGGGATGGCAAAAAGCTCTGGATTAAATCCAATAGTATGAAGGTGACTGGCAAGAGCTGGGTCCTGGAATGCAAGTAGGTGCTTTAGCTTTGCCAAATACTCTCTGATAACTGCTGAATTATCTTTTAGAAAGAAGTTATGAAGGTATTTATTAATAAACTTCCTTAATGACGCATACGCATGAGCTAAAAAAAATATATTTAAAAAATTATAGCTGAGTAGAATAATGAAAAAATTTAAGTAATACCTTCGTTTTGGAAATTCAAATAAAGAAATGGTGCGCAGAGAGAATCAAGACCTTGCCAGTAGACATAATGAGGATGACTTTTGACCCAAGCTTTTAGAATTCTTTTGAACTTTTGGTGGCCCACGCTTGATGATAATAATTCATTGTATTGGTGGCATCTTGGAATATCTACTTCGATCTGAAAAGGAGTGTATGAGTTTTTTTAAATTTTTTTTTGTTTTTTGTAAAGGGTGGATTCGACAGACCTGTCGATCTGTAGGTACAGGGGTTTCTTTATCTATACTCGCGTAGTGGTATTCGTAGTCTTTTTCTACGGCCAACAATTGTCCCCAGACTTCAGCGCGGACTAGAGGAGGTATGTCTTGTCTCGCTTCCTTAATAACCATGTCTCTCTGTTCTGGACAATTCTACACATACAAATAATTTTTTAAACAATTTACGCAATTATGTTAAACCTTAAGTCAGACCTTGAGAAGCTGACGGAAAAGTTGAAGCCTGACGAATTGATATTTTGTGTCTCTTTCTCGTATGATCAACGGTAAAGACATCACCTCACTAAACTCTTTTTTAACAGATCTATAAAAACTTTTTGGTTAGTTTTTAAACACAGTACAGCATGTTAATTTAAAAAAAAAAAAAAAAATACCCTTGATTCTCTACTGGATTCATAATGCACTTTGGTAACTTTCTAAACCTGTCGAGTAGGTGTTTGGTGCTTAATTCAATCACAGACTGGTCTAAAAAGTTCGCTTGATCTTTCATCTGACCGAATGCAGTCCCTTCTAGTAACAGTAAGCTGAAATTTATTTAATTAAGTATAATATATCTATTATTTTGAATAAACAAGCAGCATACTTAGGTATAGAAAGTACGGGTGCTTTATTCCTTATTAATCCGTTCTTTTTAAGTTCATTGTACACATCACCACCAGCTAATTGCCAATAATGATACAACTCCACCATCGCTTCTTTGTTAAGGTTAATATAACCAGAAAATGCAAGATTCTGTCTAGAACTACAAATAAATACAAATTTAGCCATATGTTGAAACGTTAGAAAACACCTTGAATTGATTTACTTCAAATCTTTTTGTTCACAGCCAAAAATTTTAAATATATCGTTCTTCAGCAAATCTTGAGCATTTGGTCGGAAACCGGAATTAGTAGAAAGCATCGGTTGTATAAGAGTTAAGATTTCTGATGGAAGCTTCTGTAAATATATACAATTAATAATGATACTGTTTTAAGAAATGTTAATGTTTTTAAATTGAATAATACATATTTCAAGGTCTTAACCCAATTATTTTATTATTTCATTTTTTTTCTTTCCCAAATGCAGGAATTTTACTTTAATTTCTTACATTTGATACCATTTGGTTAATTTGAGGACTAAATTGATATTGAAAAGGGTTAATTTGTAGTAAAAAACAATTTATTTGATGTGAAAAAATTAATTAGTTAGAAATTAAAAAATGTTAATTTCAAATTAAAACTTTTTCCATCAAATGAACCGTTTTAAATTTCAAATTAATCATTTTTTCACTGGAACCGAATTAATTTTGCAAATAACCAAATTAGTGTTAATTTAAAATAAAAAGTAAAATAATATAATTTAAAAAACTAATTTGGTGAACAAAGAGTTATCTCATTAACACTGTAAAGGTTAATCATTTTTTCAAATTAAATTTTTTCAAAGGGAACCACATTAATTTTTCAAATGAAAAGACATTAATTTGAAGGTAAAAAGAGGGTAATTTGAAATTTAAAAGGGTTCATTTACTATGAACATAGAATTAATTAGAAATTAAAAAGGGTTAATGCCAAATTAACACTTTTTCTCATCAAATTAACTTTTTTATTTTAAATTAACGTTTTTTTTATACGAACCAAATTATTATTAAAATTAACCAATTTAAAAAATTAATTTCAATGGAAAAAATGTTAATTTGACAGAAAAAATATATATAAGCTTACATAAAGGTGCATAATGCTATGCAATCAACATGTTAGTAAAATATTTCTGTTAAGTTTATTTAAGACAAAAAAAACACCTTGTACACATCAATTTTTCCGCATTCTTCAGCAATTTTCATAAAAACATTATTGCAGTCTATAAACGAAAGTACTTTATTCAGGCATTCTTTAAGCGGGATGTTAGGCCAAAGGTCGCATCCCAAAATTTCCTCAGCGAGGATCACGCCCAAAGACCATATATCAGACTTATACGAACTACTGTGTTGAGGCCCTTGAAGGATGACATCGGGTGCTGTGTATTTCGGGGAACTGAAAAAGAAATTTGTTTAATTTTTTTTACCACTTTTACTAGGATAATGAAATAAAATTACAAACCCAATAGGGAAAAGAACATCGGCTCCATTTCCTGTCATGTAGTAGAGACCGTAATTAAACAATTTCCAAGAGTTATTGGCAAAATAGATATTCTCTTTACAAAGATGCCTGTGAACTATCCCTTTTTTATGTAAGTAGGCAAGAGCTTCAAGAATATTTTCACATAAGTATAAACATTCTTTCCAATTCTTGCACCGTTTCTTTGATAAAGGAATACCAATTCTCTCGCTTACTATAATCGTACGTTCTAAAAAAAAAATTTATATGAATCAATTATTAAAAGGACCGTCCTATTTTTGCATAAATAATTTTAAATAAAAAGATTTATTTAGTAAATATGGATGCCCTGAATTTACTGCCACTATGTAGCTGCATTCAGGGATAGCTACAATTTACAGGCTGAGGCAGGGACAAAAAGGAGCAATTAAAGATTCTGGGGATGCCTGTCGAAGCCATGATCCCAAAATGCAGATTTGATAAGAAATTTCAACTCAAAATACCAGATAGAACAGACTGTGAGATTTGGATCCCAGTTGAAGCTGACCAAAACTTGTCAGAAGCTGTTTTGAGTGCAATTCATATAAGTTTTCAGCAATATGCCACTGACTTTCAGGCACAGAATGTAGCTATTGAACACTGGAGATCACACACACCAACGAGATCAAAACACTGGGTATTATAAGAAAAGAATAATCATATACTCAGACAGCCAGGCAGTAAATGCAACTACCTCATCGGTAGTACAGTCCAACAATCCAGAAATCCAAAACAATAAAATCACCCATGAAGTGTATCAGGGAATGATAAATCGGTCAAGTAAGTTCAATAAGGAAACCTATCAGACCCTAAACCATGAGCACTACCAAAAACTACACCAGGCTTCTGAATCATACCACCTCATCGGCAGTAAAGTTCTGAGATGTTTGGGATTGTATCAAGAATCAGATATTAAAGAAAACAACAAAATTACACATTCTGGAGCACCAGGTCACACAGGGAAATGATAAATTTACCAAGGAAAGTTCGGTCAAGACACAATGCATTAAAAATTAAGTCCTCAGTATTCCTTTAACTCCAGGACAGATTCATTGAAAGGACCTAATGGCAGAACTATTAAACTACTAAAACTAGGGCATGTTAGGACTGCTCACTGGACACTGTAAACTCCAGAAAACAAGAAACAGCGGAACATGTCTCCAGTTAGCAGGATAAGTTTCCTCCGGGCAGAAAAGCTGAGGTCTGATGGATGCAATAGCAAGGAGGAATGCTTTGGGATCTGGTAAAAAAACGTAACAAAGATATGTGACCACAAAATAATTTCTTATGACTAACTTGATACGATCGATAAAGAGGAGGGAAAGTTGGTTGTTCTTGCAGTAAAGGCAGAATGAGGATGTGAATTGTATCAAGCAGACCCAACAAATTTCACAATTATCTTACGAAGAATTAAAAATCTGTACATTGAAATAGTAAGTGTCACAGGTTCCGTGTGACCATCTGGACTGATAAAAGGGATGCAATGGTGACAAGATTGTTGAAAACGATTTGACCATAAAATAATTTCTTATGACTAACTTGATATGATCGATAACGAGGAAGGAAAGTTGGTTATTCTTGCCACAAGGGCGGAAGGAGGATGAGAACTGATGTGAATTGTATCAAGTAGAACACCCAACAAATTGCACTAGTCTATCAACAATTATATTACGAAGAATTAAAAATCTATACATCGAAATAGTAAGTGTCACAGGTTCCATGTGACCATCTGGACCGATCAAAGGGATGCAATGGTGACAAGATTGTTGAAAACGATTTGACCATAAAATAATTTCTTATGGCTAACTTGATATGATCGATAACGAGGAAGGAAAGTTGGTTATTCTTGCCACAAGGGCAGAAGGAGGATGAGAACTGATGTGAAGTGTATCAAGTAGAACACCCAACAAATTGCACTAGTCTATCAACAATTATATTACGAAGAATTAAAAATCTATACATCGAAATAGTAAGTGTCACAGGTTCCATGTGACCATCTGGACCGATCAAAGGGATGCAATGGTGACAAGATTGTTGAAAACGATTTGACCATAAAATAATTTCTTATGGCTAACTTGATATGATCGATAACGAGGAAGGAAAGTTGGTTGTTCTTGCCACAAGGGCAGAAGGAGGATGAGAACTGATGTGAACTGTATCAAGTAGAACACCCAACAAATTGCACTAGTCTATCAACAATTATATATAAAAAAAGGTCAGTTTGATCATCTCCTAGCTTAGAAAAATAAGTTTGAATCATAAATGGTGAGTCTGCCAGGTTGAGATAGACCACCAACACCCGTTGACAAGTGTTGCAAAGCCTACAAGACTATCCAAAATGGTTAGGCCACCAAAATAACTGGTTATCATAGACTGTCCTGAATTGGGATTAAGTGATGTCAGTGGGTGGCAAGTAGATAAACGCCCACCTTATTAATTTCAATCGTTTAACATTTTTATAAGGGCGATTTCCTGTCTGATTGCTGTATCCTTTTCGATTAATCGGATATATAAAAAAAAATTATTCTCACCGTGTTTTCCTCTCATGACGTCTATGTAAGAGCATAGATAAGGATGATTTAAGGACTTCAGATATTGTGATCTGCCTAGTATTTTGATTGAATTTGAAGTTAGGGGGAGGCCGTTGCTGCCGCAAAGCTCGTTCGAGCGTTGTTTCGCGACGAACGTCATGCAGCAGAATTTGTAATCGAAATCCTTCGTATTCATGTTTATGCGACGACTTCCTCCGGTCTAAGTCTCGTCCTCGTCAGTCGAACCGGGACTCTTCTCGTCTGTACGACGGCATAACGTCGGGGCGGTAACGTTCACCGACCGGGGCGACCGGCATGAAAAAGCTGTCGGAAAAACGGCCTTTTAACGTGGGAAAACGGCGAGGATCTCGGTAAACATGCCCTGACGACGGTGGGCCGAGCCGAGGACGGAGTCGACGAATAACGAGAGTCGAGAGCAAACGTCAATCGAGTCGTGCTTTTCGAAAAGACAGCCGTCAACAGGGCCGCTTGATAACGAGAGGACTCGACTCGACCTATCGATCCTACGACGACAGACTCGCCAACATCGATGCCTTTCCCCGCTTCATTCCTGTTTTACAAATTTACTCAAATAAATTAAATTTGTCAAAACAAAGAATAATCCTGCACTTCACCGAATAAATAAAACTACAAAATCCATTTATAAGATTTTTTTATAATTTTTATTTTATTTAATTCAACAGGCAAACCGTAATTACAGAAACAAAAGATATTTTAACGTTGGTCGAAACAACAGAAAAAAGAAAAGAACTTTTTCTATATTTGAGCTGCCTTCTTTATATAGAATAGACAAGCTTTTGAATTGTACTTCCAGATCTCATGAGAAGGCACGAAAAATGCAGAAAAGAATTGACATGAATGAAATGTTTGAGAAAAATTGACATAAATGAAATGTTTGAAAAGAATTGACATAAATGAAATGTTTGAAAAGAATTGCCATAATCAACATGTATGAGAAGAATTGACATTAATTATTTGTTTGAAAATAATTGACATAAATGAAACGTTTGAGAAGAATTTACATGAATGGGTTGTTTGAGAAAAATTGACATAAATGAAATGTTTGAGAAGAATTGACATAAATGACCTGTTTGAAGAGAACTGACATAATAAACAATTTTGAGAAGAATTGACATGAACGAGATATTTGAGAAAAATTGATATAAATGAAATGTTTGAAAAGAATTGACATAACCGAGATGTTTGAGAAGAATTTACACGACTGAAATGTTTGAGAAGCATTGACATAAATCAAATCTTTGAAAAGAATTGCCATAATCAACATGTATGATTAGAATTGACATGAATTATTTGTTTGAAAATAATTGACATAAATGAAATATTTGAGAAGAATTTACATGAAAGGCATGTTTGAGAAAAATTGACATAAATGAAATGTTGGAAAAGAATTGCCATAATCAACAGGTTTGAGGAGAATTGATACAAATAAGATGTTTGAGAAGAATTAACATAATGGCTATGTTTGAGAAGAATGTACAGGAATTGGATGTTTGGGAAGACTTACACGAATGAGATGTTTGAGAAGCATTGACACGAATGAGATATTTGAAAAAAATTGATGTAAATGAAATGTTTTAATAGAATTGCCATAATCAACATGTTTGAGAAGAATTGACATGGATTATTTGTTTGAAAATAATTGACACAAATGAAATGTTTGAGAAGAATATACATGATCAAGATGGAGAAAAATTTAGATGAATGGAATGTTTGAGAAGACAACACAAATGAGTTGTTTGAGAAGAATTGACTTGAATGAGATATTTGAGATAAATTGACATAAATGAAATGTTTGAATGGAATTGCCATAATCAACATGTTTGAGAAGAATAGACATGGATTATTTGTTTGAAAACAATTGACATAAATGATAGATAGATAGATAATGATGTTTATTTACAATAAAAATATTTTACAAAAAATATTCAGTACATAAAACATCCTAGACAATAGCCCACAGGCTGTCTGTCGAGTTGCCAAAAGAAAAAACAGAATAACATTAATAATACTAACAATACTAATACAAATAGTCATAATTTACACAATATTTTATTAATAATTGAAATTTTCGATTAGGAACGCTATGTATTTTAGGGAGTACAAAACATAATTGTAGAGACTGTGCCAGTTCTGCCCATTCAAAAATGAAATTACTTCAATTTTTTCTAAAAACAATTTGCCAAACCACCTAAATCTGAATTCTTTCAATATAGGGCACACCGCCAAAAAATGGAAGCCATCCTCATACACACCTAAATTACACAAATTTGTTGAACGGTACGCTTCCTCATTTCTGTGGACCGAGTAATTAAGAGACAGCAACTGACCTCTTGCTTTCATTATCACACTTATCATATTCAAATTAAATTTTTTATTTAAATAATGGTTTCTGATTTTCTCCTAATTCCAGATTCAGACAAATGAGTTGTTTGAGAAGAATTGACATGAATTATATATTTGCGATAAATTGACATGAATGAAATATTAGAAAAGAATTGCCATAATCAACATATTTGAGAAGAATTGAAATGAATTATTTGTTTGAAAATAATTGACACAAATGGAATGTTTGAGAAGTCTTTACACAAATGAGTAGTTTGGGAAGAATTGGCACGAATAAGATGTTTGAGAAGAATTGATACAAATGAAATGTTTGAGAAGAATTGACATAATTGAAATGTTTGAGATGAATATCCTCTTTTTTTCCCTTCTGATCCCTTTATTGATTATAGATAATATATTAATTAATTTCTATTACATAATTATTAATATATTTTAACTAATATTTCATTTTGATCAATTTTATTGTTCAGATGGTCTCATATTTGAATTTAATTACAAAATAGTTAATGAATTACTTAGTTATTACTATTACTAAGTTGAATTCAATTACTTATTACAGAAAAATAAATGAATAAGTAGATAGTGGGTGCTCATCACACTGATTGCATTTATGACAGTCTAGTTAAATCTAGTTAATTGATGAACAAACAGAATTCCTCTCCAAATTCCTTCAATAGCTCCTTTACTGCTGCTGGACAGATTCCTCCCTTCAGTAGAACATTTCTCATAAAAGCTGATCGTTGGGCTTCAAAACGCTGCATTGCCATATTATGTGGTCCCAAGTTAGCTCAGCTGAGCAAACTCAGCTTGGAATGTCCAATATCCCAAATATGTGCATGCAGGCCTTATTTTTCACATGGCCTGTTAGCACCATCGTTTAGAAAGAATTTACATGAAATGTTTGAGAATTGACATAAATGAAATGTTTGAGAAGAATTGACACAAATGAAATTTTTAAGAAGAATTGACATAATCAAGATGTTTGAGAAAACATTACATGAATAAGATAATTGAAAAAAATTGACAAAAATGAAATGTTTGAAAAGAATTGCCAGAATCAACAAGTTTGAGAAGAATCAACATTAATGAGATATTGGAGAAAAATTGACAAATGAAATGTTTAAAAGAATGACATAATCGACGGTTTGAGAATTGATATAATTGAGATGTTTGAGAAGACTTTACATGAATGAGATGCTTGATAAGAATTGGCATAAGACTTGTTTGAGAAGAATTGACATAAACGACATGTTTAAAAATAATTAGCATGAATGAGATGTTTGAGAAAAACTGGCGTGAATTAGAGGTTTACACCTCAGGTTAGTTGCCTACCTAAGGTGGTAATAATAATTATTTGGAGATCGTGAGATGCAGTCTGGTGGGACGTAGGTTTAGAAAAATAGTTTCTTTATCGTGCCGTTTCGAAAAAATGAATTTATGAAATGGTGTTTTAAGGTTCTACCATTGTATAAATTCATTTTTTTCCTACATGTATTTGTATAATTTAAACAATGTTTATAAATCCCAGGCCCTGAAGATGTTCTCAATAAATATCGAAACGTTGGCACGATAAAGAAAATGTTTTTCTAAACCTACGTCACACCAGACCGCATCTCACAACCCCCAAATAATCATTAATTAACAGTCACTAAACATCACACAGTGATATAATGTTACACCCCCACTTGCGCCTCAGCATAGTTGCCTGTCTAAGGTAGTAGCATTGTTGCCAGCTTACACCTTAGCATAGTTGCCTATCTAATGTGGTAACAAATTTCTCCTTTACATACAAGCTTTGGACTAATGTCTATGTATTAGAGTCAGCTTTGACCAGCAGTCCTTTCTCCTTTGATGCTCTTTCTGTTACTATAATTTGGTACTTCTTTGTAAAGAGCCTAGGAATTAATCATGCCTGTAAGCAAGCTCATCCTCTTGAAGTTCCCCTCTTTGTTTTAATGATGAAATTGGCTCCTAGGCCTACATGCAACTAATCTAGCTACTCTGGATGAAGCTGTGTAGAGGTACTAAAAGAGTTTTGCTAAAGTAGAAATACTAATACTTACTTGAAGAAGTTGGTTTTGGAGACTAAAAGCTTTAGTCCAATAGTTGCACTAAAACTGAAAATTAACTGTTTTAGAGTACACCACTCTATTAGTCAATTTTCAGTCAGAATGGACTGGTCCTGTAAAAAGGGCTTGACCTAACCGTTATGTCATTCATATGGCCAGATGGAATGACATTCCATGATTTTTAATTAAAATATATATTAAAATAATAAAATCCAATACCTCGAGTTACCTGAACGATGTTATAAATCATTATCTTTTTATTTTCCTCGTCTTTTTCAAGAGCAATACTAATTAATTAGTGCTGTATGCAAAATTTCAAACAATACAGCATAGTTTGGTAGCATCAGGTTGATCTTCGCTGGTTTGGTCTGTTATAAAAATCTCCAATAGGAAGCAAATAGAGCCTCACTACATATGTTAATTCAGGGACAGGCTCCAATAACAAGGAGCAGTTATAGCTTCGGAGGGAACTTCAGGCAGAGAGGGTTCTGGTTGTCTGTTGATGCCACTCCTAAATTCAGATTTGACAAACAATTTCAAATTAATGCTAGTATTGCAGATGAAGAAAGGGATCTCAAATGCTGGCCATATCTATTATACAGATATATCCAAAACTGAGTATGGGTCGGGTATATTTATGAAAATAAAACAAGGACTAGAATTCATATAAGCAATGGGCAATATGCCAATTGGTTAAAAATAAGTCTTCCATTCAATGGGAATGTATCCAGGGCAGAGGTACAATTTATTAAAGGATCATCGCAGAAACTAATGGCAGAACTGCTAAATCTAAGACAGGTCCTAGAATGATGATAGGACTGCACACTCTGGAGGCATATAGACTATGAGCGGAAGAAATAAGTCCTGTACAGTTGCCAGGTAGAAAAACATGTCCTTTGTTGGTACGAGGGCTAATGTAGGCTGAGATTCCTCTTGGGGGAGGAAAAGCCAAAGCCTGAACATCTCTGCCAATCTACCAACTATACCACTTTCTATTAATAATGTTTTTTTATTACATTTTTAGTGTCAGAGGGTCAGATCGTCAATGTTAGGACTTAGGTGGTTTATTAAAATCAAAACAATAATTTAACCATTATAAATATTTATAAAACATTTTTTTTTTTAAATTTGACATCTAGGCATTTAATCTTCAGGATAATGAACAACTTTTTATATAACACAAATATATACAAAAAAGTTATAATTCTTTGTAAAAAAAATTAAGTTGAACATTTATAACAGTTAAGAGTTAGAATATATAGCACTTCAATCAACCAATCATCGCTTTATAATGGTTGAATTAAAAACAATTAAAAAAAGTACTCATTGTGTTCTAAAATTTTTTTGCAAAAAAATACTGAATTACAATTTTTTTGTACATTTGAAGATGTAGAAAAAATAACAATTTCTACCATTTCAAAAATATAAATTATGAGCAAATATTACAATTTGATTCTTTATTTTTATTACTCCAAATATGTACATTATAATTACAGATGTTAAAATGTCATTGGATATATGAAAGGAGGTAAATATCGGCCTCTAATAAGATTTTAAGAATAAAATAAGCTAACTGGTGAAACTATGCTCGATTTGACAAGATAAAAGTTAAGACAGTAAATACAATCCAGGACAGAATTATGGACACTTGAATATATTTATTTTTGATTATGTTTGTTCTGTTATTAAAATATTATCATGTGCCAATGTGTCAAAGGTTTCTACAGTTTATTGGGCCTAGGGTATGAGTTGCAGCCATATTGCCAATTGGCTACATCATAATTTCTCATCGGTAGCTAAGTTTACAAGAACAGGAGGTAATTATGGTAAAGGAAGGACAACAGGACCACCGTGTATCACAAAAGTAAAAAAGACAAATGCTGTTATCAAATTTCCCATTGACATCAAGAGAAATCGCCAATGTGCAACTGAAAGCATTGTTTCCCTCGAAGGGAAAAAAACCACAGGACCAACTTGCCAGATTATATTTTGCTGCAGAACATATCTTGGAAAGGCCAGAAAAAGTTTCAGACGAGAAAAAGGTCAACTTCAATGGTTTTCGTATTATTTCCATGATTTACTATAAAAAAAAAAAAAAAAAAAAAAATCTCGCCACAATATAGGTCGTCGTTCCTCAATGATTTTGGCATATGTAGGCTTTAAATGGAAAGGCAATTTACACTTCTTTTCTAGGAAAATGTACTCCCAAGTGTAAAGATTCACTTGAGAAAAAAAATTTACATTTAATTCGAGCAAAGGAATTTCAATTTTTCAATGCCCCAATATACAATGCTAAGATTGAGCAAGTATTGAGTATTGAAAAATTGAAACGGCCAGCACTTTTGCCTGATCTTAACAAAAACTGAAAACCTAAGGGGCATACTTTCTAGAAAGGTGAACGGGGTGTCAGGCAGTTTGTTGGATACAAAGTAAAAAGTTTGGTCAATGGTTTGAAGGATTGACTGAATTCATTATGAGTTGGAATCCTGGTTGATCCCCACAGTTCAATTCCGTTCAATATTTATATTGTCTGTTTCCTCAACAAGCCCGCGTGTTATATTAAAAGCTTGTTGTCTAGGACTCGGGGTGAGCAGCATTCGTTTTGTTCAAGGGAGGATGAGATGATGTCTACCACTCTGTGACACTGATGAATGGCATAGTGTTTCTCCAGAACCTAAAATTCAATATTTATATTGTCTGTTTAGTTATACACTTTTGAGTCAAGTGTGGGGTTCCGAGTAACTCTTTTGTTGGTGTAAAGTTCCAAATAGCTGACATTAGTTGCTAGTAATGGAAACAAGAGTTGTTTGGTGGGTGATACGGCAGAGGGTGAAAGTTATTTGCTGAGATTTCGTTTCGTTGAGTTTAATCCTCTATTTCTTGATTATACTCAACGGTAGATATGATGGAGCTTTCTGACAGCCAATAATGGGTCTGAGTTTGCTGAAAAGGTAGTGGTATTGTTTGCATGTATGAGGAGTAGGAAGGGACCAAGGATATTGCCTTGCGGAACATCTGCTTCTGCCATAATGGGGGAGAAGGATGATTTGTACTCGTAAGATTTTAAGATAAAGATGCTCTTGAGTTTCCTCAACAAGCCCGCGTGTTATATTAAAAGCTTGTTGTCTAGGACTCGGGGTGAGCAGCATTCGTTTTGTTCAAGGGAGGATTAGATGATGTCTACCACTCTGTGACACTGACGGATGGCATAGTGATTTTTCCAGAACCTAAAATTAACATTGGGGCTTTCAAAAAAGAGATGTAGGTGTCTCAGAAGTTTTTTTTTTTTTCAAAGGATTTTATCAATTAATGGCAGCAAACTGACTGGGTATAACTTAGTAAGATGCTGAGGTTCCTTTTTAGCTAGGTCTGCTGCCTCAAATTTACCTCAAGACGTGAGACCCATTAGGCTATTTGTGAATAGATATTAATTTTTAGGGCATTCAGGCTGTTCCAGACTAATTTTGAGTTTTTTTAGCTGCCTGGTTGACAGTACGTGTTATTTGTATTATTGTTGCACTCTTGGGACGATGTGCTCATAGTTCATGCCCCTGCCGTAGTGAGATTTTTGTGGTTTGGGGACGGGTTTTGTAATTGACAATTTCCACTGGACTGGGGACTGGGCAGTAAGTCTAAGAACTATGTTGGAAATGGTGATAAGGAAAATTATAGCTGTTTTGGAATCATGATTTTTTTTTTTAAATCTCAGACTAGATTGATTTGTCTTGAGTAGCAATGGATGCAACTACCTGCTGACTGGATGAAATTCCTCACTGATGAAACCCAGTTCATCGCACTACGATGAGTGTACTACAGTATGAGAGTACATGACATTTTTCTTCTTGCTGTTTGACTTACAGTTTGTATTTCATAACGGTGTATGTACACATAAGGCTCTTTTCTCCTTAAATGTTTTATTGCGAAGATGAAATTTGAAGCATCACAAACTAATTGAAATTTAAGAACCACCAGAAAGCGAGGAGCTTCAGCTAATATCAGAGTCAGAATGCTGAAGTTCTGTCGCGCAAGCTACCTCAGAGACCATGATAATTGAGAAGGGAATGAAACAAGGCTGCATTTTATCACTCTTGATTTTTACCCTACACTCGAAAGCTATATTTAAAAAAAAAAACCTCCGATTTCCACACAAAGGGTATCTGGATCAATGGGACTGAATAACATGCAGTATGCGAACGACACAGTAGTGTTGACAATGACCTGCAATGAACGTTGAACTCAATTGTGCACAGTGAAACCAACGGCATAATCTTGAATGTCTCCAAGACTAAGGAGATAATTGTGAATGTAGAACAAGTGATGATACCTTGGTGCCCGGGTTAATGAGCAGTGCAGCCCTAAAAAGAAGATAAAGGCCCGAAATGGCTAGATCTGCTTTCTTTCAAATAAAACACCTTTTTATTCATTCTACACTTGGTTTAGAGTAGACAATGACGAGGATAAGATGCTACGTACTCTCGGTCCTGTTATATGTGAAAGACGGACGTTTGATACAAGAAACGAGAAGCTCAAGGCATACCGTGGATCAAGAGGGTAAAAAATGAAGAAGTGCTTCACAGAATGGGCAAGCCCAGGGAAATACAGCTGTATACATTTTCAGGGCTGTGACCAACAAGCTTGCATCTCCAACCTTCGAGAGAAAGATAATTAAGAAGAAAAATTGAGGGATAGGAGTTTTTGAATTGTTTCTGAATGAATTATTAAAAAATGCATTTAAATTTCTTACATAATGCATCGTATACTCACAATTGTGGATATACCAATTGTGACCAATAATCTCTATTAGTTAGGTAAGACTTTTGCTGAGTTTTTTTCTACAACACTTTATAACCCATACTTTCTCGATCTCATTGTGGGCAGCGTAAATGCTACAAGGTGGACAATTGGAAAAATACCATTGAAATGAACTAAAGTAATTTAAATCTAAAATACAGAAATTAAAAAATTTAATAGTTTTATATTAAAACAATCTATTTTATTATTTTGTAATATATAAAAAAAGAACAAACATTCATGACACAACAGAAAATATCTTGCCTGTCTGTACAAAACTAGTAATGTCAATATTCAATTTAGTTAAAGCTAGAAAATAATTTTTAAAAAATTTAATGGTTGTCCTACAGGTTTTTTAATTTTACCGGAAACACACAAATAAACACGGTGTTGTTCCTGACATATATCACAATTGTAATAATTATCACTGGAGTTTGAAATAGTAAAATATTATCGGTGGCCTTAAAAGGCTGTTTAATTATTAACTATAATTTTTTTCTTATCTACAAATAGACAATTTCAGTTAAAATGAATTTTAAAATGTCTTTTTTGTACCTGTAACAATTTTCAAAGTAATGGTAAGGTAAAAATGCGTTCAAAAGTTATAACACAAATAATCCCCAAAAAACTATTTTTTTTATCTATAATACTGACCGAAATCTCATGAAAATCAACCTAAAAAAACCACCTTTCAACATTACTTGTAACAATACACAATATATCTTTTACAAGGAGCACAAAAATGCATATGGTTTATTATCAATCACTATTGCTGTGTTTTTAATACTGCAATAAGTAAACATGCCATAGAAAAGCTGTGCTTCAACCCCTAATAAAACAACACTTAAGGAATGAAATTGCCATCTTTATGACAATTTTTTTTTTAATTTTATTTTGTAACTAATATCAACGAATATTTGAACAAACAAAAAAAAAATGCCAGTTAATAACTGAAATATCAAACTACATTTTAAACAACAAAGTTGAATTATAATTTATTTTTAAACAAAAGTTATCTATTGTTTTTAACTGGTAATTGATTGTCTTGATGTGCTTTTTTTTAGATTTTTTTCTCTAAAATTATGGATTTAAATTTTAAAAATAATGTGCAATATGTGTACTGTCTTATAAACACGAACACAAATCGTGGTGATAATAATGTGCAAAAGTGATTATTAAGAACTGCAATATTCGTTGTTTCCTCTTGCAATAAATTTGGTCATAGAATTTAACTAATTTGATCTAACTTTTTATATAATTGAAGAAGTAGTTTAAAAACTGAAAAGAATTTAGAAGAAAAAACCCAATATACATACAATGTTTTTAAAAAAAAACAAGCTTGAGAACTGTATTTTTGTCCATAAATGTCATTATTATGAGATTTTAATAGACTTCATATCTGATTTTAACGCGCAGTTAAAATTTCATCAAGATATCAATTCCAGTAAATAACTTTTCATAACTTTATTAGAAGAAAAAAAACACATGGAATTTGGAAAAATGGTAAACTTTATGAAGGGTGAAATATTTCAGTTTCTTAACACTCAATTTAACAATGTTGGAACAGTCGTAATTGTATACACCGTTCAAACACGATATAAAATATATCGAATTTTAGCCGTCTTATTGCACGGCAATGGGAAACAGCCTTGAAAGGAATCTGATGAAGAAATTTATGATCATTCTCACGAAATCAGATGTTGCAGGCCTGTTGGCGACATTGGCCAGGGAAACAAGGAAATAAGTGAACAGATTCCTTGTTGTCGCGTTTCTTTGTGACTTGCATCTCATTAACAAGAATCTATAGTAAACAATAGACGTCAGTAATCCTGCTCTTCCCCTACAACATACAAAAAAGAAACAATTTAATTACTTTTCAAATAAAACAAAAAAATACCTTATCCCAGGCTTTTTTTACATTATACATATTAAATAATGCTCAAAACTAAAAATAGTAAAAAAATCTTTACAAATAAATTAATAACCCATACATATTTAGCGGTTATAACTGACCATATTAATTATTTCAATTAATTATTCTATTTATGTAATGTCTTGGTTGAGATGAAAAAGTTAGAGTCATGAGCGGGGTTCGAACCCATGACCTTCGGCTAAATACGCCACTGCACTAATCACTTGAGCTATTGTGACTTCGATCCACTTGGACACTTTTTTACCTCAACCAAGACCTTAGATAAAAAGAATAATTAATTGAAATAAATTAATCGTAATTATGAGATTATTTCTAAGATTGGACTAGATAGATTTAGATCACCGACCCTCTGTGTTTTAATTCTTTTTTCTTTTTATGGTACATGTATTTTGTTTTAAACTGCAGCCATTTAAGCATCTCGATCCATTTACTGATTCTCTGCTTTTATTGGACTGGTGCAAAAATAATACAGGTTTTGAAAAAGTAGCCAAAACTATTTTTACTTTTATATATAAAATAAAGAAAATTTATTTGAAATATCATCACAATCTATCCATCTTTGCCAACATGTAAATAAGAGCTTTTAATCTGCTAACATAAAAATCTTTATTTTGACCTACAATAAAGTCTTGGAACACATTTTCAGTTTCACATGTGCTCTAAAAATTTTATCCTCCAAGAAGTATCAAAATGCCTAAAAGTGGAAGGTTGTAGGCGAGAGGTCGGGAATATGGAGGGTTAGATTAATTTTGAGGCGCCCTTGGTTAGAATGAAACACTCAGGCACTTCAAACCTCCGAGCGTTTGTTATAACACCGAAAAAGTAAAAAAAAAAAAAAGGTTTTTAATCTTTCAACAGTCTTGAATTTTTGTAAAAACATAAGTTTTGTTTCTTTATTTACGTTTTTGTAACCATCGTTTGTAACTGAATTATTACTTGTTTAAATCTTACATCGAAAATGTTGTGCAGAACTACGACCAGGTCCTGGGAAGTGAAAACCCACCAAAATGGAAAGCAGAGAGAGTAAAGTATATTTTTATCATTTTTGAAGCTTACTTTCCAATTGAATTGTAACAGTAATTTTTGTTTCAGTCTATTTTAGACTGAAGAATCTTCTTTGCTGGATACAAAAAAAATCAAAACAAGCTCAATCAAATCAAACTAATTATTGCTTTCGGAAACTTCACAAATATAACTTATTTATGCATGCATAATAACTGTATTTAGTTTCAGTATTTAGAATAATTTTAGCATTTGTATTTTCACATAATTATAGTGTTACTTGTATTACTGTTTCTTTTGTTAATTTATAATTTTAATTTATTAGTCAGATTTGCAAAGATTTAGGCAAATCTTTAGATTTAGATGAGTGATTTGTATTTTTTAAACAATGTAAAACATTATGTTTGTATAATTTATTTATTTTTATTAATATACACTTTATATCCTCACTGCCAAGGCTTGATGACAATCAGGGCCATAGTTACCTCAGAACGTGGTTAATGTTCACCAAATAATTTTTTAAACGACTAGCTTTGTAAAATTGTAAAAACTGTCTATTGACCGAGTTAATATTGAGCCAGCTTACAATTCCGATAGAGAGTGGACATATTTTTACATTGTAAGATGTTTGTACTTTTTAAACTTCTTAATAGTTTCCAAATCCTGATGAAGTGATGTACTAATATACTCCTTTAAGGCTTGACAAAGGAAATGAGTGTTTTCTTTTCTTTCAAATTGGCCTTATCCCTAACTTTTTTATATAAAATGATATTAAAGGCTGATAACAATTATATCAAGATAATACCATGATATGTTTCATATGAGTGGCAGGTAAAGCAGTAGTAGCATGAACCAGACATTCAATTCACCACATAAATTAATTTTTTTTTTTTTTCACCTGTATTATTATTATTCACACACTGGATATGGTGAAATGCCAGAATGGGCATGACAGACCAATCCAGCGAGGCAGGCAGAGTGTGATCATCTGTTTCTTTTATCTTGTCTTTCTTTCCATTTTGTATTATCAAAAAGTCAAACTTAACCGACTTCCCTCCCTTATTATGCAAACTGCATTAAATAATACTTACAAAAGAATCAAAATGATGCAGAACGGCAATAAAATGATTTCCACGCAGGCGATCAAGTTCAAAATGTTTGATGACTGAAGCTCTACAAATGAGATTAACAGTCTCATTCCACACCAAGAGTTCTGTCCCAATATCTGTAATATAGAGAAATGTGTAGAGATTAGTGACCGTTAATTGATAGTTAATCAGATATCGTGAGATGCGGTCGGGTGTGATGTAGGTTTCAGAAAAACACTTTCTTTATCATGCCAACGTTTCGATCTTTTATTGAGATCATCTTCAGAGCTCAAAGTGTTTGTCTTCTGTGTAAATGTGCCATCCTTGCGTGTCGTGTGTGGGCATTCTCAACACGACACGCAAGGATAGCACAATTGCACAGAAGACAAACACTTTGAGCCCTGAAGATGATCTCAATAAAAGATCGAAATGTTGGCATGATAAAGAAAATATTTTTCTGAAACCTACATCACACCAGACCGCATCTCACAATATCTGAATAAATATAGACAATTAGAAATGAATTTTTTGAAGTTTTGAAAGAAGTTGTGAGTAAAAATATTGAAATTTTCAATTTTTTCTGCATATTTATTGAATTTGCATACCACTTTCTTCCTTCTGTCTAAAATATGGTAATGAGAGGAATAATTTATAAAGACCAAAAGACAAGCATTTGGTTCACAAAATTAGAAGGTAAAATTCAAGTTGCACTACAAGCGAAATTTATTATGACCATCTGCACCGTGACTCTATTGACATGTTTTAGAGGCCGATCAAAGCAAACTCATCAAATGACGAACTCATTAGGTCTGTATAAAGCCATTCACACAAAATAGGTAAAGTGGAAACAATGTATTGAGATACACAAGCTAATTTCTTGACAAGATGTCCTTCAAAATCAATACAAAGGTAATTCAGAAAAAGCGATCAAAAAACAATCAAGAACTTTTTTATAGCAAAGTTATACATAATGAGTTGTCTGATTGCCCAGAAGAGGAAGGAAAAGTTATGATGAAGATTTTAGTTGGCAAAAATTGAAAAATTAAATAGGCACAAAATCAGAATAGATGATTTTCAACCAAAACCTTAAGAACGATATTGACAGGGAATTGGGCAGCTCTTATTACTAATAACTGCAGCTGCACTTCCACGACTGAACATTTATTGGTGAAAAAGGAAAATTGGAAATAATTTTTTCTTTACCTTAATAAAAAAAAAAATCAACATGGCAAAACTAATAATGTAATATACTTACATCCAGCAAGATCAGTGAGTAGCTTGCACACTGGATTAGTGCAAACAAAAATACCGGTAACAATGCCACTAAATTTTCATTAAGAACAATATAGTGAAATTAACTAGAACAAGTAATAACACCTCATTACATAAAATTAAACAGACAAAGCAATTTTATCATAGTTAATTTTAGCATTTATCGCTATCGTTAGAAAGGATAAGTTTCCAGGCAAGAAATAACTGCCCAATCAAATTATAAAACAAGACACTTGATCATGTGATGATAATAAATGAAAAATATTTTTTATTTAACACCAGATTTCACAATAGCCATACATCAAATTTTATGCTTATCTCTTATTTTAAAAAAAAGGATACATGTAAAAGGTGCCACATACAAGAAGATCATAGAATAAGCGAAATAATGACAACTATCCTCTCGTAGAACCGCTTTAAAGAAATCGACAGAATAGGTTATACGTGGATGTCTCTGGTGTAACCGTAAAGCACTTGTTGCAGCATTTGCGATTAACGCTTTGTTGTATGAGCTGTAAAGATTTCTGAAAAATAATGACAAACAATTAATTTTTATGGTAACATATGGAGAAAAATATTTCTACAACATAAAGCCTAAAAAAATATAACAAATTTGTTAAGTGTTCTTTAAATATGGATGAAAAAGTTTCACATTTTTGTATTTTTTATCTCATACAACTGACTTAAGCTTAAAGCAGTCATGAACCGTAGGTTCTGCTTCTAGAAGAAGAGTAAAAAACACCACTGACGATTATAAATAGCCTAAAACACAGAGACAAAGTCATCAAGGATATGAAGATCAGAATGAACGGAGATGACCAACCATCAGAGCAAGGGCATCTACGCAGAACAGTAAACTCTTAAAAAAGCATGTTTGAGATAATTACATCTTATGTGTTTTAAATAAATTGTGACAAAATGACCTAAAATCATGTAATTTACATTCACTTAAGAGAGAGAAATAAAAGTAGTTGTATTTTGCCAAGGAATTTTTGTTTTCTCTTAACAAGTCCAATGTGGCTGATGTTCAGAGGAGCCAAAGCGTTCCTCCTAGCATGATGGCTGACCATGAGGGTATCAAATGAAATTTCAGCCAGCTTGAATGAGTTTTGAAAAAATACAAGGTAGCATATTTATGTCATAAGAGTCAAAAGTGCAGCCTATATTTTGTCAATGAAGTGGAATGGAAGGTAATTTGTAATAGTAAATTTTACATTCTCACGAGAAAATATTAAGAAAAGGTGCCAAAAAAATTTTCTCAAGGAAATTGAGAACCATTCTTTATGAAAAAGAGAAAACCATTTCAGAATGCTTGCAATGTTGACAAGGAAAATGTAACAATGCCCCCCCCCCATAAAAAAAGTGAAAACAGCTGGGCTGGCACACATTTTTGTGAAGAAAAATTTCACATTCACACAACAAATTTAGAAACAATGTGGTTTAACAGTTTTAACAAGGAAAATTTTACATTCTCTTAAATAAAGAGAAATCAAATTAGGCTGGTTGACAATTTTTGCCAAAGGGAATTTTTAATTCTCTTACAAAAAAAGTTGAGTAACTAGAACGAATAATAATTTACTCATAAATAAATTTAACGTTCTCTCAAGAACAAATTGAAGTAGAGGTGTTACAAAAACCTGCCACAAACAAGTAAATTTTGCAACGAAAATCACCGTCTCTTCAAGTGAGGAAAAACTATTTGTAGAAAGGGATATCCATGATAAGTCATACTCAACCAAGAAAATTATTGATATATGCTAATAAAATATTTTTACAAAAGATGGTTGCAGAATACAAGGCCGTTCCCAAAATCAAGCGAGAGCAAAACTAGTTTGAGTAGTTCAACAAACCCTTGAGTGAAGACAGACCCAATAAATGCCCCTATGCTGGTTCATGCATGAAACTAGTTAAACCCTTAATTTACTTTTTTTTTAAAATTATTTTAGTACGATTCATTGTCACATAATAAAGGAGAAGAAAAAAAACCTCCTCTATAAAAATTGAACCTGAGGTTGTTGCTTTTTTGGCCTGTTTTTTAACTTCTTCCCTGTGCGAATATAAATTATACAGACAGTTATGTATTATCTTATGATAAAAATATCTCCTTACAAGACAACTCCCAAAAGAGGACAACTGATGGAGTTAAGTTCTCAAAAGGCCTCTTTAACAGGTAAAAAAAATTAAAATAAAATAAATAAATAAAAATATCTTTCAATATAACAAAAATACAATAACCAATGCACACATAAACAGTATTACACAGGGTGTCCTTTTTAGTAGGCCCGGCTGAATTTCTCTGAACAGCTAACATTATTTAAATGAATAAACGAAAAAAAAATATATATATATTGTATATATACCTACACCTCACACTAATGCAACTTTAAAATTTATTTGCTATCAAGAAGTCCAGATGAAAGGTTGGTGTTGATAACAACTTGGACAAGGACACAATAGAGGGTTTTTACTTTTGAAAATTCCACCAATTCAGTAACCATTTGTGGTGAAGTTTGATCAACAGTCAACAGGATGTATAGTAGAATTTTTTCTTCTGTGTCCCAAATTGACGTTTTTGCAATGAACTAAAGTTTAAGTCTTATATGGGGATTCCAGGTGAGTCATTTGTCTAGTTACAGCCATAGATAGTGGATGACGTTTTAGTGGAAAGGGGGATGAGTTTATATAGATTGGAGGTAGAGTGATTTGACAGAGGGCGAAGGTTATGTCTTGGGACTTTGCAGAGTTAGAGGTAGTCAGGTTGGGAATAGATATCAGCAGTACATAGAGTGCAGCAGCTCTATGTACACTATCCTAAGATACTCTTATCAACCCTGTACAAAGGGAAAGTGCGTTTCGCGTAGGACGCCCAGTGGTTTACCAGAGCATGCCAGGTTTGATCGAAAGCATTTCTGCCTAAACAAAGAAGAATGAGAGGATCTGACTCATACTCAACTATCGACCAGGTGGGTCTTGAGGATAAGGATGTATGTAGATGTTAGGATACCCTTGAGTCTTCAGGGCATACCCAGGTGCCAGACTAGATCCTAGATCGAGTAACATCTCAAGCTGCTTCTTATCAGAGAAAGGTTGCTACCCTGAGGAATGCCCGTATATCAAGAAGAGCAAGAGAATCCGACTCATACTCTAAGTAACAGCCAGATATATTATAATGAAGGGATGTGTAGATAGTAGGATGCCCTTGAGTTTCCAGACCAGATTACCAATACCAATTAGAATATTATTACCGGACTAAATTCCGTTCTACAATGAGGAAGATCCCATAGGTGTTTTTTACCTAGAGGAAAGGCCATGTACTAAGAAGAGCGAGAGAATCTGACTCATACTCCACCTAATGGCCAGATATATTATAATTAAGAGGTGTGTAGATGATAGGATACCCTAGTGTTTTCAGAGGAAACCTAACAACCAGACTTAAACGAAAGCCTGTCTGCCTTGTACAAAGTAGAGTGTGAGGATCCGACCCACACTCTAACAGCCATATATATTACAATGAGGAGATGTGTCGATGGTAGTAGGATGCCCTTGAGTTTCCAGAGGAAAACCCAATTCCCAGTCTAGGTTCTGTTCGGCATCAAGGGAGATCCCAAGCTGCTTCTCATCACAGAAAGGTTGCAACCCTGAGGAACGACCATGTATCAAGAAGAGAATCCGACTCATATACATACTCAAACAGCCAGATATAATGAAGAGATGTATAGATAGAAGGATGACCAGAGGAAACCTAACTACCAAACTCAATAAAAGCCTGTACGCCTTGTACAAAGTGGAGTGTGGTAATCCAACCCATACTCTACGTATCAGCCAGATATATTATAATGAAAAGATGTCTTTTTTTGACAGCAAACCCAGGTGCCATGTTCGATCAAAACATTTCCGCTTTTTAGAAATGAGAGTGAAAGGATACGACCTATACTCTTTCTGTTGGCCAGGTAGGTTTTGAGGATGGGATGGTGTGTACGGGCGGGCATAAATTGGGCACATAGTTGTGGAGGAGGCGGGATCAATTTGAGTCAGGTATCCCCGACTGAGAAAAAGGTGTCTTAAATAAATGCAAACTGGGTGCCAAAGGTTGAAAGTCGAATAGGTAAATTGGGCACAGTACTGTATTTCACCGTAAAAAGGTTTGTAAACATAAGGAAAATATATAAGTATCGTTCATAAGTCAAATACCAACTGAGCTAGAATAGTAGTGGGACACTTTCTGTAGTGATTGATTGCATTGTTATTGTACAACTTCATTAAGTGTTCAACCATTTCTTTTTTTTTCTTTTTTCTAATGGCTCGCTTGTCGCAAACCAGTTGGGGTACGTGAAGACTGTTGATTTTAACATACATTTCACTCTGATATTTTATCATAACCTCGAGAAAAATATGAATTGATGGATGAGGTGTGTAAAAGTTGTCTTTTAAGTGACTGTGAAATGCCTCATAGGCATTTGTGGTTTGAGTCAGTACTGCTGAGCAAGCTGCCACATCTATGATGTACTCCACATTTTATATAGTTGAAATAAAAATCTTTTGTGAATTTGGTCGTTCTACACAACGATGTTTGGTTTCGTTTCTAAAATAGTACAATAAGTCACACTAAACTGAACACGTAGTTGAACCATGGTCAGATCACTTACTACCTGCCTGACTGATATGTAAATGGAACAAAACCTTTTTTTTTCCTCAAAAACTCGAATATCGTTTCTTCCTAATGAACTTCAAATAGCGACCATCTGTGCATAAGCCCAGTTTACATTTCCATCTGGGTACTCTGTGTGCCCAGTTTAATATTTCCACCAATGACCTCCAGTCTATATCCATGATCTCAGGTATCTATATGCTGGTATATCCAATCTATATGCTGCCGTGTGTACGTTTTTGAGTTTTCAGAGCAAACCCAGTGCCAGGATGCCATTGTACAATCAGGAAATAAATATCATTATTAAAAAAAGAAACGTATTATTTTGTATAATCCATATTATTACTTTTTTTTCAAAAACAGATAGACATTTTCAACTAGGCCGAAAAATATTAAATCAGTATTTTTTTAAATAACTTTTTTGTTAGAGAGAAATTCAGGCAGTTCATCTAAAAAATGACACCAGGTTTCATGTAAAAAAGTTTTTTTTTTTTTTTCAATGATAAAAGCCTATAAATTGAGTATGAATTTTTAATTAAAAGATCAAAACTATTTTCATGATCGGTTCGCATGAGGAATCCTTCAGCATGTATCAAAAGTATAAACCTGAAAATGACTTTGCTATATTTTACCGATTTACATAACAGGTAAGAGCCAATGGTCTCGTTTTTTTCCTCCTTTTTTCATTCTCTTTCAATTCGTCATAATCTTTTTATAAAGTTTATAGTTAAAATATTATTATAATTTTCCCACTCACCCGAAAATAGGAATGAAGTAGAGGATGGTGAACATGATGGTGAGAAGCCTCGTGAACAAAATCGTCATTTCGATTTTGTGCGACAGCACATGAGCCATAAGCCTTTCCATAGGAGAAACTGTAACTGTCTCCTGTTGATGTTCCTCCGGCTGAGTCATTGTAGAATATTTCATCCTGTTTAACAAACGTTACGTGTAAATGGGCGATTTCTAAATAAACTCGGGGCAAAAAGTCGTGTCAAGTTGAATCCAAACTAAAAGAGAAGTGTTATTCTAGGCCGTTAGAAAACAAAAAAAAGGACCCTTTTTTCGGACTTTATCTTTATTATTTCTAAACACGAGTTGATAGTTTAACAAATAAACAAGAGAACGTCGAAAAAATCTGCACTTACTATTCTTGAAACAGCAAAGGCGTATCGAATTGAAAATAAAAGCACCCGGTTTTAAAGATGAAACCGTTTATTTTCAAAATTCGGTTTATCGTATTTAGAAAGTTAATACGACTGTAATAAGATGTCGGCAACGCACGTCTAACGTCAGAGCACTGTCGAGAACTAACACGGTCGAGCGCGAGCCTACTTTCGCAGTGTAAACGAAAGCTGTTCTGCTTCTGCGCATCGAAAAGGGGAGGGGAGTCGAAAAGCATTTGTTCAGTTGGAAGGGAGAGCCCGAGGCAACGTCACATCGCCTAAAGGTGATAATTTTCCTTTGTTCTAAAATAAAATAGATTATATATTTATTGGGTCATAATTCCATACACACATAATGACAAAGTACATAAGACATAAAGTCATCAAAATTATTTGATAAAAATAATATAACAAATTTAAAATGTACTAATAAAGTAGATTAATAACAGGACTGGGATTGGAAAAGAAATTGAATTGAAAACGATAATTTGTTCTGAGCCTTCACTTTTGTCTAATTATTTTATTAATATATTTATTTACATCTGCGCCAATTGCTGCACTAAGTAAATTTGTCAAACGTTAAAAGCAGTGTTATCAATCTCGGCATAATTGCCTATCAAATATGTAGCATTGTTACCACCTTAGGTAGGCAATTATGCTGAGGTGTAAATTAACATAACATTGCTATCACTCGGGTAGGTAATTATGCTGAGGCGTAAGTTGGCTGCCACTACGGTATAGTCCTAACTGTAGGAGTTCCACAATAGACCCATATAGCCAGTATTTATTTTATTTTTATATTGTTTCGTTTTAAATAAAAATCTATATTCAATTTATAGGAATTAGGAGAAATAAGAAATAATCCCTCCTGAAAATTAAGTGACATTAACTGTTCATTTTTACTTGTAAATTTCTAAACATTTACATTTACTTTAAGAAATATACATAAATAAATATTGTATTAATTGAAGACGATTTCGAGGTGGAAATTTTATCATTTTTAGCTGGTTTTACCATACCTGATATATTTAAATTTTGAAAACTGAAATGAGTCCGTTTTTTAAGGCTATTTTCTAGGCAAAATGTCGGCTGGAAAATTACAGGGTGATCGGTGAATAATGAGTGCGTCTTACAATTTATAACTTGTTACCTAATGGATTTAGTGTATTATTATTTATAAATTAATCTACTCACTTCGTGCGCCTTTTTTTCTTCGAGCTTTTTCGCGGTATTTTTACAATCGGCACCAATATCATTGCGAGATGGGTTGCCTCATGAATGAAAGTCGACGATCGGTTCGAAAATTACCCCTACCGCCGAATGTAAAAACAACAAACTATTTTTTACCCGGTTGATTTTTCACTTTAGAAACGCTTTTATTTATTCAAAGAGATAATAAAACAACAATAAAACTACTAAACAAACCGGCTATGAATTGACGGCCTAGATGATTCAACTGTTAAAATGAAAAGGACTATAAGTTGGGTCTACTTTTTGTAAAACCTTCCTTTATTTTAAACAAAAACAACTGACCATTATGATAAATATTTGTCGTCTCTAGTATTTATTAAGATCTTCCTTTGCTTAAGAAAATTAAATAAACTGCTTAAAATATCAATTAAATCAGACTTACTTTTTAAAACCTGATAATGTTTTCGACAGTTTAAAAAAAGTCCTGACATTATAATTCTACGGTTACTAATTAATATTTTTTCTGTATATTTTGAAACATATCCCAAATATTTTCATTAAAATTAAAATAAACTAAAAAAATCAACTTTAATTAAATTTCTTTGATTAAAAAAAAAAAAAAAAAATGATCAGTGTACAATTGACTGACGGAAAGTCCAGGGTTAAAATTAAGTTTCGCCTCGGCCCAGCTGTGATGTCTGAGGATCGAGGACCGTTACTCATTTCTAAACCTAAGCCATAATCTGAATGGTTTCAAGGTCTCCCCGGATAAAACAGTGGCTGTCCTTTTTGCTAAAAGAAAGCCTACGATACTACCAAATCTAGTAATAAATGGAACCCCTATTATCTATCGAGATGCAACAAAATAACTCGGTCTGACCCTTGATAGAACACTGAACTGGTTAGCACATTTAAATGCCTTAAAAATGAAATGTAATCAGTCACTAAACCTCATCAAAATGGTAGGATCTTTCTTTTGGGGTGCTGACCGTGTCAGCTTATTAAGACTATACAGGAGCCTTGTGCGCTCAAAGGTTGACTATGGTTGCCAAGCGTATGCTTCAGCCTCGCAGAGAACCCTTAAGATTTGCGACACCATTCATAATGCAGGACTACGACATGCCATTGGAGCTTTTCGTTCAAGTCCTGTCAATAGCCTTATGTAGAAGCAGGTGAACTCCCTCTACACTATAGAAGAAAATTACTCGAACTAAAATACCTTGCAACAATATTATCTACACCTTTTCATCCACTACGGGAGCTTTTCCCTCCGCTACGACCCTCAGAAATCATGAATACAAATAAATCATATAGATGTCACTTTGCCTTTCGAGTCCTTGAGTTCCTAAACACCACAGACTTATCAATTCCCAAAATACAAAAGAAACATGTCTCCCCGATTCCGCCGTGGCTCATGCCTACGCCAAATATAAACTTTAATCTAACAAGATTTCCTAAAGAAAATACTCCCTCATACATTTATAAAAAAGAATTTTTAAGAATAAAAAGTACAATCCCAAACGCAACTTTCGCATTTACGGACGGTTCCAGTAACCCAAGTGGTGTCGGAGCGGCATTTGTTTATCAGAATAGAAAAATGATGTTCTCTCTTTCTCAGATATGTAGCAACTACACTGCCGAATTAATTGCGATCAATAAATGCATTAACATCCTAAACTCGAACCACAGAGCCCTAGTTGTCTGCACAGATTCCTTTTCTGCTCTATTAACCATCAAAAACAAATTTTTCACAAATCCAAGAATCCAAGAGATTTTACTTGCTATAAAAAATAGTACGAGTACAGCAGTTAGTTTTTTGTGGGTCCCAGGTCACTGTGGTATAAAAGGCAATGAGGAGGCTGATCGAGCAGGGAAATGTGCTGCATCGAATGGTATTTACGTGCCGGAAGTGCCATGTGAAGACTTTGCTGTGTTCCTTTATTCTTAAAGGAAAAATTTGGAACCTCTGGCAATCGGAATGGCGAAATATCGAGGATAACAAACTCAGAGAAATTAAGGAAAGTGTCAGACAGTGGGACACGGCAATGCAAAGGTCTCGAAAAGAAGAAACCGTGCTGGCCAGGCTCAGGATAGGTCACACTTGACTAACACATGGTTACCTAATGGCCATATCATAACAAAAGGTAAAATATCACTAAAGAAGAAAAACTCTAGACAAATCTTGGGTACTAAAACCGAGACTTAGTGCCCACTGGCTATACACGGCAGTTATAAGACCCAAAATAGCCTACTGATCACTAAACCTCACAAGTGCACGTGAAACTCTGCTAAACCTACCTCCACTGGAAACATTCATACAAGAAGAAGCTAGAAAATTTAGGTTCCAAAAACAACCAAATTAGTTGGGAACTAAAAAATTCGGGCACACAACCATAATTAATAAAATCAAAGGCCCATTCTTAGAAATGGGGACTGACTATATGATCCCGGAAACATTCTTTACAATATCCTATAAATTCTCGTCAGATTGTAAAGGAGAGGAAGAACTCAGGAGAGCATCACATACAATGATATGGTATATGATAGCCCCAAAACAGGCACAAATTAGAGCAATCAAACTCATTTGGGAAGTACACTTTCAACTTTCAAGTAGAACTACATGCCATCAATGCTTGTGCCCCAGAAAATCCTAAAATAGGTTACACTGGCAAAAAGGTCTTCATAAGATTGAATAGCCAAGCAGCTATTAAAACATTAGCGTGTAAAAACTCACATCAAAATTAGTTTACTACAGTTTATTAAAAAAATACTAGTTAAAAATTAAGTCCCAATATTGTCCCGATCTGACCATAAAGTTGAACGTTTTCCTATCAAATTTGGACGAATCAAAAGTTCATGACTCTTTTAAATTAAAATTTTATAAATTGAACATTTTAGGTTCGTCAATTCCAGTTCAATTTTACTGTCATCAACATGGAACAACAAAAGAACAAATAAACAGCTGGCTTTGGCAAACATACAATCCGAAAACTCATCTGGTTTGATTTTACAATTTGAATTCCAATAATAATTTGATCAGACGTTTTCTTACGAAATGTTTGAGTCGAGTCAATATTTTAGACTATTGATTTAATAATGTCAATTCTTAAATACTTTAGCCTCGGTTTTTATAATCACTGTGTACCAGAGATCCCTATTTGTGTCCGACGCTACATTATGTTATACACAATTTAAAAAAATAAGTAAATTTAAATTTTTCTGGCATTAGTTGTAGAAAATTAAAAGAATTTTGCATATTTCTGAAAAGCATTTAAGGTCCTTGTACTGCAACAACTTGTGAACAATGGCCAACCTTCATGGTGGAAAGACGTATTGTTATATAATTAATTTTCTATTGTTTGAACATTAATTACTTCATTATGGGTTATAAAATTGGTTTCAGAAGTTGCTTAATTTCTTATCAATCTCTTGCCGTTTGCGACGTGCAGGCTTGTTCTTTTGCTCCCCTTTAAGCCATTTTTTAACGGGCGTTTTCTTCTTCTCAGTCGGCTTTGGAAATGATTTGCCTTTTGACAAATCGATAATATTTTTCCGACTTGTACTGTTTGTTTTAGTTTCTTTTGATTGGAAATCTTTATTTCGTAAGCTTGGCAAACTGCTGAAATAGTAATCGCTAGAGAAACCAACTACTTCTGTGTAGCTCCTTTCTGTTTGACCACCATTCCGGTCTGAAAATCAACAAGGATCACCCTGTAAAAATAGATTGAGATCTTTCCAATAAACTTAAATACACAAACAAATTAATATAATTCGTGTGAACATAAGATATAACGCGGATTTTAACTTCGCCAAGCAACAAAAGGACTTTATTAATATTTTAAATTTCAAAAATTTTCTCTATTGTAGTCAAACTTCTTTTACAATTAAAAATGTACGAATTTTGTCGAAATATTGTTTAATATTATATTAACAACTCAGCTGATTTCTAATTATAAATGTACAATTTATTATCTTTTTCATTTTTTATTTGAAGAATAATAGTATTGTGTCATATCACTTGTTTTCCTCTGTCTTTTTTCCCTCTTTACAGCTGATCTTACTATCTGAACGTATGCTCTTTATTATTTAAAATAAATAAATAAATAAATAAAAGGCACATTAGGACATTTTTTATTGTGAAAACTTTATTTAAAAAAATACAAAACAGTAAAATACATGTTCCTCTTTACGGCATGGTATTAAACCGTCTACCAAATTAAGAATTATATTGTATTGATTTTAGCCTGCAATGTTTATCGATTCCAGTTAATATTTATTGTAGGCAAGACTATCAATTGGAGTAGATATTTTCACTGGCAACAAAAAATTGTTACACACAATTTAAGTTCAAAAGTATTGTTAAGTCAAAATATCGTTTTGATCCTACCACAATGGTGGAACGTTTCTGACCTCAAGTTCTCGGGGCGAGTCTAAGTTTTACGACCCTTTTTAAATCATCGACTTGTTAGTGATTACACCAGTTTGTAAATCATTGAGGTGAAATATTCATCACAGACTTAACTTTGACACACATGAACTGGAAGCGGCACTTGACAAAATTGAAACACCCTTGTAGATCCTCTCATCTCATTCGGTTACTTAGCTGTATTGCAAGGGGTGCGACCGAAACAGTATGCTTATGCTGTACAGGACCTTAGTCAGATCAAAACTGGAATACTGTTGCAATGCTTATGCTCAGGAAATGAGCAGGAATGGAAAAAAAATTAATCTAATAGAAACACACAACTTATAATTGCGATAGGAACATTTCGATCCAGCCCAATCAGTAGCATGCATGCGGATGCTGGTGAACTTCCTCAACTTTACAGACCCCCCCCCACTCTGTAATGGTTGCCATGTCACAATAACCGTTAATCATGTTTTAACAGAATGTGCTCGCCTTAAAGCAAATAGAGATTCTGTCATGCTTCCAGTCATTTTAAAAGATATATTAAGTGATAAATCCTCCTGCTTGGATAGATTGTACAAATTTCTTAAAATATCTAACATGCTTAAGGAAATTTAAATAAACAAATAAGCAAATACACGAGCAAATAAAGCAATAAATTAAATAAACAAAAATAAAATAAAAATAATAACAATAAATAAACCAACTATAAGACTATAAAACATCGAATAAGTTTAAATTAACTGTAAATCAAATTAAAACTAACTATAAATTCAAACAATGGTCACACAGCCTATCAAATTTAAAAAAAATTCAAAATAATAAGTACAAATTTGAAGTTCTTGATAAATTCACGTTCTTGCTAAAAATTGCTGCGATTTATATTATTTAAAAACAAAAAAATAAGTGCAAATATCTTCTTTATCCGGCCATAATGGCAGAACATGTCTTATCCATGTTCTCGGGGCGAGTCTAATTGTAAATTTCAGTTTCATGATGTTTTTAAATTAACACTTTGTCAGTAAATGCATCAATTTGTAAATAATTAAGGCACAATTTTTATCACAGTCAAATTAGTATGACTATTATTGTTTGAATATGTGCTTTATAAACTCACTGGCCGAACACGTGCATGGTGCGACGTTTGTTATTACAAACAAAAAATTATTTAACTTGAAAATAATAAGTACAAATTTGTAATAAATTCACTTTCCTGCTAAAAATTGCTGCGATTTATATTATTTAAAAACAAAAATATAAGTACAAATATCTTCTTTATCCGGCCATAATGGCAGAACATATTTTACCCCATGTTCTCGGGGCGAGTCTACGTTTGATGACCCCTCCCCATTATTATTGGAGATAGATGTATTTAGTCGGGGTGTGTATTATACTGCGCCCTTATCCCCCGTTCGTAAAGTACATCGGTAAGTCCTGGTTCATCGAGGAACTTGATTAGTAGGCCCGGTTTGAGTGGTTCAATCTCTTCTATGGTTACGTGTATGTCCCAAAAAACTTCCTCCTACGGGCAATAGCACCACAGGTTCTTAGTAGGTGTGTCGGGATCTCCTCTGCTTCTGCAGAATTTACACGTGCCGTGTATTATTACTGTAGCAACTGTTAGTAATTTTACATATACTAAATTTTAAGCAGTTCAGGTTCATTGTTCGTCCTTTTACTATTGTCAATATACGCAAAATTGGATTGGGCTTTTTCCCTTGACTACTGTTCGCTATTCTAGTGAAATTACCATCGCTATTTTTTTAAATCATTTTAATTTTTTTTACTGTTTTTCTACTTTTAAAGTAAAAATTGAGCGGTTTTTTTGGTATGTCGGAAACAAAATGAAATTCAAAGGATCAAAGTGCCGACAGCTTGCCCGAATATGACGTCCGAGTTGAAAGATGAAAAACGCGACAAATGCCGTAAAACATTACGGCGTCCTAGATCCCGAGCACTAAAAAAAAGAAAATTACGCGAAATAAAAAATAAAACGTCTAGATAATAAAGGAAAATCTTTATGGACATTTTTTTCACGATTTGGGTGTTTTATCTGGTCATTTTGACGCATTTTTGACTAAATGCTGACTCGTATTGGACGGAGTTTTTAAATTATTGTGGCACTGGATGGCCCTTGTCGGACACGCTGCCGTAGGAGTGGGAGTTTCACTTCCATCCGTGCCATCGTGGTGTGATCGTCTCGTTCGTTTTTCTTTACCAACGGATTGCCTCGGTCGTAACTATTTACTTCTAAAATGGCTACTAAAATGGTTCACGTCTCTAAGAAGAAAAAGGTGAGGTTTTTATATTATATTAATTACACTTTTTATTTAAAAAACTTGTAAATTCGTCCGTCGGTTTGGCACGTTAACTCGCCATGTGGCCCTCGCCTTTCCCGGTTTCTTTTGACTTTTATTACGTTTGTTTATTGAATTTTCACAGATAATCGAATCCACAGGACAAATCGTTTTTATTTCTTTTTCAATGTGTCACATAATAAAGGGGATCTTGATTAAGGATACGGTTGGAAAAATAGCTAGCCTAACCGTTTCGCGCTATCTACCCTGCCTGCAGTCTAAATCAAAATTTTATCTGGACTAGAATTATTTTAAAAATTTGGTTTCGAAATGTTACTGATAACTGGCCAAAATCAACGCTGTTTTTCATTATCAATCCATCAAAAAATTCAACAGCATAAACAGTGTTTTATAAGCATCAATTTGACCTCAACCATTAAGATTTTAAAAAAATGAATAAAAATACAATGAAATTTTTAATTTAATAAAAAAATCAAATGATCTTTATTTACAAATGTTGTCATTGTGTGGTGTGCAAACTAAAACTTACATTCCACGCTGCATCATTGTGCGTTAAAGTTGATATGAGATCTTAATTCTTAATACATTGGAAGCCGTTCATCACACTGATCAATTCAACTCTATAAGACAAGACATAGTTACTTCGGATCGAAGAAACAATTAGTAGCATGGCATACATGATTGCTTATTTATTTAGTTCCTGCATTCTTATCACATGTATGTCACGATCAACCGTTGTGTCGAGTCTTGGGGTATATACCAAAAGGCATTGGACGTTAACGTCTAGCAAATGTACAGTAGATAGATACGTGCGAGTAATTCTGTCTCTCCCTTGACATAGCCAGAACTCATAAATAGACGACAGCGGTATGTTTAGGCCGGAGAGAATTTTATTCATTTTTTTAAATTTTGTTTATTTGTTCAAATATCCATGGAGACGAAAAACAAAAAAAGGTCTCGGGGTCCAGCTGGCCAGTTAGTATTGGAGAGTGGACGAACGCGTTTGTCTAATTCTTTTTGATCTCGATTTGTAATCGAAGTTACAATTTACGAGTACCCCGCTGGATTACGAAGTTATTTGTTTTCTCTTCGCCCTCTCATCGCTGTGGAATCACATCGCCTGCAATTCTTCATCGCACATCATTTTGCTGTTCACAGGTCAAATTTTTCTTTCGGCTGCTCATGTCTTCTAATAAGACTTTAATTTGAAGTGTTTGTTCTTATTGACATTCGATCAGTGCCGATTATTTTCAACTGCCTATCCTCACTGAGTTGGCCTATCAGGCATGTTTTGTTCCGGTCTGTCTTCGTATTGTAGAATTTTTTTTTTAATTGGTGGCATTTTCAATGGTAATGAGTTTGTTAGTGTTTAATGCGATTTGTCTTCATTATTGAGATTCCTGATGGTTTTTGCGAGGTTGATTTTCCGTCATTGTCCTTAAACGATCGTGTACATGTTCTTTGTATTGGTCCGTTATATTTCATCACTGCACGGAGAAATAGCTCCTAAGCTAAAGAAAAGGAAGAAAGAAAGCTAAAAAATAGCAAAAAGGCCAAAAATAGAACGTAATTTTTTTTAACAGTGCGCTGGCTTAGATCTAATTTTGTGCCTTTCTCTCTGAATTTTCACTGGAACATCAAAATGTGAGACATAATGATGAGGACGATACAGCAAATACTACTTAAGTAGCAAAATGTCGAAAACCAACAGACTGGATGTAATTTATTATTAGTTCCCTTTCACCAGAACATAAATATGCATGACGTATTAACGATGAGGACAATAACAGCAAATACTATGTAAGTAGCTAAATGTCAAAAAGCATCACACTGGATGTAATTTGTGCTTTTCTTTCATCAATATGCTGACAAATAGACCTAATTTTGTATATTTCTCTTAACTTTCACCAGAATATCAAAATGCATGACTTATTAATGAGGATGATACATCAAATATTACTTAAGTGTGTAGAGATTAGTGACCGTTAATCGATAGTTATTCAGATATTCACCCGACCGCATCTCACGATATCTGAATAACTATTACTTGTATTGGGTTGCTGCAAAATTAATGCAGGTTTTGAAAATTTTATTTTTGTAAGTGCTTGTCATATAAACCAAACTAAATCTTCAAATCTAATTTATGGATTATAAAAATACTTTTAACTATTATCTTTTATAATCTCTGTAAAAAGAAAAGGCAAGAGTATATGGTGTTCGCTGCCTCCCAATTAGCAGCTGTAAAAGATTCAAAGAAATTTTGGCAATTGGTAAATAGATTAAGAGGAAAAACTTTCATTTGTGGTGAGGTATCTATGGATGCATGGGTTCAGCACTTCCGTTCTATGCAGTACCTATGAATGTTAGTTGCTCTCTAAAGGCTTTTCGACTAATGACAACTTATCAGTATTGGCCAACTTAGTCAATTTAAGACTGTCGAAGCCAAAGCAAAAGACGTATTGGTTCTTTGTGGATTTTAAAGCTGCTTTTGATGGTGTAGATCGTAGGAGATTGTTTTTAAAACATAGTGATTTAGGATTTTCCTCTAAAATGGTTTTACACACACTTTAAAATCCTTGTTCTCTGACTTTTTCGAGTGTGCGAAGTAAGGAGGATTTTTTTTTTTCAAGTGCATTGTGGAGTGCGTCAGGGTTGCCTGTTGAACCAAATCTTATTCGTTCTCTTCTTACATGACCTCCCAAATGCCTTGGAATGTGGAATTGGTATAAGTAATTCAGCAATTAACTGTTAATGTATGGTGACAATAAAATCATAGTGTTTAGGAGAGGGGTTCTTTTTTTTCCCTTCCCCTCCCCAAGGGCAATCTGAGATTGAAAAAATGAATGCAAATATTTAGGAGTCATTTTTACCCTGGGTCTCTCTCGCACTTTTCTCTTGGAAAGCCTCAATGAATGGCTAAATTAGCTCTAAAATAACACATGGGCAGCCTTCATACTTCAAGAAACTATCCCTATTAAAGTAAGTTTAATATTTTTTAATGCTATATGTCGTGCAATTTTGTGCTATGACTGTCAAATGTGGGGATATCAGAGATTCAAAACAATAGAAAAAGTGCAACTTTTTTTTTATAAGAAAGTTATTCACATTGCCATTTGGTATGCCAAACTATGTGTTTATTTAGAGACCAACATGGATTTAGTTATGGTTTATACATTTAAACTTCACTACTCCTACATTGTGAAAGTTCTGGTGTCTCCTAATATAGGATACTCAAAAATTACAACTTTTGCGGCAATGAAGTTTAATATTTCATGGTTTGCACACTGGAAACATTTATTTGAAAATTACAATTTGCACTTCCTTCTATCACAGACAACCTTTGTGACTCGTACAATTATTTTTTAGTTCTTATTAGTCAAATTAAAAATCAACATCACGAAGAATGTTGGTCACGTGTCCAAGCATCTATCTCTCCCTTTACAAAGAAATACACATTTCTCCTGCATTGTTCGATGTACATGAAGACACTTTTGATGCACTTTGTCTCAGTCGAGTTGTGATGGCTATTTAAGATAAGAACTGAGGTTTTGCACTAAAACTTGGCTCTTTGTATTAGAGGGGAATTGGAAATCCGTTCTTTGTGACATTCGCATTCCATTGAATGAAACCGTGTTCCACTTCTTGGCATAGTGCTCAACTCTGGGTGAGATTCGGTTATTTCATCTCAGATGTTTCACTCTCCCCAGAGTTGACCTGTTACGGTTTTTGAATGGCTCAAATTTGCGGCCGTTAATGCATGGAATTGCAGATGAGTTAATTAAGGAGTTTAATTTTTGATTTGTATTGTATAATTTATTTTTATTTATTTCTTATTTTACCAGTTGTTATTTCTCTTTTCTTTGTATTTATTTACTAGCCTATTATTATTGTCTTACACTTTATTATTTTTTGCCCTTTCTGATTGTTAAACCAACAATATCTGGCATATGGATCCAAGCAGTCCATAAATGCTTTGAAAGCACATTTGTCATTTTTCTTAAGTTCAATAAAGCATTATTATTATCTTTTATACAAACGTTTTGAATTTAAATTGAATTTTATAAGAGTGGGGACCTGCGAAATTAAATATGTCCAAACCAGATTTTCATCAAATTTACTTGCACGAATTTTAACTTGGGCGAAGTGCGGCCCAAACAGCGGGTAACATCAATACAGTTTAGGAGGAGGGAAGCATTAGCGAATGCACGGTGCAGTGAGGGTTTCAGAGATTCGTCTTGGAGGTTTCGATCTCGTAGACAGGGAAGGTCACAGTAGTCCACAATGGCCAACTAAAAACGTTGATTAAAGAAAATTCACATAAGACAACAAAGGAAATTGTGCTTAGTGTTTACCACTCAACCTTTCTTTATTGTAGGTCGAAGTAAAGATTTTTATGTCAGCAGAATAAAAGCACTTATCATGATGTTAAAAATATATATCAAATAAATTTTATTTTTGCACCTGCCCAACAGCTAAATGTTGAAAGACATCAGAGTGGATGTAATTTGTGGTTTTCTTTTAACATTTTCGTACCATAGTTCACCTGACATAATGTGCCTAATACATGGCAATGGTGAGAGATTGACAAAAAAAAAAAATAAATAAATAAATAGAGTCAACAAGAATAGTTTTCAGGATCAGGCCACAATTGAGCTACACTGTGTCTATGTTTCATATTTTATTATGATACCTTTAATTATTATTTTTGTTTTGAAATTTTTGGCTGAAACAGTCAAGCATGTTTTTCTCCAGCAGTCCCTCTCAACCTTTAACACTACACACACACTCTTAGTCATTCAGTAGTCAAAGATGTCCCCAGTTTTCGGGGTCAGCTACTGCTCGGTCTCAGGAATTCCACAATACAAACCTAGCGATTCTACATGTTGCAACTTTTACTGCCCTGCCCTTCGTACTCGGCTGAATTATTCCTGGGTGAATTCCCAAATTATCCAGACCTCTTCTAAATTTGGTTGGGATAATACCTGAGGCTGACATTTTTTACTTGTTCCACTCCCTAACCAACCACTCAGAAGGTAGGGAATTGTTAATTTTTGAATGAAAACGCTCTGAAAATCAGACTTAGATATTTCTTCTCCTTTATTTTTATAATATTTTTTTTCTGTTGATTTTGGATACCAAGAACTTGGTAGAGTTCCTTCTGAGCAGTGCAGATTTACATCTTATTGTACTCCTTCCTGGTTCCATTTTCGAAGATGGCAAAACACGTGTAAATTAGTCTCTGGTGTTTGTCCATGAAGAAACTCATTTTTGTAGTGGGTTGGGATTGAATTCAGGGTCTCCGAGACTCAATACTGCCGGACCTTCCATCATAAGTGCAGTGTCAACTTTCATTGTGGCCACCATTCCCCTTGTGCATTAGAAAAATTCAGAGGCGAAGGGGGAATAGAACCCACGAATGCTGGATCTACTAGCCCAGGAGTTTACACTGTAATCACTCGGCTACTGCAGGCCGAAAAGTCTTTACCTTTAAAGCATCAGACTTGTACAAAAACGGGGATATTTTGGCTACCAGAACTTTGGCAGTATGTTATAGAAAACTAAGAAAATTATGTTTTGGATTAAAAATAAAATAAATTTCTATTTTGAAAGTTTGCTTTTTTCCTGGAAAGCAAAAAATAACAAATTTGATAAATAATGAGATTCATGGAGTAATAATGTAACATTTTTCATGGGGTGGTCTTAAATAATGAAATTGTTGATCAGATGTCTCACATTTATTAATTAAAGTGAAATATTGATTGATTTGGCTGCAAATCAAATTACTAAAGCATTGCGAATCCATTTTATTTTAAAGAGCAAACTGATTGCTTTTTCACTTTTTCCTTTTATAAATTTAAAATTAATTTAAAAATAAATAATTTTAAATAAACAAGGGTATATCTATTTTATGTCTATTTAAAAGTTATACGCTTAAAATAGTTTGAATTTTTTATTTTGTTTTTTGTTTATTTCAGTTTGTATCGGATGGAGTATTCCGTGCGGAACTGAATGAATTCCTCACCAGAGAACTGGCTGAGGAGGGCTATTCAGGAGTCGAAGTGCGGGTAGTTCCTAACAGAACTGAAATTATTATAATGGCAACAAGAACTCAGTCCGTGTTAGGAGAAAAAGGAAGACGTATTAGAGAACTCACTTCTGTAGTACAGAAAAGATTCCAGTTCCAACCCAACACCCTGGAATTATATGCTGAAAAGGTGGCCACAAGAGGTTTATGTGCAATTGCGCAAGCTGAGTCATTAAGATACAAGCTCATTGGAGGCCTTGCTGTTAGAAGGTAAATGAACAAACAATTTTTATCCATGATTATTAATAATTATGCCATACCATAGACAATTACTCAAATTATCATAAAATGTTCATTGATAAACAAATGTTTTGTATTGTAAATAGACGAAATGCTTTTTAGGGCTTGTTATGGAGTGTTGCGGTTTATTATGGAAAATGGAGCCAGAGGTTGCGAAGTAGTAGTATCTGGAAAGCTCAGAGGTCAGAGAGCCAAGTCCATGAAATTCGTAGACGGCTTAATGATCCACAGTGGTGACCCGTGCAACGAGTATGTGGATACAGCTACTCGTCATGTACTTCTGAGACAAGGTTGTATTGTTTTCCAATATCGTTTTAATATCCTGTAGAAACTAATTTTCTGTTTATCATTTTGATTTCAGGTGTGTTGGGTATAAAGGTAAAGATTATGTTACCTTATGACCCACAGGGCAAGAGTGGGCCTAAGAAACCGTTACCAGACAGCGTTTATGTCTACGATCCAAAGGATGAAGGTCCGGTCCAAACTAACGCTCCCTTACAGTCATTGAAGAGCTCTGAACTTATCATTGCTTCATAAAAGATATTAAAGTTTTTTATTGAAGCTACGTTCTTATTTTTTCTTCCTCAAGTTCATCTTTTCTTTTTTCTTCGTTCGTTTACTTGTGATATTCTATTGTATTATGTATTTTGAGATACTATAGAAATAAAACTCTTTAAAAACACTTTCTTTATTAAATGTTGAAAGTAACTAGATGGAGGGGGTCATCGAAATTAGTAAGCGAAGTTGAATCACTACAATGTCAGCATGACTGCCACTTGGAACAGCAATCACTAGTACAAGAAGCATATAACAATGTGATTTTCTTGCAATAAATTATATTCACATGAAAACAAAAAGGACACAAGTTGGAATTCTACACTTTTTAGTGCCCTCTTCTTAAATTTATGTATTATTGTTAAACTTATTTAAAAATGTTTAAACTAGAAAATATTCAATTCACATGTTATGTAAGACATTCACCGCAAACAGTAATTTCACGTTTAGACATGAGGGGCTCTCCCACCTTTTAATCAATTGACACTTTTCAAATCAAATTTCTTTTGTTAATAAAATTCACTTTTTCCCCAACCAAAGTTGCCCTTTTTTCAAATAAAATTCACCACTCTTATGCTAGTAAAAGCCACTTTTTTTTTTAATTATTCCTTTTGCAAGTCAAATTCACATTTTGCTAATCAAATTCACCTGGTTTGCCAGTTAAATTGACCTTTTTGCTAACAAAATTATATTTTTTCCAATTAAATGCATCTTTTGCAAATTAAATTCACTTGTCCCTAATCAAATTCACCCTTTTGCTAATAAAAAATCACCTTTTTTAAATCTTTAGAAAGTAAAATTCCCTCTTTCAAATAAAATTCACTATTTCCCTATCAAAATTATCCTTTTGCAAATTAAATTTGCTTTTAAGGCGGCTGCAGACATGTATTCACCGAATCCTGACTAGTGTGGATGGTCGCTCGGCTTTTTGTCGGTTTTCATGTCCGCTTCAAAGAGCACGAATATTTGTAACGTAACCACACTCGAACCATCCACACATTTGGGAATCACCTATAACTACATACCTTTAAATCTACTGTTATCAAAATCCACAGTAAGCGTATATTTCTATGTAATACTATTTATTTTTCATTAATAAACAATTGCTAACTAGTATAGTATTTAATTTACACAATAACAATTGTTTTTCTTATTAGGAATGGATTGACCCAATGCAACAGTTTTGGAGTTTCTCGATGTTTATGAAACAGCACCAATGATTTGGAAAGCTTCTCTTACAAATCATAAATTGTTTTATAAATAAAGCAATAATTAAAGATGTAATTGAATAAAATTTTTCAATTAGTTTGTAGCCACTGCACAAAATAGTAACCATATCCGCATGTCTGGAGCCGCCTTTATAATCATCAGCTCTGGAACAATTTAAATTACTTTTTGCCAGCACACCTTTAAACGCCGCAGTAAAGTATGAACCAGACGCATTAATAAATAGGATGCGTGTCATTTTAACATGTAATCACGATCCATTCCCAAAAAATAATGAATGGTCGAATTAAACGCTACGGATGGTCTCTTCCATTTAATAGTATTCATATGATTATGAACATTATTCGGATTATAACTTTTAATAACAGAAGGGGAATTAACCCGGAATTCCCTTTTTTCCCCCCAATCAAATTCACCCTTTTGAAAATGAAATTGACACTTCAAATCAAATTTAGTTTTTCCCAGTTTAAATTAACCCTTTCATTAATTAAATTCATTTTCACCTAAACCAAACACTATTTTGCAAATTTTTAAAAAATCTCATTTTTTAAACTTCTTTTGCAATTCAAATGACCTTTTTTTTCAATCAAATTCACCCTTTGTTAATTAATTTAATTATTCATCCAACCAAAATCACCTTTGTAAATTGAATCCACTTTTTTAAAAATCAATTCTTTCTTTGGCAAGTCAAATTTCCCTTTCAGCCCAATCAAATTCACCCTTTTGCAAATCAAATTTACATATTTGCAAATCAAATTCACCTTTTTTCCCTATTAAATTACCCCTTTTCCAAGTAAAATTAACTCTTTCGCAAATTAATTTATTAATTTCACTCTTTTGCTAATTAAATTATTTATTTTATACATCCTGTGCAGTTAACAAATTTAATTAAAAAAGAACAAAAATAGAAATAGTTAAAATGGTTTACCTTGTTACACAAAGCTTCTTCAGGCCACCCAGTGTGTGGAGGAAATTACCACCTAACAACACTGTAAAACATTGAATGATGGGTTGAAGCGACTAGCTGCGAGCCTGTGGAATGTAGCTCTTGTTTATGCCACAAAAGATTTTGAATCATTGGGTCTGTTGTTCCACAGTACCGTTTTTAGCTAACGCCCCCTGCCTGGTCTGAAACGACCTCATGACATGGGATCCACCTTAGCATTAGGATATTTGTCCCAGTTCTACTAGGGTATTCAGGCAGAAATAGACAAGTTTTGAGTTAATCTCATGGGGTTGAAGAGCCTTTAAATAATTATTTATATTATGTTCACACATTTACATTGCTAGCAATTCGGCTTGAATTTTCTGAATTCCTTTAATGTTTACTGGGCAAGTTGATATTGGTAGGATTTTTTTTAAAGGGGTTCGCGATAACAGAAGTCAAACCCTCAGGGTGTTTTTGGGAGAAAAAAAAGGGCTTGAATTGAGGGCCGCCAGACCGTTCCCTTACAGTGACAAACGCCATGCTGATGTTTTAACTATTCCAGCTACCTACTGATTGATGCCCCAATATTCAGGAACGAATGAAATCAGGAATGAAAATTAGACATTATTCGTGAATAAAAAAACAATTATATTTAACATCTTGTTATACATATTGGTAATTCACAATTTTGTGTGTGCTCAATAACACTTGCTATAAGAGGTGGAATTTCGACAATTGTGCCCGATATTAGATGGGTATAGTAAGTTGTATTGCCTTTACTATAATACATTTTCGATCTTTTGCTGAAATAATCATTGTAGAGCGATACATGACCGACACTTTTAAATTTCTTGTAATGTCCAGAGTAAACTTCAATATCAGCCCGGAGACTTTCCGACGGTGATAAATTTGATGCTGAGCAATATGAAATTCTAAATGGGACTTCTAAACTTTGATAAATTTCTGTTATGTAATTAATTAGATTTTCAAATTCTAAGTTTATCGTTTCGTTACAACCAATTATGAAGATTTGTACTGCACTTTTCTGATGGACTGTGTACAAGCCTTCGTTCTTACTTTTAGGACTGTATTTCCTTCCTTGACTTACAAGGCGTATTGGTAATTCTCCACTTATAACCGATCTGTAGAAGTAACTTAAAAACGGTATAAATGAAGCCGCACCGTGTAAATACAAAAAATCACTATCGGTCAATTTTCCCAATGAGATTATATTTTCACATGAAAGTTCTTTAATGATACTACGACAAGAATCTGGATTTGAAAACGGCGTGAATTTATTTTGAATCAGTCTGCTGGTGAAATAGTTCAGAATTGAAATTTCAAGCAAGCCGCCACCTTTCTTTAAAAAATATTGCATCGGCGATAAAAATTCCAAAATGTCTAACTGATGTCCGATATTTAAATGACTATCACTTTCTTTCTGTTCAAAAGGAGAAGAAAATAATTCAACTTCATTATCTAAAGTTTTATTGTCTATTAAATTTGGTAGTTTGAGTGAAAATGAAAATAATTGTGCTTCTATTTGTTCAATAATAGACTTTAGCATTTTATAATCTTTTCTCAAAATTTTTGCCGTGCTGTTCAAACTAGATTTTCTTTCCTCGCAATCTACCTCGTTCAATTGAATTATTTCTTCGCTAATTTTACCTCTTGCAATTTCAATTTTGGCCTTTTTCTCATTCAAATCTTGATACCTTTGAGTCAAAGCTTTCAAATTAGACAAATCGAGCGTTATATTCCTCCGTTTCATACTTTCGAGCATTTCGGGCGAATTGCATTGCGAATATTCATCTAATTTTAAAATAGGGTTCAAAGAGTAACAACGTTGTAAACTTTTAACAGGGAATCTCCGGACATGCATGAAATTTTGAGCAGTCGCTCTACAAATCAAAAGTAACATTTTAGGCGACAATTAGTTTTTTTTCTCTTAGTTATAATACTAATTGAGAGGAGTTTGCGTTTCTATTTTTCTCTTCTTAGCAGGCTGAAAGCTTCCATGTCCTGCTGCACGCTCGGATTCTTCAATAGTATAAGGTTCCAGTTCTAGAGCCTTTAATCTTCGTTTATGTACCTTGGTTTTGAAATGATCATCTAGTGCATGCTGATCAATAAAATATCGTCTGAAAAAAAATCACATTGAAGTTATTAGTTTTAAACTGATTACTAATTTATATAAGCTCAAATGTGCATATGCATGTACATACACATATGTACAGAATTGAGCCTATCATGTCTCATAACCACTGGCAATTCCAGCTTTTGTAACTTAAATAAATTATCGACAGGCCTCAATAATGGCAGACCTAGGTTTTATTAATCCAGCCGCTGAGCATGGATCCAGGGGCTACTAACAGCTAGGTCATTTCAGCCCCCAACGCAATCAGTTCCTAAATCCCAACCCATTCACACGCTCACTCTTCAATTATTTGCATAGCATTCGCTCAATAGGGTTGAGGTGTACTCGATATTCCTACCTTTTATACCTATTATATAAATAACCTAATGGAGGGTCGATGTGGTACCCACTGTTACACTACTCATTCTCGCTAATGCATACATTCACTCTCAACACACTAGTGTACACTACTCAGCACTTGCACAATAAAATGCAAGAATAAAAAAAAAGATTCATCACCTGCTGTGCTTAAGTATTCTCGTATTGGATGGCTTTATTATGTGCTCCCTATGGGGAGCCAAGAAATTGCACCCTTCAACATCCATCAGCCTATCTTTATGTGGACATGTGGGCTTTGCCTCAGAAGTGTGTCAACCCACAGGAATTACTTTACTTAGGGTGTCGCATAAAAACGTCAATACATCAGATCTTTCTACAAGCCAAATGGAACTAATAAAACCTTTATTGACCATAGTCTGATTTTCAATCATACTCGAGATATTTACTTTTTGCATTATTTCAACATTTCTCAGCTTTTTCCTGTTAAGCTCTCGTATCTCAAAAAATATTGATTCTACTGTAAATTTGATTACATCATTGGAAAGAGCATTAAAAATCGAACGAGATTATCTTTCTAATTGTAATCTTACGAAAAAAAATACAAAATCTGTTACAACATAAACTTTCATGATTGTTCGAAAGTTTTGTCTTAAGTTTAAGTAAGATTTTCCTTAGTTCTGTATATACTGACAGATATGGCAGAAAAGTTGCTCCTACTACTGAGCATTTAACATGTAGACTTCATTTCTGAAAGATTAAAAATCACCAGTGAAAAATTAACTGGTAAAAATTTGATAACTTGTGAAAGGTTGAACTAACATGAAAAGTGAAATATCTCAAATACAATTGAGAATCAGACTTCGGACAATCGGGGCTTTTTAATACAATTTGATGTTTAGGACAACCTCCTAAAGTATTGATGCCTGTTACAGGACACCCTGGATATACAGATAGTAGTTGGCAGGAACCCTGCCTCCAGTATATCAAATATAATTAGAAAAATGAAAATAAATAAGTCAGTTTTATACTATATGAAAATATGAAAAAAAACTAACATAAATTAAACAAAATCTAGTTATAACTTGATCAATAATTATATTTTGTCAAAACTGTTTTCTACATTCAATTAACATTTATTTGCTCTGGGATTTTGCACACAAATTTGGTTGATACTTACGCACAATGTAAACAGTAAAATTGAGCGTCACCAGCTTTATCGGGATCAACTTCTTGATTTAATAACTGGCTCGCTTTTTCTGCTTGTAAATCATCATTGATCTGTAATCAAAAAATAAACTATGAAACAATGGATAAAGTCAAAACTAGTAAAGAGAGATAATTAATTAATCATGACTATTACCAGACTAATATAACAATAATTTGAGATAAAATTTCTTATTTAGTTTTAAAATAAATTCTTTTAGTCTTTTAGTTTATAAAAATTACATGTCGAATTTCGATTGTGAGATTTCCTTGTTAATGTTTGCGGTAGTTGAAGCTTGGCCATTTCTGATCACTTTGGTTTGCCTATCTTAGCCATATAAGTTTGTCAGACAAATTTTGGTGTTTTGCCATCTTTAGTGGTCGGTTTAGCCAAAAGACCAAAACTGCGAGAAAAGGTATACCAAGTCGGAAATGACAAATACAAATTATGTTAAAAGTTAAAATATTTTGGTGCGTCAACAGAATTTATAGTTTGATGGTCTCTGACCATCCATATCTACCTATAGACTGCGGTTTTGCCAGTCAGTTTCAGTTTTCTTCTATCGTCAATCAAATTATCTCCTATTGTTACTATATGGTAAATATTACCACAATAAATCAAATTCAAGTCAAATATCATAGCAAGATGTTATTATGTTTAATGCAATGTTTAAATAAGTTGAACTGAGAAAAATGGACTGCTATTGAGTCCTCTTGAGTGTTACCTCTATGGGTAGCTTTGAATATTTTTTGCCACTTTATAACTTATTGCACAGCTGTTAATTGAAACATTTGGTTCACCTTGTGGTTACTGACAATACAAGAAAATCCAAAGGGCAAATTTTGAAAATGGGTGCCTCCTGGCCACAGGTGCGATGGCCCAAAACACGCCGGATTAGTCAAAACTACCTGAGGCTGATCCAGACTACCCCAGGCTGTTTGAAGCAAACTGGACCGAGAACGATGACGAGAGGTGTCACGTTTAAAAATCAAAGCATAAAACAATTCCGAAATGTTTTAAAAATGAAAATGGACTTTAAACAAATCTTCAATTTTTTCTCTCTTATGATGAGAATTAATGAAGCTTTTATTATATAAAGGAAATTTATAAAAATAATAGTGATTCTTCTCGTTTTCTATTTACCATTCTTCGGTTTGAAAGTAAATTAGTAAAGAGTTGAAGTTGTCAAGAGTTTGCAATTAATCACGTGGTTGTTGGAATTTCTGTCAAGGGTTAAATTTCCTCGAAATGCGAGCAGGCCGAATACTTACTTCGTCCAAGTCCTTTTTCCTTCTTTTCGTCCTCCACCTTTTTTTGAGAGGATCGCCGTAATGGATTTTCTTCCTTCTGTACGGACCAGGCATAATGAAGATAAACGAAAAAGGAAGGTTTCACGTTCACGGCTCACGTTCGTAGAACGTGCTTAACGAATCGAAGAACTAATCTGTCAACGGAACCATCGTTCAGGATCGCAGAACATGTCGGGGGGGTGAGGCAAAGTTTTGGAAAATTGCCGTTGTTCGCATCCCTCCTTTTCTTGAAAATTTTGATTTAGAAAACGGCAAAAAGACAGTATAAAAAATATATACATATAATAAAAAAATATACATATACTACTATATACGTATACTACTATTTTATTTTATTACTATATATATTATAGTAGTGTAGTATTTTTATAGTATGTATAATAAAAAATATACATATAATAAAATATATACATATAATATATAGAAATTTGTCATAGAGAAACAATTTAAAGATGTAACTGCTAGGGCTAATCTAGGAATTGCTATGGGATCTTTGCTAATAAAAATATTTACAATCAAATTTCATGCTATTTGAACCTAAACAGCTCAAAAATAAATAGAGATATTTGTAATTTATTCTTATTCTATTAATTTTAAATAAATTAACCAATATATTCTTATTAGTTGGATAAAACAGAATAGAAAGTACAAACTAAAAACAAAAAATTTGTTAATCCTCATTTTTAATAACGGATTTACTTAATAATAGTAAACATGAAGATTACTCGGTTTATAAAAAACTTTTCTCTTGTTTTCTCCATTTTAATCCAGTCGTATTCGTTTTAACCATGGAAAGACATAATCCTGAACCAGAAGTTCGCAATATTATTGTGAGAATGAGCCATCAAGGTCACCAGCAAGTGTAGATTGCAGAGGCAACTGGCAGAGCGTGGTCTTGGTTGCTTTAACCTGATTCTGAGAGACTGGAAGTGCCAATAGGAAGCCTGGTAGTGGATCTCAGCGCATTACTACAACATTGGACAGAAATATTGTCATTGCTGACAGACGGAAACCTTTCCACAGTGCCTGCCAAATCCTAAATGAAGTGTAAGATGTTTTAGCAAGGGCTTTTTCACCAAGGCCAGTTGGCTTCACATCGTACGCCCCTTTGAGACGACCTGTAGCAACAGCCTGCCACCAGCAACTTAGGAGAAAATGTTGTAACGAGTGCCTAGAGAAGATGCTGTTATGTACATGTTACATCCATGGAGTGAAATTCCTTATGAAATTAGTGATAGCCTTATTAACAGAATGCCTGACAGGTGCCCAGAGGTTTTAGCTAACAGGGAACACTACATGCAGTATTAATTGTATAAAAAAAATATTGTGCCCAATAAACAAAATTATGGAATTAAAACATTTTATTTTATTTTCCAAAATTCCTTAATTAAATTTTCCTTCAGTAAAAAACAATTTCTAATAAATTTTATTGCAATTTATAACAAAAATAAAATAAAAATGCTAGGGTCTGTAAATACTAAATTGGCAATATCCCTATTCATTTTTGAGCAGTTTATAATAGGTAGTTATATAGATTCGGGAAGCTTCAGGCAGACAGGGTTTTTGGGATGACTGTTAGATGTCACCCCCAAATTCAGATTTGACAAAAATTTCAAATTAAAATACTTGGTCGAGCTGACGGAGAAAGGGATGCTGAATGTCAACCATATCTGGTATAAAGTGTGCTCTAAAATCGCATATGAGGCAGGAATATTTATGGAAATAAACCAAGGACAATTCATACAAGCTTTGGGCGATATGCACTGTCTTTCAAGTAGAGACTGGCTATTAAACACTGTGCCAAGAAATTAAAAGGCTGTCATTAACAAAAAAAAGCCATCTACTTGCAGATCCAGGTGGCCCTGAGAAAAAAAATAAGACGCAGAAGATGCAGAAACAATGATTACACCTTTTAATGCTATGGTCTGTCCCGTTTTAGAATACTGTTCAGTTTGTTGATCACATCAGAAAATACTAAGTACAAACTTATTATGAAATCCACAAAAATGCAACCACTAAACATAAGACGACAAAATAATGACCTAATATTTTCTAAGAAACTCTTAAATAATATGAACGACTGTCCACAATTAATCAATTTGCAAAATTTCCACGTTCCACAGTGTAATACCAGTTAAAAAATATTATTTTCAAAATCTAATTATAATAAAAATTATTTAAAATTTATTCTGATCCCTCAACTCATCGAAAACGAGTTATAAACTTCCTATATTGTGAAACTTTACCTTTCGTTAAGTCGATTTAATCATTTAAAAAAAATCATAATGGCAATTGCATTTGATTTGTTTATATATTTCTGTTGTTTAATTAAATTTTTATCAATCAATTTCACTTCCCTTATTTTAGTTTATATATTCCTGTTGTTTGACTAAATTTTTATCATTCCTTCTCACTTCCTTTATATTTGTTTATATATTTATGTTATTTTCATTAAATTTTTATCATTATTTGTCACTTTCTTTATATTTGCTATATATTTTTGTTGTTTAATCAAATTTTTATCATTACTTGTTACTTCCTTTGTTGTTGTTTATATATTTCTATTGTTTAATTAAATTTTTATCATTCCTTCTGATTTCCTTTATATGTGTTTATATATTGATGTTGTTTTCATTAATTGTTTGTCATTCCTTGTCACTCCCTTTATATCTGTTTATATATTTCTATTGTTTAATTTTTTTATTAAATTTTTATCATTCCTTGCCACTTCTTTTATATTTTTATACACATGTGTATTATGACACAATAGTTATAATATTTTATTTGCGTTTGTTACGTTGAATAGGTACACATTTTTAATTATTGTTATATGTATATTATTATTTATTAATTAGTGGTCTAATTGACCAAATTACTGATTTCAATTAATTATTCTTTTTAAGTAATGTTGTGTGAAAGACCAGAAAAATAATTAAAACACACAGAGGGTCGGTGATCTAAATCTATCTAGTCCCATCTCAGAAAAAATCTCATAATCTCTATTAATTTATTTCAATTAATTTTCTTTTTATCTAAGGTCTTGGTTGAGATGAAAAAGTGATCCAAGTGGATCGAAGTCACGATCGCTCAAGTGGTTAGTGCAATGGCGTATTGAGCCGAAGGTCGTGGGTTCGAATCCCGCTCATGACACTAACTTTTTCATCTCAACCAAGACATTACATAAAAAGAATAATTAATTATTATTTATGTTTCAATTATTCATTATGACTTATGTATAGTTTAAACTCTTGTAGAACTTGTAACTGCGTATTATAATACCCATGTAAATTAATTAATTAATTAAACAAGTAGATTGATGAATATTTCATTGAAATATTGAATACTTATACTTATATATTTGTGTTTTTTTACTTATATGGTTCTGCAAATAAGATTTTTTTTAAATAAATAAATCAAAGTGCGTTTGAAAGAAGGCGGGGACGAAGTCGTTCATAGTTCTCAGACTTGTTCGTTCATCGTTCACTTTGACTCCATCTGTAAATCCATAACAGCTTATCAGTATTTTGCTACCTACCCATTTTCTGTATTGGGTTTTGGGACAGATTTAGAATGGCATCGCAAATTTTGCAAAAATCCGTTTTCGCTCTAAACGGAAATTTAATCAAATCCATCCGGTAAGTTAAAAAAAATTACTGTCGGTATGATTTTTCTATGACCTTTGCTATCAACCTTGTTTATATATTTGATTTTCATGCAAATATACTTCCTTGGCTCCTCTAGTTCAATTATAAAATTAATATATAAAATGTCTAGATTATATAATCTGCAAGGTATCAAAAAGTGACTACCTTCAATATTTTCATTTCATTATTAGGCAGGCTTTGTCCATAATGAAAAAATGGTATTTACTGTTTTAAAGAAATGTATACCAAAGAAGCACAAAAGAACAAACACTAAATCTGTGGATCGGCAGGGCATCAAGACCACTGTCGAATTTGGCTCTTGGGGGATTGAGACCAGCGAAGGTACATCCACTTCATGGTTGCTTCCATGCTGTAGCATTACATTTGAGACGGTGGCTCTGCTTACCTGGTCTGCACCTCTGAGGAGTAGGTATCTTTATCTCAACAGAGGACATGTTGCGCTGTTTCTTCTTCTTCTTCTGGGCAATATTGCTCCAGCTTGTTTCCGCTGCTCTGTATATACAGCATCATTTCAGCCATAATACCGTAGGTTTAGTAGCTCACTTATTAGTTTCTGCAATGACCTTTTAATGAACATTTTTGCCTCTATCCATCGCAACAATCCCATTGAACCAAGGAATTCTTAACCCATTGGTGTATATGTGTTTTGGACAATTTGGTATGGCGCTAAATGGTTCAGGGTCAATGGGTGTCCTCATCGAACTTTCCTTCACTCTCAACCTCATTGCCTTGTATGCCCTGATATGCAAACAAGGGCAATTTTGTTGTTTTCCCTAATGTCTGACCGGGCCATGATGCCATCTCAAACTACTCTGGACTTTACTTATGAAGTATATGCCTCTCAAAGCTTCAGTGTCCAGTATGCAGTCTACTATCATTAGTTCTAACTTGTACTAGGTTTAGCAGTTTTGTGGTTAGTTTCTATAATGGTAATTTATCGCTTCTGCCTTGTAATACATTTCCATTGAACCAATGATTCTTAACCCATTGATGGATATGCATTTTGGGCAATTTGGTATTGCTCATTGATAGAAAATTAATAAGCTGTAAGCTCAGCAGCTGCTTTAGCTAGCGAATAACGTTCACTTCGCTTTACTTCCCTATCCGATTTCTTACAACACTTTCTCTCTTCAGTAAGCCCTTAATGAATTTAGCTGAGGAATTTTTCTTCCAACTTACTATTGTATGATTTTTTTGCCATGTACGCTTCTTTTATGCTGGATCATTTATTTTTAAGTAAATTTCTTGGGTTATTGTTGTCTGATGTTTCTTTGTTTTTATTATTACTATTTGTTCAAATTTTATTTCTTATCCTTGAATTGTGTTCTACTGTGAATTATAATTTTCAGATCTCAAACGATCTACACCTGCTCAAAGGTGAACAATCGTAATGTTGATGATTTAAAAAAAGAGAGGGAACCTTCGAAATTGGATAACAGCCTTGCTCTATCGGCGAAAGCAGAGCCTCTCAAACCTGTCGAGATGATCACAGTTGAAAAGGCAAGGAAATCTACAAAATAAACACCAATAAAATTGGAGTCTTAGAAAATAAAAGATTTAATAGCAGGAGTTTAAATTTATTGTTTAAAATTTTTCAGGAAATTCTATCTCCAATTACTGGAGTTCCTGAGGAACACATAAAAGGAAGGAGAGTTAGAATTAGTTTAGCTTCCAAAAGCCCAATGCAATCTGGAACGGATAACACTCACAGTTGGGTCATGACATTTGACACAAGGGTGAGATGGGAGAACCCTTTAATGGGGTGGACGTCGACGTAAGTAAATTTCACGGTCGAACCTTAGTTTTTCAAGTCAATTCATGTCGATACGGTTTCAGAGGTGATCCGTTGTCTAACATGAGCCTCGAGTTTACCAGTAAAGAAGATGCTGTCAGTTTCTGCGACAAAAATGGATGGGAATGGTTCATCGAATCCGAGAAGCCGACGGCGTTCAAAGTGAAATCGTATGGTTACAATTTCTCTTGGGATAAAAGGACCAGAGTGTCCACAAAATAAATGCTATAGGAAGTTGTGTTTTAAAATGTTTGAACATATTGTATAGTTAGGAAAGAAACATATAAAAATGTTATTTAAATTCTTTGAAAACAATGAAGGATCCTGGAATATAATACAAAAACTGATAGAATAAAGAAATATACAAATGAATTAGTTTTTTTTTTTTATGTACCAGACTTGAACCTAGCATAAGTAGAAATTTGTCTAAAGCAACATAAAACGAATTAAACTGTTTGAAGACTTAAAATGTGTGAACATATTTTGTCTTCTTCAAAACTTGATCTGTGTTCATTTCCTTTGGTGTGGGTCACCCCTGTCCAACTTCGACACACCTCAGGCCCAATAGTGTACCATTATGACCTGCCAGGGTTTGCCACTGTTGGTTGGTATGCTCAACAGCCGGAAACATCGTGATGAGTGGTTAAAAAGCTTTACACTAGGTATATGCACTGGACCTCAAATCAGTTAGGGAAAGGGTGATGAGGATTCACGGGAGTTATTTGTCCCAAGAACCTTGAGCATCTTTTTAGAATGCTGTATGCATCCTTGTGCTCCTACTACTGAAAGAAAAGTTTCTGGTTTAGTTCAGTGAGGGCTTCCCTTAACACCTAATATTCCATGCCTTAAGGTCTACTACTCGATACAATGTGCCAAGGTCCAAGACAAATAAGAAATATATATATACATTATATATATATATATATATATAATATATATATATAATTTATTTATTTATTTATTACGCAGGGTGGGCGACCAAGACCCGAGGGGTTAAATGCCTGGGTAGACTCGTACCCATCCCTAAAAGGTCCCCCGGGACTTGGTCGGCTCACGTGTCCTGCATAAATCTCTTGAACTTGTTCACAAACCCCAAGATTTTGGACCATTTTATCTCGGGGAGTGATTTGGTGATGTCTGGACCTAGCATACCTATCACACTCTGTGAGGTAGTGCTTTGCCGTTTCTTCTTTTATTTCGCAAAAATGGCAAAAGGGATCTGGTAGAATACCCATTATGGAGAGGTGTCTTCTCAGTGGGCAGTGTCCTGTCAGCATACCGATCAGCCTCCTAATTCCTTTCCTTGGGATACAGGAATAGCCATTTCGATTCTGATGGTTTGATCACCTTAACGAACTCTTTCGATTACCTGTGTCCGGGGGATAGATTCCATTCCTTCAGGAATTGTTTCATACCCCAGTTTTTAATACTCTTTCGCTGTGCTCGTAGAGTGAGGTAATACCGGTTGTAGCCCGACAAACGCAGTATTAGAGCCTTCTTTGGCCAGGTTATTCACCTCTTCATTGCTATGGTGTCCTTTATATGCTGGTATCCAAATAAGGGTTACCTTGTTCTCAAACCTGGAAGAGATCCTATTGATAAGATCTACAATTTCCTCCACTGGTCTTGAGGTTGACAAATCTTTTTGTAACGACCTAAGACTAGCCTGACTGTCAGAAAAAATTCTAATATCTTTTCCCTTAATTTTATTTTCCATAAGTGTTCTACAACACATATTAATGGCCCAGATTTCCGCCTGAAAAATGGAGGTGTTATTGCGAATAGGGGAGGAGATGCTGATGATGATCCTAATTTAGGTATGTAGATTCCTGCACCACTCCCTTTACCTTTGATAAGTGAACCATCTGTATAGCAGTCTAAGTCGATGGTCATCATCCACACTAAAATTATATTCACAAGAGGTGACTACCTGAAAGTACTTTTTCCCCGAAGGGGTTTTTAATCTTTTCATCACTAACGCTTAATAATTGGCTATTAACCTTACTCAATAGTTGTGAGATTTTCAAGTGACCATGTTATTTCACTTATGATTCCAGCTGCCTTCGCTAATTAATCTGTAGCAGCTGATTAGTGCTCTGAACTTAACCTAAATGTGAAGAAGTGTGGTATTGGCTATGATTTCAAGGGCTAGGGTGGGTGTAGTTGAAAATGCTCCTGTCATCATCAAACAACGTAGTATTAGAATAACCTTAATTTGTTACTGTTCCCTTTATTTTCTACACCTTTCCATCGAACTAAAGCTGCAAAAAATAATCTAGGTAGAATAATTGCAGTATATAGCCATTTAGCTACCCATGGTTTGATACCCCATGTTTTACCGACAATTCTCCTACATTGTACCATTGAATATTGTGCCTTTCCTGTATATGTTATTAATATGACCTTTCCAATCAAGTTTCCTGTCAAGCGTCACACCACGGAATTTGAAAGAATTCACTAACTTTAAGTGCATGGGAAAGCATCTCCATACCACATGGTGTGGGATGCTGGAGTGTTCTCTTAACCGTACTGCTGTAAGTTGTGCCAGCTTATAAGCAGTAGCCTACTTGGAACTCTTTAGTAATACCCTAAGTAGTATAAGTGCTCTATTGAACTTTAATAAAAAGTATGATTTATGATTATCTGGGCATTAAATAATCCTTAGACCATCCTAAATGGCCAGAGATAGGGCTTATATTAAAATAAATACATAAAACTGATTATGCAGATGCACACAATTCTTTATTAGAACTAATAGATTTTCATTTTAACTACAATTTTATTTACACCACCATATATTATTCAAATTATATACCATATTTATTCAATTTAAAAAAAGTTTAAAGAGCAAAAATTGAATAAACAATAAAGTGCAATAATCAAAATAAATCTAGGATGTTTGTTGTTTTATCCATGTTTAATTTAGGAATTGTCATGGCTTGTTGTTTTCTATTTTCAATTTTTTTCTGTCTTTTATTGATTTTTCGTTTATTTCAATTTATTTTATTTTTTAAATTTAAGCTTTCCCACTTATTTGTTTGTACAAAATTGGACAATAGTCATCCCATTGAGCTTGGTAGAGGTTGCCAGCTACCGGATTGCCGAGGTTGTATTTCTTGGCGAGTTTACTGATTGAAAACAATCCTCTGTTGTCTCCGGACCTGAAACAGGGAAAATTTTGTCTTGCGTTAATTTTGAATTGGACGTTCACGCTTTACACACATACAATAAGAGAAGACTACTTGTAATGAAATGGGATTAGAAATAATAAATGGTGGAGTGAGTGTGTTGTACAATCTTTTTAAAAAGAGTTCCTACTCACAGTTGTTTTCAACAAACGGATTTCGAGCCGTTCATCATCAGGTTGTGGAGCTTCTTCAACCTGATGATGAGCTGTAGGCTCGAAATCCAGATCGTTGAAAACAACTTACTGTGAGTAGGAACTATCTTTTTTAAAAAGATTGAAATGGGATTTATTCTGATTTTTTACTCCTAATCATAATTAATCAAGAAAGTTTCTACTTTTAAATACATTTTGTAAAATTTTGATATATTTCTATTAAATTTAAATAAAATTAAACAACTCTCTACAAATATACTTTGATTTACGCTGAAAACAAGAAAAGAAAAGGCTAGAGAAAAAGATAGATTATACTTCAACTATGAAAAACATGAAAATAACGGGTTCGCAACAGCAGAGGTCATAGCAATCCTTGAGGTGTCAGAGAAAGAAATACAAAAACACGCTACTAGCCCAGTTACACCCTTCTTATAGAAGTTCGGGTCCTGGGAATTAAAAAATAAATTTAAAATGTCAAGCTGTTGGCGATTATCGAACTCCATTGCTAAGATTATCACTCCTATGTTGTACAGGCTGTGTGGATCACGCGTTGTCCTTGTGATTTGTTCACGGGAGCAGGTTGTTTCTGAGCCAGGTCAAGAGACTCATTGCAGTTGGCTTGAATAGATTTCTCCGAAGATGATCTGGCCATGGTTGATAGTACACAAGACCCGTTATGCTCCACCAAACCGAAGATCACAATTGGTATTTGGTGTCAGTGTACAACCTTCTGTACAATATAATTTTTTTTTGTGCTGTGAAAGCAGTGAAAGGCAAATGTTTGGAAATTGAAGCTTGTAACTGCTGGTCAATTTATAAGGAACATTTTGCTCAGCTTCCAAAAATTCCACATCAAACATTCGATCCATCCTAACCCTACTTCCCAATCCTTCTAGTATCCAACATCCAAGTACCCTTTGAGCTTATCAAAGACTGGTGTAGTGGAGATGACTAAGAACGAAGTGTATAAGGAAAAATTTACCCAATGTACATTCACATTACAGAAACTTGCTCTCCAAAATAATCAACAATACGGAGATACCGACTTTCGCTCAAGTGAGATACTTAGGACTACACCCAGACAGTAGAAATGGACAAGTACTAAGATTTTTATGATAGAAATCTGTTTTGACTGCCAAAACTCAACTAATTCTTTCACAAGACATTACTGCTGGGACATATCTGGTGAAATTGTGACTGACAAACCAACCAATATCACGTCATTATCGACAACGCCTACTGGTCATTACTGTAAAGGATCCAGTTTTCATTGCATGTGACAATCCGGTCAAAAAAGTTACTACTTTAGGCCGTAAAAGCAATGAAAGGCAAATGCTTAGATGCTGAACTAAAGCTTGTTACCGTCAACCAATTTATAAAGAACCTTACTCAGTTTCTGAAATCAATGTGTGAGGAAGCTCCTGACATGTTTGACTCGACTCAAGCTCATCTTCAATCTCCTTAATCCCAGAAGTAAACTTTTTGAACCATTTTTGGATGGTGCACACTTGTTTAATCACCAAATTTAGGGCAAATTTATGAGCTGCCTCAGCCACATATACATAATTATTCACTACTAATTATTTTACTCCCTTATTTTTCAAATTGACAGTTTACATCCTAATGATCACAATAGGACTCAAACAGTTTTGTTTCTTTAATCTATCTAGCTACATCATCTATCGAAATAAAAATATAATCTGTTTACATTAATATTTTGATGATCATACCAACAACTCGATTTCCATATTCAAGAAAAGGCAGATCATCTACAAAAATGGCAAATAATAAGGGACTCAGTTGGCAGTCTTGTCTGGCCCCTTAAACAATTTACCAACTGAGATGTAAAACATTTCTTCTACTAAATTCACTAATTTCGTGGTCCACTTGACCAATTAATATATTATAATTAATTAAGGTTTTTAGTTGAGATAAAAAAGTCAATGGCAAGAGCGGGATTCGAACCCACGATCTTCGGCTTGATACGCCACTGCTCTACCACTTGAGCTATCATGACCTCAATCCACTCGGACACCAACTTCCCAACCACGGCTTCCATCAAGCCGAAGATCGTGGGCTTGAATCCCACTCGTGCCATTGACTTTTTTATCTCAACCAAAAACCTTAATTAATTATAATTTCTTCTACTTTTTTTTTTTTTTTTTTTAAATAGAGAGTACTAGTTGTAGTTTAGTTGTTAACGAGCATTTTTTGGCCTGCCTATCCTTCAGGTTCAGTCTATGACATATGTTTCGGTATTTCTCTATTTTGAGCATGTGTGGGTCTGTGAAATTTCTGTTTTCCCAGGTCCGTTTATGAGTTCGTGAAATGTGGAAGCAGTGTCTGTCTCGCCCCCAAGAAAATCTTTGTGATCTTCAGTTCTTTTCCCTTTTAATTTTTTGATGAGCAAGTTGTGTTCAGCTACCTAAGTTGTGAAGATGTTCATTACTTAATTGAGTTAAAATAGAAAATAACTATTAACTTTAAAACTAAAAAATTTGTTTTTGACACGTCAGAGCTAATAAAGTGAATAGATTTTTTATATAAAAAAAGGCAAGTTAACAAAAAAATGTCACTACTCCTTTTTTATTTTAGTGTTTATGAATTATTATGAAGTGCTTTTAACTTGAGTAAGACGTAGATACTAACACAGTTTTCACACTAGGTAGACAGATTACTATCAAAATTTGTAACAGGCAACACCAAAAAATCTTGCAATATTATGATTTTGTTGGATCACCAGCACCAAAGAGCACCAGTCATCAGGAATTCCTGTGATTGAAAAGATGGAACTACGAGCACGCTAAGTTCATTTATCATGAATAGAAAAACGGATATGATACCATCTTATTTTTCATGCAATTAATTAAATGAAAGAGAAATGGTAAAAAGTAATTCCTATCAGATAAGAGGGTTTAATGTCCAACTACCGTTGGGTGTTGTCGACTAGGGGTCTGAACCACTTTACAATACTTCTTTCATACTATTTTCAATTAAAAAACCAAGAGCTGTGCCGGAATTCGAATCCAGGACTGCTAGCATGGCAAATATGAGTCAGACACTCTAACCACTCAACTAATGTGGTCCCTGAAAGAGAAATTGTTTTTATCGGCAAAATTTTTATGTTTATTATTATTTTTAAGTTGATTTATACAACTAAATGGTTGAATTCAACTAGTTAGGGATGGTGCGTGTTCCTAAGATGTTGGGCTAGTGGAGAACGGCTTGAATCCCATACCACGATTCTTTTAAGGTCAAATAGAAAATTTCCTGTGGTTTTACTATTAAACTCTTGGTTTTTATTAAACGGTATGATTTTCTTTATAACATTTTTTTTGGTTTCTAAATAATTTTGGTGAAGGGTAATTTTAGGATATTTTATAAATTTTATGGGTTCTGGGTTTGGAGCTAACATAATTAATAAATAGTTACAAATAAATTTTTCGGGATTGAATTATCCTTCTTTTATTTATTTGGGTTTCCCTAGGATATTTTTGATTTTGTTATTATTTATATTAAATTTTAGTTCTTTTTAATTTGGGGATCCATGCAAAATTCCTTTCCCCCTTTTTTATGTAAAATTGGATGATCATGTAAAACAAAAAAATCTCCAGGTAGACTCTCTTCTAATAACTGTGAGATTAAGCAAGCACTAAATCCACTAATATTATCCAAGTAATAACTTTTTAATAAGTAGTAATAAGTTTTTTAAGTTCTTTTCAATTTTGGGTAGTTTATATTCAACTATCATTTAATATATTTAAATAAAACAATATGTCATTGCAATATTATAAGTAGCGTTACAATAGCCCCTACATCCAAGAGTACTTAAATAATTTATGATTAAGAATTAAAAAGTAAAAACATTTGTATAAATAAACAAGACATGTTATCCCTTATTAATCTGAAAAATAATATTTATTTTAAAAAGAAATTTACAAATTAAAAATTATCAATATTAAAAAGCATAAAATGAGGTTTGATTGAGATAAAACAGGACACTTACGTGTTTGGCAATCTGGGTTCATCAAAGTCGACCTTTCCGGGCTGCTTGTAAACAAGGAACACATATCGGTGAAGACCTATAAATATATTTACAAAAATACGTTTTAAGGTTGAGACAAAGAAAAAGCATACAGTGATTTCAAATGGTGTCAATATAATATAGTAATATATAATTTTTGTTTATTTAAATATTGAGACTATTTAGTGTTATACCTGTTCCATTAGGAGGACCTGATCCAATATAGGCACTGATTACTTCTCCTTTTGATACATCATTGCCGGGAATGTTACCAACAAGCCAATGGTGCCATTCACGGAACTTTGGTTCCGCTCGGGAAGGTGCATCAGGGTCTGTAAAATTTATGGAACTAATACAAAATATCCTTTCTATTTGTCAAAATAAAATCAAATAATTAAAAAAATGTGCTTTCTTACATTTAACATAATGATTGTTATAATTTGTTGTTGTATAATTGTTATTAATGGTATAAAATTCAGCCTTAGATTTTACACATTGCTGAATAATTGTTGGCAAGAAATGACTGATCAAGGCCTTAAAAAAGAACCGATTTGCTTTACAGACTGCACTATATTTATTAACAACAGATTATTTATTTGCATCTTTATTGTTGTTTTATGAACAATGTATTTGTTGGAAAGAAATGATTAATCAAGAGCTTACTGAAGGTTCTTTAAAAAAGAACTGGTTCACTTTACAGACTGTACTACACTTATTGGTGAAAAATTATTTATTTATGAGTTTGCTTAAAGTTGTTTTACGAATGGTGAATTTTGTTGGCAACAAATGATTGATCAAGTGCTTACTGATGGTTCTTAAAAAAAAAGAAAGGAAGAAAAAAAGTTGATTTTAAAGCTTGCTGATAGTCCTTTTGTCAATACTGATTCATTTGATTAAAAATCGACATTTGTAAATTGAGAAATTATTGAGTTTCAAATTTACTGATTCTTCAACATGGTATCGTTCATTTAAAGACTGACCATGTACGAAAATTACATAAGTATAATTATCATAAAAATTTATTTATTGTGAAATTGTAATGTTTCTGAACAATAGTTTGCAAATTATTAGACTTTTGCATGCAGTTTGATTATTCCATATCTTCCAGCCTGTCTATTCCTGCTAGCAGTTGAATTGATTATTACTACAACAAAAAAATAACATAATTGAATACAAACTCTCCCTCTCATTTGACTTTCACCAATGTAGAAAAGAGATTATTAATAAAATAAATTAAAAAAAAACCAGCAGCTACAAATACTACATAATGGTGAGACATGGTATAAAAAATGTTAGGAAAATCAAGGATTATCAACGTGTGAACAAATGTGATATTAATTTACATTGTCATTGCTGTAGTTAGTTAAATTACCTCTTCCAATTAAATCAACATTAAACTGACATTAGCGGCAAGGTTTATTAGAGAAAGTTTGTTTTTCTAAGGTAATCACAAGAAAAAAACAAATTGTGACTAAATGGTCAACTATTAAATGTTTGTTAACAAAGAAAAATATATTTTATGGTTTATTCATTCTTTGAGTCCTGTAATGCAGATATTAATAAGCACAGATTAAAAAATACCAGATAAATTTAGTTACCTTGTGATTGTTCCTTTGCAAACTTAGTAGCATAGCTGCTGGTATCCCTCAAGAAGGATCTGTGGACCTATCCTGTTCTCAGTATATTTTAACATAATAGTTGATAGATAAATTTTTTATACTATATAGAATAAGAATCAGAAAAAGTATACTTAGGATACACGCTTTGTCCTTGATCATCAGCAGATTTGTTGATTAGATATAAACTTATAATTAACTTGAAAGGAAACAACTGAATGTCTTTTAACATAGCAATTTAGTGAGAGCTCAAACAAACAAATCATTGATCATTTTATCTTCTATAAATAAATAAATTTGATATTTTTACCAACTTTCAGTTAATGTAAAAAAATAAAAATACATATACCTTAATAAATTCAAGGGGAGTTGAAAAAGAAAAAAAAAGAACTCTTATATGGTCAGTATGTAATAATCTTTCGTCAATAAATATAGTAAGTCGGTAAAGTGAACTGGTACATTTGTCGAAGAGTCCATCAGCAAGCCCTTGATAAATTATGTCTTGCTAACAAAATTCCCTGTTCATAAAGCAACAATAAGGAAATACATAATTAAATAATCTGCTAGCGATATAGTGCAGTCCGTAAAGTGAACCGGTTCTTTTCTCAAGGAGCCATCAGTAAGTCCTTGATGAATTATTTCTTGCCAACAAAATTTACTGTTCATAAAGCATCAATAACAAAATACATAACTAAATAATCTGCTATCGACATAGTGTAGTCCATAAAGTGAACCGGTTCTTTTCTCAGAGCCATCATTAAGCCCTTGATCAATAATTTTTTGCAAATAAAATTCACTGTGCAACAACAGAGAAATACATAATTAAATAATCTGTTACTGATATAGTGTAGTCTGTAAACTGAACCGGTTCTTTTCTCAAACAGCCATCAATAAGCTCATGATCAATTATTTCTTGCCAACAAAATTCACTGTTCATAACGCAACAATAAGAAAATACATAAATAATCTGCTATCGATATAATGTAGTCTGTAAAGTGAACCGGTTCTTTTCTCAAAGAGCCATCAGTAAGCCCTTGATCAACAATTTTTTGCAAACAAAATTCACTGTTCATAAGGCAACAACAGAGACATACATAATTAAATAATCTGCTACTGATATAGTGCAGTCTGTAAAGTGAACCGGTTCTTTCCTCAAAGAGCCATCTGTAAGCCCTTGATCAATAAATTTTTGCAAACAAAATTCACTGTTCATAAAGCAACATGGAAACACGTAATTAAATAATCTGCTACTTAAATAGTGCAGTTCGTGTAAGGTGAACCGGTTCTTTTCTGAAAGACAAATGAATCGGTTTTTTTTTACATCGGCAAGCTCTTGATTAATCATTTTATGAATTTAAAAGTATCTTATTTTAAAGGTTTTGTAAAATAGGATAGACCATTCTGTCACAAAGGACATAAAGTATGTGGTTTGCGGTGTATAAAACGCAAAAGATGATTTTTCCCTTTTTATTTTGTAGAAAAATAAAATGTACCTGTCAGGCAAAGTGTGTACAAAGAATCGGGATCCGCTTCCCATTCGACTTTCGGTTGATCTTTAACTTGGGTTGGAGTTAACTCGTTTCCAAAATCGACGACCAAGCCGCCTGGATACTCGACCTGATCCGAGGCGTAAAAGACAATATTTTACAATGTAAAATGAAATAAATATAATAATAAAACTGGCTCACTTTTAAAACGCCTTTCGGTGCGACTGGAACGACATCCGGCACGACCAAATGTTTGTCCATGATTCTAAGAGATGAGTGCTGTTCGCTTAGAACGAGACGACAGAATACGAATTCAGGTTAGCTCTGTGGAGGGTTCGACTTTAAACGACGTTCCCCACCTTTTCCAACGCAGACGGCAATCAAACAGCTATTATCAACGACAAAAGAATCGAACAATCCCCGGAGTCAAAAGATACAAAAAAAAAATGAGCCGGTGCCAGTTCACTAAAGGAGGGTTGAACAACGTTCAGGAACAACTCGAACGAACGATTCTTTCGATCTTACCAATCCGCCATCAATGATCTTTGAATAGAATCTTTCTAGCACTAGTAGAGCATAAGAAACAGTCTTATCGATTTAAACTGTTTCACCTTTAAGCGTACCATCATTATGCACGAAGGAAACGTCGGTGAGTCGAAAAGAACCAGCTCATAATGAAGAATAGTGTACCAGTTCATAGCTAGTCAAAAGAATCGATCATTAAAGGAAACATCAGCAAGCTCGTAATGGAGAAGTTCTGACCGAAGAAACTCCAGCGGGCCGTGTTGAATCAACCATTTGTCTCCAATAAATATTCGGCTGTCTGTAAAGTGAGCCAGTACTTGCTGAAGATTCATCAGCGAACTATTTCATCAATCATTTGTCGCCAATAAATATTCGGCTGTCCGTAACGTGAACCAGTTCTTGCTGAAGATCGAACAGCGAGCTATTTCATCAATCATTTGTCCCCAATAAATATTCGGCTGCCTATAAAGTGATCCTGTTCTTGCTGAAGATTCGTCATTGAGCTATTTCATCAATCATTTGTTGCCAATAATTATACATTATTTTAAATAAGGTGAATTGAAATGCCATCCCTATCCACGAGTATCATTATCAATATCATATAATCAATATGTGAGCCGCTTCTCGCAAAAGAGTCTTCGGCGAGTTGTTACATCCATAATTTCATACCAACAAAATGTTTATTCATTGTTCTTCAAATTTATATAAACCGGTATTCCATGAGTGCGATGAGCGAGCACTTATAACTAATAATTTGTCGCCAGTAAATATTCGGCTGTCTGTAAAGTGTCTATTTTTGTTCAACGGTCATAAGCGAGTTTACAAAAGAACGATATAATAAATAAACTTTTTAATTAATAATTTTTCGCCAGAAAATATACCGCAATATGTAAAGTGAGTAAGTTCTTGTTGAAGATTGATCGATTAATAAGTTCTTCAATTAATCATCAAGCCACTATAAGATTGATAAATTCCATGACAGAACAGACCAACATACAGATTTATTATCTGGCAGACCCCAATCTCACTTAATGTACTGTACAATCTCAATTCAACGGCATATGTCAATATTTTAAACATAAACGCGTATTATTTAATGCTACATATAACGACCGACTAATTACAGCCACGTTCAATATGCTTTGAGATTTTAACGACTGGGCCTAGCATGGCGGGGGGAGGAGAAATAGAAACGCGTCTGACAACAGACCAACAGCGAGGACCGACGGACCGGAGATGATTATTTTCGATCAAACCGCTGTCAAAAGTCAATTTATTCATAGTGGTCGCATGATATGGAAGTCTGTAAGCTCGCGAAGAAACGGTTGACATCTTATAAGTACGGTCAAATGGAATGAAAACCTATCTGTTCAATGTATCATTTTGTATTTCATTAAAGACTGTTAAGTTTTATTTCTTTTGCTTACAGGAAAGCATCTAGGATTATGTTTAAGAATAGATTGTGAAATTCAATCTACACTGATAGACAAAATAAACGCAACACCCTTAAATTTTAATGTATTTAGGCTTATTCGTATTTTGAATACCGAAAATAGGTTTGGTTTTAAAAATAAAACATTTACAAAGAAAATTTTTATTACCTAATCTAAAAGAGAGAAAAAAATTGAGTAAAAAACAAAAATCCGAAAATTCGACAGCAAATAAATATATTAAAAAAATCCAAAATTTTATCCCCTTTAGTACCTACACCTATGTCTGGCATGATTCACGTCCATTAAACTCCTTTCCATTCCTTGGAGGAGTCCTGAGGAATTCTTTCCCATTTATCAAGAACAGCCGTTTCCAGCTCTTCTAGGGTGTTAGGACCTTTGTTTCCCCGTCGTATTCGTCGCTTAAGTCCGTCCCAAATGTGTTCGATTGGGTTCAAATCTTGACTCCTAGCTGGCTGCACCAAGCACTCAATTCCAACCTTATTCAGATAGTCTTCTGCAATATGTGCTCTATGAGACCTGGGATTATCCTGCATTAGTAAGAACTTCCACCGATATGGGGGGGGGGGCAAATGGCACTACATGTTCTTCGTTTATGTCTTGCAAGTGCAACTATGAAGTTAGAGATCTACCTAGCACAACAACCAATTCGGTGCGGGCGTCCAAGGAAATGCTACCCCAATACATTAATGACCCATCATAGAATGCCACCTGAGGAACTATACAGCATAGTGCGTACCTTTCTCCTGCGTGCCTCCAATGAAATTACGTCCATCTGAAGAATTAGGTATCTCATCTGTAAAGAGAACTGGTTCCTAATCTTCCAATGTCCAATTCACATGTTCCCGTTCTAATTGAAGCTTGGCCATTTTTTGAGCTGTGGTAAGATGAGGTCCACGAGCCGGGTGTCGGACCCTGAGGTTTTTTCATTGAGCCTTATTCTTACAGTCCTGGAAGAAATCGAAACATTTTGGACTTGTTTTGTCATTTTCTGATCTCATTTCCCGTAATGGTGCTGTTTCGTGGACCCTGATGACGGACGAATCTATCTTCTTTCTTCTGTAGACCTAGGTAGGCCTTGTTCTGGCCTTCTAGTGTGAAGCCTTGGATTTTGAAGCGTCGAAGAACCCTTCCTATTGTGGAGTGATTTACACTCCTGGCGATTCGCGCTTGCTGTATCTTTCCTCTAATAACGTTATGATCCTGAAACTGTCATAATCACTTAAATGCCAGACTGGAGCCATTAAAAATGGTTTAAAAATAAGAAAAAGGTTAACTGAAAGCGATCTTTAGGTGTATAAAATGGAATAGCATAATGCTACTATTTGTGCAAATGGGATTAACCAGTACAAAAGTAAACAAAGTAAGTCCACAAAGCATTATTTACTGTTTATTTTGATTACGATAGCTCTTAATTACCGGTAACTGATATAGAAAGATAATGGATTTAATTTCAACTAAATAAATTGAGTGGTGCGTTAAATTTGCCCAGTGTATATCTGGATGTAATGTTAGTCAAGGGATTCACCATCCTCAACTGTTACAATTGAACTGTACCAAGTTCAAATTGCCCAATTGGGCGCAATAGCGGTCAGTATTGATTGTTCGGTTACGCCCTGGAACTTGTAATAGGACAATCATACATTAATTTCTCCTTGTGCATATCAAAACTATTGATTCATGAGATGGCTCCGGACATTGTGGTCGTTTGAGTCTCATTCGTAACATAGTGTGATATTTCATGAGAATGTTGGCATGCCCGTGTCGTTATGAGTTCCGTAATTGAGCCTGAATTAAATCTTCACTTAATCAACGTGATGTATCAAATTCCATAGTCTTACGGGACACGTGGGTTTGTAAACATACCTGTTAGGGTTTTTAGTTTCTTTCTCTTGAGTATGACTTTTCCTCCCATTGGCAGCTTTTGAGGGTGGTCATTTTGATTGCCTTATGCCCGGCATAGGTTCCCAGTATTTATGGCGTTCTTTAACAAGGATTCAAGTTTTTTTATTGAATATGGCTATGGTTTATTCTTATTTTGGAAGAACAGTTTATCAGAGCGCGAATTTATCACCTCCCTTCTTTCACGCCTAACTACATGATCTACCTCGAGACCTCAGCTGAACTTTTGTTTCAATTTACATTACATTTACATACTTCCTATATCTGCAGGGTTCTAAACCTTCCTAATTACCGCCTTCCTAAGAATACAGCCCTGGAAATCATAAGGTCCAAAATATCATGGTTCTTTTCCTGGAATAACTTGGCTCAACAATTTCAGCTGAATGACAATTTTTCCCTGGACAATTTTTCCCTGGACAATTTTTCCCTGGACAATTTCAAAGAGTGGCCACTTTTACACTCAAAATTAATTAACAATATCCGCACTTCTCACAGAATGAAATGTCTTCTTCATGCTCAAAATTCTTCTAGGTTTTTGCTGTACAAGGATCTTAATATCAGTCAACCTTTCTTGAACATAGCGCAAAATTCTAAAATTCCGTCCATTCCGCTAGCTCGCTGGTTTTTCAAAATTAGGTGCGAGTTACTGTACCTTAATTATAACCCCACAAGAGTCAATAGTTCCGATAGGTGCTCTCTCTGCAACAGGCAGGCTCGAGAAGATTGTTTTCATTTTCTAGCAGAATGCCCAGTTTTAGCGGAATTCCGAGCACGGCATATAGGCTTGCCCACGTTGACGAGGGAGCACCTAATCTCTTTATTAAATAACCCCGAGTCTTTAAATCTGGTAAAGTTTGCGATGGAAGCCTGGAACTACAGGAAAATGCTTGTTTTTTATTTCAATTATTAAATGTTTACTGTATATATCAGAGACACCCTGGTTATTTATATGTGCATAAATAGATATGTTGTTATTTTAGTTTACTTATATAGTTTTTTTTTCTCTTTCTTTTGTTTATTCCTTAAGAAGAAATGTGTTTCTTGTTTATTAAAAATGTATAGTCCCACTCCGGCAGACGGTTGATAACCATTGCCGTTATGTGCTTTTTGGTTATGTACAATTTTTTTTCTTTTACTCCCTTTTGTTTATCTAATAAAGTACTTTTTCATTCATTCATTCTATGGTTTATTCTAAAAAATGGAATTGGTCCTATAAGTTACACCTCCTTTTTAAGCTAGTTCGTCTGCTGCCTTGTTGCCTGAAATTCCATCATTTCCTGGGATTTACCTTGTCTCATCACCACACAGAACATGGAGAAATGCCACAATTGAACCTTTAGTGACCGGGTCGTATGGTGGCCCTGACAAAGGTCTGTGTCTAGCAGCTTTTGTGCACCGTAGACTCCACTATGCTCAGTGCAGTTCGTTGTCCTGAGATCCTAGATTTGATCCTGTAGTTACGATTACTCATCGGATACCTTGTTAAATGCGGACCGTGTCATCCTGATATTTTGCCACAATTTCTAGATAGCATGCTTCACCGATAAAATTTTGTACCTTTGATGAAATGAGAAAGCCATTGTTCACCCGGAGGCGATAAGATGGATTAACAAATGGTAAACAATTTGCCGATCACCATGA